ATTTTCTAGACAATCAGCTCATCGATGGTGGTGAGGTTGTCAGCCTTACGCACCAGCCGCACTTTACCCCCCACGAAAATTCCTCATATTCATTTCTCTTAAGAGGCTCAGTTGACCCCAGGGCCACAGAGTATCTGGAAGAATTAGGTCAATTAAAAAAAAATTAATGACCTCGTTGGGACTTGAACCCATGACCTTCCAACTTGTAGCATAGTGCCTCAACCAACTATCCTACCGCTACTAATATTAAAATAGTAATGATTAATGTGTTTGTATTAAAACCCCTAACAAAACTGCAGTATACAATTAAATATGGTACAGCATTTCTGAAATCTTTAAAATATAAATGTACAATTAAAACTAATACAGAAGTGTCAGGGTCTCTTAATTTGAATAGGCCTATGTTGTACATAAAGAATCTGCTAGTGACTCACCAATCTCAACTTCATTCCAAGCTCCACGTTTGCCTCCTTCCCGATGTTTCTTCTCTTCAATCATTTCCCTCTCAAAGCCCTGTAATGTAAATTTTGTATGAGATTAGCAAGATGCAAATGCCCAGCCCAAAAATTACCAATTCAATACTTTGAGATAGACTGAAATCTGAACTGCTTCATGCTGGTTTCCTGTTTGGTCTATTCTTTGACCCTGAAGATTCAGATGACGTGTTCCCCTGGAAATTCCGATGATACCCCATAAGACAGAAGTCTTCTGACTATACTGATCATCTTGAAATGTCTTTGCCAAAATATATCTTTTTAATATCACAATATGTTTTAAAATTACAGTTCTAATAGAAACATACTCTCATTCTGCCAAGCACTGTACACCTGCCAAACTAATTCTGAGTTTGCAGTGAGAATACTGTGACAATTAACGTTCAATTCACTTTGCAATGATTAAAATTACAAGAACTTGTTGGTTTTTCATTTAGTCATGTTCTGAGCTATTTATTCATCCCTATTTCAATTTCACATATAATTCCTAGTAGCATCTTTTCTGCCCTTGTGTCACACACAGGGCACAGGGAGAAAAAAAATAAGACATGAAAAAGCCTGGATTGAGATTCTTACAAAGGAGACTAAGAAAAGCACTAACTTCTGGATAGTAACACCCTGTAAGTCAACTGACATTCCTTCCAAATACTTATGGACTTTACCACTTTATTCCAGAAGACACCACTTGTCAAGAAGAAGAAAAAGGTTCTACCATTTCAACTATCATATTGTCACGTATCGGGCGTATATCGCGACAAATAAGTTCATGATGTATTTTATATAGCGAACTTTATTTCACATCCGCTCTCACAATCACTCAATATTGCAATCTGACGATTACTGCTATCTGCAGTATCACAAATATTACACTCCAAATGCCAGAATACAACTGACTGGCGGACTCTACGTCTCGACTCGGCGATATCCACGGTATAACTGTTGCCGTACAACTCTGAACTGTCTTCGACGGCTGTGGAGTCCACTTATATAGCCTTTCGCTGTTGCTAGTGTGACGTGGCGTATAGCCCAGGACGCTGTTGCTAGTGTGACGCCACCGCTGTTGATTAGCATTGCATAGTTACCAGGTTACGGGGGCTCGGCTATCTTCGGCTCCGCTCGGCTCTCTTCGGCTCCGCTCGTGACGTCACCGCTGTTGATTAGCATTGCGGGGTGATTACTCACCTATTACGCGATCGCTAAGTTACCGCTACGTGGAGCTGGGACAGTAGGGATCAACATGTCACACTGCTCCCTCCTTAAGGCTGTTCGTCCCGAATAGCCTAACGGTGCATCCCCGTTCCTTTTCCTCGGTGGCTGTTCATGCAGTGTCTCCTGTTGTTGCGGCTACTCTTCTTGCAGCGACTATTCTTCGTTCGTCACATCCGCTCCCTTCTTAAGACAAAGCCCGTCTCGAGCGGTTTCCTTTCAGCTCGCCAGAAGATCACATTCATCCATCACTTTCATTCTATGGCACATTCACTCTCAATGGGGAGGCCGGTTCTTCTATTTTGCCGGCTCCTCTTCTGTGCCCTGCGTCTTTTTTCGTTTTGGAGGGGGTCGTCCCCTCCACAAGGTCCAATCCTTGCCGTGTCGTAGGCAGACAGAAAATCCAGCTACTCGCTTGGCGATCTGCAGTCTTGCAGTTTTTCTCAGGTCCGCTTCCTTCACGTATCGCGGCTGTTCGCCGCCTAGGTCCGTCACTTCATTTCTGAGCTGTAGTTGCTGTCTCAGGCCTCGGTTCCTGATGACAGTGTTGCGTTCCGGGCTTTTCCACAGTCTCTTCCCGAACGTCCGTTTCTTGGTGATATCCGGTGCGACCTTATTCTTGATTTGTCCCATACGCCTGTGTCCTACACAGCGTGTAATCTTTATTCCGGTGGCGGTCACTTCTTTCCGCTGGCATCCGAAGGTTCCCAGGGGAATATCCTTCTTGAAGGCAATTCTCCAACGTCGTGCCACTGTCGCGCGACGGGATGTCTTCCTGCAGGGGGCAGCCAACCTCATCCGGGGTCCATAGTTTTCCCGTGTCGAATTCTTTATATTTCGTCGCTTTCGGTCCCTGCGCCTTTTCTTCTTCGGTTCTCTGACCGGCATTACTTCGGCGTCTTGTATGGGTACCTCTAATAGTTCTGCCGCCTCAGGTTTCCTGTGCACTGAAGCGGGCACTTCTTCTTCTGGATATGCCTCCATCTCTTGGCAGGCCGTCGTCACTCCGACCGGTATCACTATCGGGACCTCTTCTCGCTGTGCCGCCGCAGGTTTCGCGTCCACTGGGCAGGCCACCGTCTCTTTTTGGGTAATCGGCATCAATTCACCTGCAGGTTCACTGACCGGTATCACTGCGACGTCGTCTACAGGGACCTCTTCTTGTTGTTCCGCCTCAGGTTTCTTGTCTACTGGGGCCGGCTTTTCTTCTAATAGATGTGCCTCCATCTCTTGACAGGTTTTCGAGTAAGCGTCTAATTTTGCCTCCATTCTTGCCAGTATTTCAATTATTCGCTGCATGTCTTGTTTCTCCATTTTGTAGCAGACAAATACTCGATGCACAATAATCCAATTATTTGTCAGGCGTGTTTAAATTCGTAAAAATTCTGACACCAATTTATCACGCGTCTTGAGTATGAATCTCGTTGATCACGTGTGTAAGTTCAAATCCTGTCGGTCACGTGTTTAAGACCGTATCCCACTTCTGACACCAGTTGTCACGTATCGGGCGTATATCGCGACAAATAAGTTCACGATGTATTTTATATAGCGAACTTTATTTCACATCCGCTCTCACAATCACTCAATATTGCAATCTGACGATTACTGCTATCTGCAGTATCACAAATATTACACTCCAAATGCCAGAATACAACTGACTGGCGGACTCTACGTCTCGACTCGGCGATATCCACGGTATAACTGTTGCCGTACAACTCTGAACTGTCTTCGACGGCTGTGGAGTCCACTTATATAGCCTTTCGCTGTTGCTAGTGTGACGTGGCGTATAGCCCAGGACGCTGTTGCTAGTGTGACGCCACCGCTGTTGATTAGCATTGCATAGTTACCAGGTTACGGGGGCTCGGCTATCTTCGGCTCCGCTCGGCTCTCTTCGGCTCCGCTCGTGACATCACCGCGCGTGACGTCACCGCTGTTGATTAGCATTGCGGGGTGATTACTCACCTATTACGCGATCGCTAAGTTACCGCTACGTGGAGCTGGGACAGTAGGGATCAACATGTCACAATATTATTATTGTACAGAGTGCTATCATTTCTAGGATCTTTTATTTGATGTTTCCAGTTCTGTACTCAGTTCAGTGATTTATATATCCATTATCATGAAATTCAACTGTGATTAAAATATATTCAAATTCTGTTGCAGTTGCAAGTAAATAACTCTACATGGGCAATGGACTGTATCCAGTGTTGACACATTCTAAATCAAAGTGCCTTGCCAAGTGTACATTTATCTGTGGATGGTTATATTGCACTCATAAGTAGTTCCTGAGTGTCTTCATCCCTGTTGCCAGCCAGACCATACGTGGCGATGTCATCCAACATACGGCAGAATTCTGCTGTACCATTCAGCACAATGGAACCACCTTCCGTGTTTCCTTCTGAGTTTCTCTCCAGTACTGACTCTGCCACCTACAAACATCACAAATCACAAAGTGCTAAATTATGTAGCTATACAGCATTCTGTTTTTTAGTATCCATAAATGCAAATATGTCCCTATGCTTAATTAATTATACACTAGATGGAGGTGAGTGGCCAGCTCCATGCCCTCCCACACTCGGGGAAAGTGCCCCTGGTACCTATATGACAGGAAGCCATATCAGGTCTCAATAACCAAAATACAAGAAAGGATGATAGTATAAAGAAAGATACAGCTATCCTTGCAACAGGCCGTGGAGGCCCATACGGCTGTGAGACGTTGAGACTTCCATATCTTCTCGGCAGTCAGCTCACAGACGCCAGTGAGGTTGTCAACCTTACACTCCCGTCGCCCTTTACCCCCAGGACGATCCCTGGTACTCATTTCTGTTAGAGGCTGAATCCACCCCATAGAACGGCTGGAAGGATTCAGTCAACTTAAAAATTCAATTACCTCACTGGGAATTGAACCGGCAACCTTCTGGTTCATAGCAGAGTAAGAAAGGATGATATGACTTAAATGTGACGATACGAATTGCTGGTTTGAGGCCCACCACAACAGACTGTGAGAGAAACAATTTAATAGCCCTCAGGTTAAATCGGAACACAGTTTCTCCACAGTACAATGGTTTTGTATAGTAACCAAAGAGGAAACATCATAATGAAGTTTACTACAAAGTTCTGGTCAACATTTTATAACTGGAACATATGGAGACACTGTGCAGGAACTAAACATGGCACAGGATTCTGTAGCTAGGGACAATTTCATCACATCCCACCACCTATCCATAGGGCTGGTCCTCTCTTGTCTCAGGCAGGTGAGGGGAAGATGGCCTTGACTGATCAAGAGAAATGTCCCCTACTACAGCCAAAGATTTGTGAGAAGGATTAAAAAGGAAATCTGTGGATGTGATGTACCTTTTCTATACTGTTCTTTGATTCTGTAACAGCCTCCTGCAGCTTCAGACTTCGTGCTTTCTTGAGGGCAATCTGTAGCTCCAGTGTGCTGTCATCGGGTTCAATCTTGATGTTGGACAGTACTTCTTCTGGCGCTGAAAGTTGTTTCAGATTATTACTAACATTCAAAACTGCACCTGCACCACATTTCTTTTCATGATTTCACAATCCACTTCGTAGCGGAAACTATATAGTATCAAATGGCTGACGATTAGAAAATAATGTATTCAAAAGTCTTGGTGGTCACCTCATTTGGGATACTAAGTCCAGCCAGCATTTGCCAGTAGGTCCTGTGAAAAACCATGAAAAACTTACGTCAGGTTAACCAGATGTTCCAGCTGAGATTCATGAACACATGCACCCAGTTCCCTTTTTTGAGTTCCAATTGTGATGAATTCCCGTTGTGATGCAAGTAACATGCGTCTGTACTTACGGTCCGATTGGGCGTGTTTAAGCTCATCTTTTCTTGTAGCAGTTAAATAATTTTTTGTGCTGATCTGAGTTCTATTTAGGTCTTTTGTAGTTCTACTTTAAATTTATCACAACAAGCACTCGTTACTTCACTTGTTTCACTACTATTATTGATGAAAACTGGAGTGTCATCAGCATTAACCTCTTAGCGAAACGCCATTTTGAATATCAAAATAACAACTGATCACAATGATCGATCTCTCGGGAAGTCGGGAATTACTTTTTCAGCTCTGAATAATTTAACACCGAAATTATTCAACTTACAAAATAAATTATGCTCAACATCACACAGCTCTCGAATGCCGAGTTCCATTAAAATACAAGAACAAAAGCTGAATTAATTTTGACCTTTGAACAAAGATAATGGAATATTTGTACATTTTTAACTTCCTTGATAGCTTGATAGTTGAAACTACCTCCTCAGCCAAAACATATTTGTAAATCTCTAGTTGCATAAATAAATACATGCAACAGGGATATTTTACTTATAATTATCACATAAGAGAATATGACCTCAAGTCTTAAGTATATGGCCATGATATAATTGTAACATTGTTGGTTATTCTTTGGACCTTGTATAGTACCAGATTCTCTGTAAAATATCTTCTTGTGGTGCAGAACACATAACCTTACAGAAAAAGTGTCCTGTGTGATCTGTAAGGTCTCCACTATAGTGTTCCTAGTGATAATCCTTCGTAGGATACACAATTTAATACCAGATTTCAGAAAAGCGAAAATGTATTTGTATCCTTAAGTCATGTTACGCATGATAATGATGCACAATCAAAAAAAGTAAAAGAAAAGTTGTCACTATGCTTAACTAATTAAGCACTGTGCCATGAAGGTATATGGGGAGTGGATTTTAATTTTGAGAAGTTAAATCAGTTTGCAGTAGAATTAAAATTCTAGTGAGGAAGTTAGGTAATGAATTTTCTTTTGACTTTCATGTGATAAATATTTAATATTTATTTTATGTATTTACAACATAAACAAGAACATTATGAAGAGTTAATTGTGGACATGACCAAGAGAGGTCTGGTTTTGGATCACAGCAAATCATCATGTGAGGAGAACTTCATACCAGACAAAAAGGTGAAGTTTGCCTTCACACATAATATTCACTACATCAACTTCATATTTTTCTGTAATATATTTAATCATTATGGTGTTTTGTTTATTTTAAAAATCGTTCAAATACCATGTCCCAGACTGATATTTTCACCAGTTATCAAATACATTTGCTAACATGTGTTGTCTTGTGACGGTGGTTACCAATGATTTGGAGGAAGACAGTTCATCTTGAATATTGAATCCTGAGGCTGGAAGTAGCATGTTTCGCTGAAACACTGGGACCAACCTTCCAGATTACAATGTGGTGTTGTAACACAGATATCACAGAATGAATCTTCATTGCCATGAAAACCTCAAATGTTTCTCATTACATGTTCATTATTTAATTTAATTGAATATTTAATAAGATGTAAGTTATATGTGTGTCTGCATAGTTTTTTCTTTGTTTCAGGGTGAAATCATAGTAATGTTCATCAAAATGGAAGAACCAAGAGACTTTGTAACGTAGCTGCAAGTAGCCAAGGTAATGGTTCAGACATGCTGTGCTGTTGGTAGAGTGAGCAAATCCTCCTCTCTCTTCTTTCTACCACCAAACACATCCTCCTCTTCCTGCTTCCTTTTCCATCCTCTTCCTCCTTGCCACCGTACCTCCTCCACCCCATATTCCCTCCTACTTTCCCATTCTCCTTCTAACTTCTACCACATCACACACTTTCTCATGCCACTTCTTCATACTTCTTCTTTCCCCTATTTCCTCCAACCTCCTCCTGCCTCCTGCTCCTCTTCTCCCTACCTCCTCTGATGAATAATGGTCATAACGTACCTCTAGAGAGCAGCATCTCATAGTGCTTACTTATCCTACCGTTTTTAGCACCCCATTATAAGTGTATGTTTATCTGTAGTACATTCAAGTTATTGAAATTGGATATTTGTAACAAAGCAGAACATAGTGAGTGTGCACAGAAGTTGCTTTCTTGAGTGAGATTTTGCTCTGTGTTCAATTATGATATAAATTCCTGTGCTGATGTTTCACTGGGCTTCATAGAATACTCGCATAACATTATTCTGCAAATTGTTTCATTGCTTCAAGATCTGGAATGTTGATGTTTGAGGTTATCATAAGAGAATGTGGAGACCGCACATGAATGGCAGCAAAATGCTTGTCATTGGAGTGCCAATTTGTAAGTAAGACTTCTAAAAACACAAATATGAATACTGTGGCACTCATATGAGTCTCAGTGAAACGTTCAATACTTTTGAGGGTCCATAATCATCAGATGATGTACAGTATATTGATGTTTATCTGGTGTCCAGGCATCCAGCTGGCAAAAACTTCTAAGAAAATTATAAAGTCATTAAAAAATTATGAGTGTATTTTCACCCACTACCATTATGATAGTTTTCCCAGCTTCCACTAGCATCACCCTCTATCATGCAGATGGCATTTCAGTAAAGGCTAGTTGAATTTGTGATCTAGTGAATTCAAAACCTTTGACCTGTCAATCTGCAGTATTGTATGGGAATAGTCCACGCAAGAACTAAAGCAAGAACGTGATATTTTGATTATAAACTGGGTTTCTGCAAGAACTTTTCTCGTGAAAACAGCAGATTCATGTAACTGGCAGACCCCATTCTCCATACATGCTAAGTAATTATGGTTTACTCTAGTAATTAATAGGACAGATTCGTCTTCAGTATAAATGAAAACATATAAATCAAGATTTTGTAAATATATTTACAGTATCAAATTTATGCCTGTCGGACCATTCATTAGTTTCTTAGCAAATATGTTAACAAACCACTGATCACTCATGTGGCCATGTGGAAGCAGCTCTATTTAAATCAGCAGTGTACTAAGACATATCAAAGAAGTGGTACATCACAGTCACGGAAAAAAATCCTTCGTGTACCATTAATGAATTATTGGCTGTGTATAAACTGCTCCACTTACATCAGTGATTTGCTAAGATGTGGCAGAAAGCGGCACAACTCAAATTAACATGGAAAAAGAGATTTAGCCTTTTGTACTGGGTTGAGGTAAGCTATTTGTAATTCCCTGGCTGCATTACTATAGTCGAATGAGACCTCTCACAAGAATTTGTAAGATTTGTAATTCTTTGTTAAATTTGTAAACTCTTTGAAGCTCTTATTACATCAGAAAGTGGCTTATCTTCCTCTTTGTTCTGGAACACATGAGTATGAACGAATTCTATTCACACTCATGTGGATACTGACGGACATTGAACCATATCTGCGACTTTGAGTAGTGATGTTTGTTAGAGAAGGAATGTTACTGTAAAACTGCTGAAGAATCTTATAAGTTTGTACCTCTCAACCTGTTTCATGTTGTAACACAAATGGATAGTGCTTTGTTCAAAAGCATGAAATCCAGGAAAACTGTCATCTTATGTTTTCTGCAGTTTTGTGAAATTTGAATATACAGCTGCTTCAGGAGTAGGAATAAATTTTATTTTCATATTGAATAAAAGTTTCTTCTGATACCAGATATGCCCATACAATATACATTATTTTGCACACACTTTTTCCTCTCTTCTGCCCATATTTTATAAGTTAAGACTCCAGAGGTATCGTACAGATGGTTGCTGATTCTTCTCCATGAAATGCTGGAGCCTTGAAGACTCACAATGCTACAGGCCTACACAGCCCGTTAATGGAATAGATTTAGCTTTCTATCTTTTTTTTTTTAACCAGTATGGCCTATCCAAGCTTTCCATGGTCCTTAACCTAGAAAAATGCCCCACCTCAGTCCTGTAGCCTGAGCCTAGGCTATCTAGCATTAGTGTGAGATATTCAGTCTGACTTGAACCCACTCTGAAATGGACAGCCAGCATGAGACTTGCCTGGGATAACCAAATCAGATGCGCATGAAACCTGGCTAAGGCAAGAGAAAAGCGTAATATGGCCGTGTTGCCAGGCTTAAATAGCCCATTACTCCAATCCCTCACCTACAGCAAGCAGGCCAAAATTTATCTAGCCCAAGAACAGTCTAATTATTATTTTCTTTTTTCATTTCATGCATCCTGTTGTGTTACAATATACAACTTCTTTATTAACCGTCACAACAACACAACAAATATCAAGGTCAGTGCTCAGCTATGGCTCTGCTACATGTTTCGGCTATCAATAGCCATCATCAGGCAAATATATGGTTAACATATATACACCACTGAACTGCAGTACTATTAAACTGGATACAATACTATTAAACGTATAAAACACTTGATGTAAAAAATACAATAAATAAGATTATATTAAAAAAAACAGAAGTTATAGTATAAAATAAGAATAAAATTTTAATTGCTGTTTTATAACATCGAATCATTCCCTACAGTACAGACACTTTGTAAGATGAGGCACTGACTAAACAGTAAGTAATATATACTATACCTTCAATATCAAAATCAATTGTTGATTATAACAAAATTTAATACTATTACTTTCATATAATTTTCAGATTAACATTAATTTACTACATCTACATCACGAGCCTCCTATAAAATCTTATATAAAAAACAAAAAATATAGAATATTCCAATTTGTCCATGGGAATGTACAAAATTAGAAAAACCAACGACTGATTCAATGTTATAAAACATCAATTAAAATTTTATTCTTGTTTTATACTATAACTTCTGTTTTATATAATCTGATTTATTGTATTATTTACATCAAGTGTTTTATATGTTTAATAGTACTGTATCCAGTTTAATAGTACTGCAGTTCAGTGGTCTATATACGTTAACCACTTATTTGCCTGATGACGGCTATTGATAGCCGAAACATGTAGCAAAGCCATAGCAGGGCGCTGACCTTGATATTTGTTGTGTTGTGATGGTTAATAAAGAGGTTGTATAGTCTAATTATTATAGAATTTTAAGCTCTGATGGTGACTTGAAGTGGCTAGATTAATGACTGTGAAACAAGCATATATATTCCTTAAAAATCACCTAGCCTGCTCGTTGCTGCACATGACAACTAGCTTGAACACAGTGTAGCTATCCAGGCTAATCAGCTGAGGTCTAATGTATCTTAGCAATATAAACCTGCCTCCATTAGCAGATAGCGTCATAATCCCGATGACAGAGGTCACGAAAGGACAATCGCCAAACCACTTGATCATCTAGACCAATTGCAACTGCTGTAGACATTGCAGAATTTGGGCCAATGACAACACAGTTCGCTTCAAAGAGCAAAAGTGTGAGCAGTGTGAGGTAGTGGTAAGCCTCTTTCACTGTCTTCCACACATGCTGGGCAACAGTGATGACAATCAGCCACCCATTCTGTGGAGGAGGATGAAGAAAGGCGGGTTTACCATCCTTGAGGAAGATCCAACTGTTTATCCTCATACTTGCCCTTTTTCCAGTGCTCTATATGGGGACTGTTATTGCTTAGTGGGCAACACAGTGTTTTCTCAGGGTCAATACGCATTCCATCATTTAAACTCTCAAAGAGTTTGTCAACCTCCTCAATAAACACAGCTGTTGCCGGGTATTCACTGCAGCACCCTCCTGAATGAACGAAAGAAAAATGCAAAATTAGTGTGCTTCCTTACATGGTGGATTACCATAATTCTTCGCAATGGGAAATAACAAATATTACTTTACAACATACTGCCTCTATAAAAAATTTGTACACTGGTTACGTTATTCCTCATAGTAAAGTCATTACTGCCTCATTCTCTCATAAATAATATTACTGAAAGCATGTTCAGCTTTTCAAACATTTTTTAATTATCCTAAAACATTAGTGTTTGTGACATACTCTACATGACCTGTATACTGATATACAGTTTCAGTAGTAATAAATTATGACAATGATGTTTGTTTGATTACAGCTGGGTTCTTGGGGCAATAACTTTCAGCTGTAGTGAAATCACTTTCTACTGCACAAATATTTATAGTGCAGCATTCTAGCAGAATCAATGGTGCAGTACATCCCAACTCTTCCTGTCCATACCATAGCCCTGTAAGAGTATTACATATTGTATCAGAACCTTGAAATAATTCATCTCTAAGTATTACAAACATGGTGCTGGTGCTACACTTAGGGGTAACGTTTAATACATTTAATGCAGACACTAGCTAAACTTAATTTCTTCGTTGGATTATGCAACACATAATAAACCCATTACATCATGCATTACGAGAGACTTACCGTGCTGAATCTCTGCAAAAGTTTAAGAGTTTCAAACCATTCTGCTTACTGGATGAAGAGCACCCAGGGGCAGCGCAAAATTTCTTTCTTCCCATTTATCCTGCAAGAAACAATACAGAAATTATAACACAATCACAGTACACGGTGAGTTTCGAGATTCTACAGACCTTCTAAGATGCATAACCTACGAAAATATCCTTAACAGCAATTTTTCACTTCATATATATTTCTAACCTAATTCGGCCGAAGTAAGCACGCCATTCATATACAGAAATAACTTAGCGATGTAACTTAAGGAGTAATCGTCAGCTCTTGATTCGATACTAAATTAAATCCCGTACTTATCGAGGAGTACTGCAGCCGCCTCCGCCCCCAAATAAATGATTAGTAGGTGATGATATTGTGTTTATAACTTTTACGCATTTTTTTTGTGCGCCTGTGTCGGTAGGCAGTGTTCGGCGCAAGCCATTGTGTGTAAACAAACCAATCTTTAGATTACTGATCGTACATTAATTTGGAAATTGAGTTGTGCCATCTGAAGATACTGAGGAAGATTTATTATACATAAAGTGTCGTAGTAGTCTGTGTTTTATATTATGAATTTTACAGGCTTTTAAAATGTATATTGTTTAATGAGCATGACTTAGCAGATTACGTATGTGAGAAGGCAAAGTGTAAAATAACATTACCTTATCTGCGTATATCGTCACGCGTTTGATTTTTCTTTTCAGTCTACGATCACTGTGTGACGAGAGGAGTTCCTTCTGATTAAAAATGTCGGATCTTCGATTCGATGGGCGTGTCGTTGTGGTTACAGGTGCTGGCGCAGGTATTTATTGTAGAGGAAAATATTTTTCACATCATTGATAGGATCAGGGTTTCCACAATTTTGTGTTCTCTGCTGGGAAACATAGTCAAGAATTCCACAGAAACAATTCACTTTCTGTGGAGGCTTTACAGATCCAAATCTGGAATTTTGTTCTAGAAATCACCAGCCATCATTATGTTGCTATTTACCGGAATGATCATTTCATTCCCATTGCCTGCCATTTCTCATAATTCTTACTACTGTTCACCACTTTTCATAATTATCATAATATGTGTTCTGGTCATAATATTGATTGGTTCCTGCCTTATAGACCTCATGATCATTTTTCATAAACGAGTTATTTTACGACTTGTCAGTAGCTAGACTGTGTAGTGTCAGATGGTAGGATGAGTCATGAGCGATGACTTGAAGAGCACTGGGAAGGAAGCAGTTGTTGCCATAGTGCTTACTGACCTGGAATTTGCCTGAGAGGATTGAGAGAAACCATGAAAATCCTGTCAGGACAGTGAGGGTCCTTGTCAAGATCCCAACAAGCACGTACCAAATATGAGTGTAAGGTGCTACTGCTATATGAGCCCACTAGGTGCTGATTATTAGTTCTTGTCAGCTAGCTTTCCTGTGCAGTAACTCTTGCAATGCTCAGTTCTAATAATGATCAGTTCCTGCTAGTGCTTGTTAACACTGAATTTGTTATGACTCCATGTTTCAGGCTTGGGTAAAGCATATGCGTTACTGTTTGCTGAGCGTGGAGCATCAGTTGTGGTTAATGACTTAGGTGGTGGTCGCGATGGTGAAGGAAGGAGCAGTGGAGCTGCAGATAGCGTCGTGGATGAGATCCGACGCAAAGGTGAGTTCATTTCATAATGAGAGTTAGTTGACCTCTAGTGACCTGATCTTACCCAGTTATAAGTGTGTCTCATTTATTTGCTTATCTGTCTGTCCTTCTCACAAACCCTCACCCAGTGTGCGTCTCCACGCTTCCCTCCTGTTGTCCCAATACCAGTTTCAGGGTTGTCACTGCAGTTACATAGTGTGTTCTGTTCCCGACAGGTGGCAAGGCTGTAGCCAATTACAATTCTGTGATAGATGGTGACAAGATCATACAGACAGCTTTAGAGGCGTTTGGACGTGTAGATGTTGTAGTGAATAATGCCGGTATCCTGCGTGACAAGTCATTTGCCAGAATTAGCAACACAGATTGGGGTAAGTCCAGCCATTATTGATAAGACCTGTCCTCCATTTTTGATTGCTACAGTAGTGTAGACAGGAGTGATTTGCCAGAAGTAAAACGTTCCATACGTGAGGACTGCTGTTGACTTGGCAGGCATTCGATATGACGCTGGGCTGTCAGTCATAGTGTCTTGGTTCAGTCTCCAGGCAGAGCTGTGTAATTTTGCTGCTCACAGATTGAAACCCCTACTTCTGCGAAAGACGACACTTTGGGAGTGTGAAGAATGCTCCTTATATACAGTCTTTACTGTAGTGTTGTTGAGATACAGTGATTATTTGTTATGTTTGCAGACTTGATTCAGGATGTACATTTGAAGGGTGCTTTCAAGACAACACAAGCAGCATGGCCTCACTTCCGTAAGCAAAACTATGGACGCGTCATTGTCACATCCTCCAACTCCGGTCTATATGGGAATTTTGGACAGGCAAACTACAGGTATGTGTTAGTAATGCTAAACTGTATTTATCCCTGGGAAATTGATATTTTGGTCAAGATCAAACATATATATATATATACTCGTAAGTAGGTTGTCACCCACTCCCAGACCTGGAGGACCAAGGGCTTCCATTCATTTGGTTCCTACATGTATCATGCATAGGGGACCCTACCAGAAGCAGGGAGAAGCAGTATTAACAAATTTCCTTTATTTTCACTAATAACCGTGATGACCATGTTACGTGGGTCCCTTGTCACTATGGCATGGTGTGTCCTCAGGTTGCGGATGGAGGAGACACCCTCCAGGTATGGAGGGAAGCTGCAAATATATTGAATGAGCAGTCACAGATAGCCGAAAAGGGGTGGTCCTCCAGCTTGGGGGTTCGGCATGGGGCTAACAACGCCTCACCGTAAAAAAATAAACTTGTTACGAAAATTCTCAAGAAGCCTTGGACCTGGACGGATGACAGGAGGTTGGAGAAAACTGCATAATGAGGAGCTTCATGACTTGTACTCTTCTCCAAGTATAATTAGAATGATCAAGTCAAAGACGATGAGGTGGGCAGGACATGTAGCACAAATGTGGGAGAAAAGGAATGCATGTGGGATATTGGTGGGAAAGCCAGAAGGAAAGAGACCACTGAGAAGACCGAGGCATAGGTGGGTGATCAATATTAAAATGGATCTTAGAGAGATGGGATGGTATGGTATGGATTGGATTGATCTGGCTCAGGATATGGACCAGTGGAGGGTCCTTGTGAACACGGTAACGAACCTTGGGGTTCCATAAAATGTTGGGAAATTCTTGAGTAGCTGCAGATTTGGCTGCTCCTCAAGAAGGGCTCAGCTCCATGAGTAAGTAAGTAAGCACCGTGATGAAGTATTAATGGCAACAGCTCACCACATTCTGTAGCTATGCTGAGCTTGTGCCACACACTGAGGTTACTGTTTGGAGATCACCTAAATGGGGAGACTAGGGTGAATTACTTGTAATGTTGAAGATGTAACAGTTTCAACCAAAAGCGCTGTGTATGGTCTGTGGATTCTGTTCTGGCAACATGAGGCGCAACAGAACCTGTTGCCTATGTCATCAGAACTTCTCACTTGTTTTCTGAAGAGCCTGTGTTTGATTCCCAGGTTGGGAGCAAGCTGTACTGGCCAAGGGATATAGCATTAAATAAATGTTGAACACTTCCATATGTCTCCAGTTCTTCATTCAGAATTATCCTTCCATTTAATACCATCTAGCCTTTGTGTTTGAGGAAGTGCCATTAGATGAACTAACAGTAAACATGTGTTTGTGTGTCATAGTTAAGTTATGTAGTTATTGGTAGGGATTATTGTTTGGTTGTTTTGGCTGCAGTGCTGCCAAGATGGGGCTGGTAGGTCTGAACAATACATTGGCAATTGAGGGCAGGAAGAACAACATTCACTGTAATGTGATTGTACCGACGGCAGCATCACGACTTACTCAGGACATTTTGCCACCAGGTGGGTATAGCACCCTGAATGTTTGCCCTCCAGTGGGCATCTGAGTTGAACATCTGCCTGCCAGTGGATCCTGTCCTCCACTTCCTTCTGTTTACCGAAACCTGCTGCTCTGATAGTCAGCCCAGGTTGAACAAGCATTCATTACTGTATAGTGCAACTTTTGGCTTTAGTCTGCATCAAGAAATAATCTCCTCCTTTTGCTGTGTCATTCAACTTCATTCCATTGGCTGTTTACCTCTTTACCCTTAACCTCATTTAATTTCTTGAGGTTGAACCTCTCCATATGAACTCTGTGCATTGTTTGTTTATGGCCAGTCTCTCCCTAACTTTTGCCAGCACCAGACAGTGCGCAGTATCACAATCATTGGACATCAAATATACTTGAATGCCATCTCATATCTATCAAAATATGGTTAATTTGGTTGTGCGTCTTTCCATTAGGAGATGTCCAGGTAAGTTTATGAACATTAACGATACAGGAACATTGTACTTTTGACAGTCAGATTTTTGGATATGGCAAAGTTTACAACTCTAACTCCATTATCATTACTAATTTCATGCAAACTCTCATTCCCAATCATTGTTTGAAAATGTCTTCCCTCCATACTTCAGTATTGAAATCTCCTAACAAAATTTTCATATGGTATGATATTAATAAATCACCTATTTGTTGCACAGACTTCTTTGCACAACTGCGACCAGAGCTGATTGCACCTGTGGTTGTGTGGCTGTGTCACGAATCATGTGAGGAAAATGGTGCCATCATCGAGTCCGCTGCTGGCTGGGCAGGAAAATGTAAGTGTTGAGGTCCCCAGTGGCTCCCAGTCTGAATTGCAACTGAAATGAAGGCTTCAAATCTTCAATATGGTCATAAAAGATTATCATAATATTTATGTTTCTTTCTTAAGGCTATAAAGGGCACAGAAAGTCGGCTGGCAGCTTTAAAATACACATTTAATTGTTACATATTGTTGCTCTGTTCATGAGATAATGAAACTGACCATAGCACCACACTAGATTTTGAAGTTTGTAATTCATAAATTTCTTTATAAGAGTTCTCTTACCAATGTTTTTGTAGAATTCTCTGTAGTTGTGGCAAAGTTTCGGTTCACAGATGGGAGAGAAACCAGCCACTGAGTTTGGCAACTGTAAATGAAGAAATGGATTCAGTGAGGAATTGTTTTGATCTCACCTTGTACATGTTATAGGTAATGTGAAATATAATTAAAGATAAATGGAGGACTCTTTAAGTTTGCATTGTTTCTTGTTTTCTGCTAAGTGTTACTAGATGTTTCCTTCAAAGTGTTTTAACTTGAAGACTACTGAAATACATTTACCAACTGTGATCGAGAAATAGTTACTGCAGTGGCACTATCCATTGCATTTTATTTAAATATATGTTATATACACATGGACCTACAAATTGAGGCGGGAGGAAGTTTAATGTAATTCATATCAGGGAGGAGGAGGAAATCTTGGGCGTTTTCAGGAGATCCTTGCTAATTTTTAACCACGCAGCAGTTTGTGGTCTTGTGTGACAACTTTCAGGTCATCTGGTCCGTTCACCTGGTGGCCTGCTGCGAGCACGGATTGATCAGATTGTGACTCCGGAGGCCGTTCGTGAGAGTTGGAGCAAGGTGACAGATATGTCTGCTGCTGCTCGGTTTGAATCCATCCAGGAGGTTTCTGGTACGCTGATGACTGTTCTGGATCAGATGAAGGCAAACTGCGAACGTTCGTCCGATGGTGTAAGTTATGGCAAGCAGGTTTCAGCTGGATCAAGATAATTAATTTGCATCTTCTGATTCTGTACATATATTTCTTATAATCTCTGTGCTGACGGTGCGTAGAGAGAGTGGAGGTACAAGTGTACTCACAGAGTAGGCCTGTTTACTTACACTGTGGGGCCTCAGCCTGGGGTCAGTATTGTAGATGGACCATTTGAATAGAAGATGAGGATTTTCTCTTGTTTTTACGATAAAGAATTGCAGGGTCATATAAGTGCAAAACTTATGTCTGTCTTTAAATGTTTTAAGCTTTTGGCAAGTCAATGTTTTCAAGATGCAGTATATCATTCTCTGTGTATTGTACTGTCACTGTATCACGTGATGGAGAGAGACAGAAATATAGTGTAGGGTAAGTTTGCTTGAAGTCCCATAGAGCTGTGAAGCTGGGAATGGCAGAGACCATAATAAAATAAAGAGTTCACTTTTCCAGGATATAACACCATGTATTCTGCTCAAAGTCGAGCAGTGTTTCAGACTAACATGTTGCTTGGCTAATTCTCTGACCCTGAAGATGGAAATGATGTGTTCCTCTAAAATGTTGTTTGACTTTCAGTGCGTTACACAGCCTTTATATCCTCAGAAGATAGAACTCTTCATAACTGCTGCTGTGGGAACCATGAATCCTATATAATAAAATAACTTTGTTGTGTTCCACAGTGGGGGATGTCTTGGACTCAGAATTCTTCCATTCTGGTAAACATGGTATCTTGTCTGTCTGTCTGAATCAGTTGGATGATTCCACTGAACTCAGTTTGCATACCACTTGAGGTCCCAGCATTGCCATTACTGAGACTTGTCTATTGTTATGTGTGTTTGTGTATGGTGGTCACGTGGCCAGTGTTTTTGCTGTCTGCTGAAGATAGTGGTCCTCTTGACATGTAACATCATGTAGTTTGGTGTACCTCTTGCAGTGTACTGATGACAGACTTAATTGTTTTCTTTTCCAGAAAAGTGTTGTGACGAAGTTCCATTACAGCCCACGTGACCTGATCCTCTATGCATTGGGAGGTGAGTAATGTTGTTAACCCGTTGCCGTGGTTTGACGTGTATGTTTCGTCAGGTATTTAAATCGTCTGGGGGGGTTCGACGTGTATGTTTCGTCCAGCTGCACACCTATGTTATAACGCCCATAATAATTGATGGTTTTGCTGTAGATTGTTAGATTTTTCGCTGGCATGTTGTCAGTAGTACAGAGTATAATATGACACGTCTTTATCTGCGCTAAGTCATTGTTACATATGCCTGTCTTGCAGCAAAGTTCCTGTGGCTCTTGCTAGCGGTTTCACCGTAATGAATGTCGTGTTTCCTTTGCTACGAAGTTATAAACAGCAGAGACGTGATGTGATGTGTTTATAATATCATATTGCCCTGAGCTGGCCACTCTNAAATAATTTTCGAGCAAAATTTAAATGGCCGGCTGAATATATTACCGCAGGAGCCGCGGCCGCGGAATTTAAATGACTGCGTCAAAGGGTTAAAGCAAAAGATGGTAGAGTTGTCCCTGTAACAGGTCCTGGAGGCCCTTAGGGTTGTGATACGTGGAGGTTCCCACATTTTCCAGACTGTTGGCTCACAGATGGTGGTGAGGTTGTGAGCCTCACGTGCCAGCTGGCTGCCATTTACCCACAGAAAGATTCCTGTTACTCATTTCTGTTAGAGGCTGAGTCATCCACAGGACTGCAGTGGGGCTGGACAGATTAGGCCAGTTGAAAAATACATGAATATATATGTGTATAATGCACTTTTCTTGATTGCAGTTGGTAGCACTGTGACCAACCCAAGTGATCTGAGGTTTCTGTATGAAGGCCATGCCGACTTCTCAGCACTGCCAACATTCCTTGTGTTACATGGGGTCTCTGCTATAATGGAGAGTAGCGTTGCTCATGGCGCGTTTGGCGACAGGGATGTGAACCTGAGCAAGGTGAGTGAAGCACTGTGCTACAAGCCAGAGGGTTGTGGGTTTGATTCCTGATGATGTCATTCCATTTTTCAATTGACCTAATCCTTTTAACTGTACTATGGCCCTGGTGTTGACTCAGCCTCTAGCAGAAATGAGTACCAGGAATCTTCCTGGAAGGTATGGTGCTTATGGCTGACAACCTCACCAACATCTGTGAGGTGCTTGCCTACAAAATGTGGGAGCCTCAGTGTTTCACAACCCTGTGGTCTTCCACAGCCTGTTACAGGGATAGCTTTACTAACACTGGTAGCAGAACCAGAATGTTCAACACCGCTAATACAAAAATTATGCACGAAGCAGCTCCTGTTTGAATGTAACTGTCACAGTGCGGTGGGAGCTACTTCCCAGAATGCATAGCAGCATCTGACTGTTCTTATGAGAGTGGTGTCTGCAAGAGTGAAGCATCTGACATGTTTGTGCAGATTTCTCATCCAGAAACTGAGTTAATTCCAGTGGAACTGAACAGTTGAAACATGTGCACCTTACAGGCGTCCCTATAATTGGGCACGGGACTTGTCATGTGGGAACATAATTTTTGTTGACTGAGAGAGGACTTTTATTATTGCTGTGTTGCCAGATATTGCATGGTGAGCAGTACTTGGAGTTACTGGCCCCTATAAGTACCGAAGGGACTCTCGAGGTGCATTGTAAAGTGGTGGACGTGCTGGACAAGGGCTCTGGCACCCTTGTACTGGTGGAAGGTAAGTGCAGTGCTGAAGGGTTAAATACTGTTCCTTGCAACGTCAGCTGATTGACAAAGGCCAGGAATAGGTAAGTTCTGATTAGGATTGTTCTTCATACCAGTTGGGGCACCCAGGATGTGAAGGCTCAATGCATCTTGTGTTCCCACTTTTTGCTGGTACACTATGTCTCTGTCTGCTCAGATAAAAACCAAGGGCTTGAGAGCTGGGTGCCAGTATGCATTGCTGCCAGCATGAAATTACAGTGACTTACATCCAAACACTTCTTGTGTTTCAAACATCCACTGCTCCATAAACATTGAGAATCAGACATATGTTTGCATGATGATTCTGACTGGGAATGACCTCACATATGAGCAGTTGAAGTTAAGACATTCATTCATGAATCACCCTGTATATGAAGAATTCTCATATTTAGTAATCATGGATACATTTAAGATTTTATATATTGACTGGGTGGTAGCCAGGATTGCTCATTCACTACAGCAGCAGGCTGTGGGGTGGATGGCCGGGGTTCAATTCCTCTCAGGCCAAGAGATATCTATCTTCTCCACAGCATCCAGACTGACTCTGGGACCCATCCTTCCTCATATACAGTGGGTACCAGGGGCTCTTTCCCCAGGGGTAAAGTGGCAAGGGCACTACTCATCTTCATCTGGTACTGAGGTCGAAAATGGTGGAGCTATACCTCTACTTCTCTGTACATCTTAATGGCATGGTGCTTAATTAAGTAGGCACATGGACAACTGAACGTTTTACCTTCACTGATTGGGTGTTAGATTGTGATCTGTTAAAGCAAATGTGTTTGCCATGGAACCGTCTTGTTCATATGTCTGTTGGTATTGCAGTGGACACATTTAGTGACAGAGGGGAGAAAGTGGCACATGCCCTGGTGACAGTATTTGCTGTAGGAGTGAAGGGCATAACTGACAAGCGTACATCACCCCTCAATATACCAGCTGTAGAGCCACCAAACCGGCCTCCTGATTCAACTGTTGAACAGCGCACATCTCCTGACCAGGTGAGAACAAGAATGCACACGTTACATGCCACTTTGGTTCAAGCAGTGAATCTCCCAGCTTCTGTTCAAGAGGTGCTCAGTGGGACACCGACTATCCTGATTGAGGTTTGTCATGGTTTTTCTCAGTCCCTCCAGACAGATGGCTGAAATTGTACCTTAAAATAGGCCATGACAACTTCCTTCTGTATCCTTTCCAAGTCACTGTCATCATCGCATGCTATACAACCTGAGCTTCTGACAGTCTCATTAAATGAACTATTGATAACAATGATGACAGCAGCATACCAGCTTCTTTGATTAACCTCTGCCATCTGGGAATGGGGACTTTTAATTGCCCTGGCACTACAGGGCTGGGTGTTGTACCTTAACCATGGTGTAATGACAAGTATGGAAAAATGCAAAGATAAACTTTTATATTAAATTTGTATTGTAAATGAACATTATGATGAATGTTTATATGCAAGACTCTGATAAGTCCGTCTTGAATATGCTGGGTATGGCAGTGCTCAAGGCACTGGAGCATACCTTGCCTCTTCATTCCTCCTCTCCTCCTGCTCCACGAAACATACCCACTTTGTGAGTGTCCTCTCTGGCTTCCCACAGCCCCCTCTCCCTTCCTTCTGCGAGACATCATTCATAATTCGTTTTTCCCACCTTGATGTTGGCCCTCTTCTCGGGCATTTTCCTTTCTCTGTCATATTTAGAAGTTTCTGTGGGATTCTGTCTTATTTCCTGCTTAAAATTTGTCTAAACTCTCTCACACTGTTATTTATTAATTCCTCTTTGAATGTATTTACCTCTAAATTCTCTTGCTCTTTCTTTCGTGGCTTTCCTTCTGTGCTTCTTACTGATCTGATCTCTGCAACATGTGCCTTGGCATGTCCCCATGTTTCTGGTCCAGATGTCAGCATGAGCCTGTAGCAGTTTTTATTTAAGTCCATATGTCCCTTTGGCATTTCCGATTTCCAAACTATATCCATAACTGTTGAAACATTCTTGCATTATTTATTCCCAGTAATTGATTTATTTTCGTAAGCTCTTTCTGGTCTTATTTATTTATAACATATATGCTAGTATTTCTGTGGGATGGCGTCATTCAGATGCAAGCGGGTGCCTCTAGTTCCTGCCTGCACTGACATACTTTCCCCATGTCTTCACTGTGACACATGTCTGCAGGCTGCCCTCTACCGACTGTCAGGAGACCACAACCCACTTCACATTGATCCAGATGCAGCTGCATTCGGTGGGTTTGATCGACCCATCCTCCATGGGCTGTGTTTCCTGGGCTTCTCTGCCCGGCATGTTTTGCAGCAGTATGCAGATAATGATCCAACCAAATTCAAAGCCATCAAGGTAATACAGAAGTTTTATTTTCAGATGAAGATCATTGGCTCTGTGTGTATCATGGTAGAAGTTTATCTAAAGGCCTTTCAACTTTCCAATCATTCTTTTTTCATACTTTCTGACCAAGACACCAGCAGCTTGGTCACCCATTCACAGTAGAGACCCGTGTCAGGATTGTGTGTCATAACTTGAGTATGTGACCTTAGAGAACAGAGCTATGCGGTCAGTGAGCTCTCCAGTATAGCGATTTTTGTTCCTATCATACATTGGAATAAAATCTGCTACTTTTCTAATGATCACGCTCCCTCATTTAGACACAGTATATAGCGAATTAGGAAATGTACTCATAGCGGAACATTTTTGCCATATTCACTTGGTTTTATATAATTGTGTGAAAACTGTTAGATGGCATTTATACTGGGAATAAAATGTGTTACACTTTTCTCCACAGTTTTTGTTTGAAACTTCTTTCATCTCATAAACACAGTATATCACTAGTTAAACACAAATTAAACTTGAAATGCATGCAGAAACACATACATCTTCATGTGAAGTGTCTGTTAGTCCAGTCTGATTTTAACTGAAATTAGAGTTTTGAACTCCTTAACATCAGTGTTCATGAATTCAGTTAATCAGTTCTTGTGTTGCTTCATGCATACAAGTGAATGGACAGGCTGTAGGGATGTGAACATGCTTGAAAATGTGTAGTCTGCAGTGACCATCGGATGGTGGGTACCTGGCTAGATCTGACTAATATGTAATATTACCACAACACCACTCTTCCCAGGGGGAGAGAGTCCAGTCGATACACACAGTGGTCCCCTGATGAGCCATCTTTTCATTTTTTTTCTTTTTCAATTTATGTCAAGTGGCTTTTGAAGTAAAGGATGTTACAGATATCACCCACATCACGGAAAAATATGTCTGTCAGGTTTTTCTTTAATAACTACTTTGAACACCCACTTAGAGAATTATTATAGCACTCATTATAAAGCCTGTGAACTTTTCTTTTGAACTGTATGTAAATACATGTTACAACACATAAAGCTTCATGATTATACATAGTTACATGATATGAATTTGGAAATTAACTGCAAAGCAGTAGCATCTAGGATTTGTTTGTGAATTTTCAAAGGAGTTATTAGACAAGAACTTGCAGACATGTTTTTTACCCCAGTGGGGGATGATTTTGTAATACTCTGTATTTCAAAAACCACTTGACAGAAATAATAAAAAAAATAGGCAAGGAAGTTTGGGTGTGGGACCAATATGCATACCAGATTTCATCCCAATCTGTGAGGGGTAATTTTAGTTTCCTGTGGAGTGACGCAGCATCTGGATATTTGTGCTGTAACCCATGTTACAGGTTAGGTTTACCAAGCCAGTGATCCCTGGACAGACGCTACAGACAGACATGTGGCAACAAGGTAACCGTATCCACTTCCAGACCAAGGTGAAAGAGACGGGCATCGTGGTGATATCTGGTGCATATGTTGATCTGACCGAGGTGATTGCCCCACAACCCAAGGTGTGTTTACACAGCTAGCCATATCTTATGTGGGAAGCTCTGTGATTCTGCCTCCATCTTCATGATGTCTGCAAGAAGTTTTGCCTTTCTCTTGGCAATCAATGTTAAGGTTACAGTCTTCTGGGATGTGATGCTGTATAGTTTGGTACACATGTACCAACATTTTGGTCCAACCTCCTGCCTCTTCTGCCCTGAAGATGGAGGCATCAGGTTTGTTCCGAATGTTTGGACCTGTTTGCCATGGTGTCNTCAAGGTAACCGTATCCACTTCCAGACCAAGGTGAAAGAGACAGGCATCGTGGTGATATCTGGTGCATATGTTGATCTGACTGAGGTGACTGCCCCACAACCCAAGGTGTGTTTACACAGGTAGCCATATCTTATATGGGAAGCTCTGTGATTCTGCCATCTTCAGAATGTTTGAAAGAAGTTTTGCCTTTCTCTTGGCAATCAATATTAAGGTTACAGTCTTCTGGGATGTGATGCTGTATAGTTTGGTACACATGTACCAACATTTTGGTCCAACCTCCTGCCTCTTCTGCCCTGAAGATGGAGGCATCAGGTTTGTTCCGAATGTTTGGACCTGTTTGCCATGGTGTCACCCTACAGGACTGCAGTCTTGAGAAATTCTGTTTCTGTGGAACCTGAAGGTTCACATTCATGTGTACAAAATTCTGCCAGTGAACCCTGGCTTGAGCCAGTTCAGTCCACCCATTCACAACCAGTTCCACTCAATATTCTGATATCATCCAGATCTTCCAAGTTACGTTTTTCCTTCATGTTTTGGAACCAGAATTTTTATGTGCAATTCCAGGTTTACACACAGTGATTAGTAAGCCACAGATTTGCAGTGCTAGTGACATACAGAGGATAGAAGTGCATACAAAATTTTGTTTAGGAAATCTGAAAGAGAATTATGTAATGATTTATACATGTCATGTAACCACATAGGTGGTCACGATAGGCTGGATATGTAGCTAGGATGGGAAAGACAGAGAAAGGGGTACATAATATTGGTGAGGACCTCTTGGAAAACAGTAACTTGCTCTATGTCACCTGCCTTATTTCCAGAAAATGCTGATAGGTCACAGAGGACTATACATTTTGACAGAATCTTTGATGTGAAACTAGATTCAGCTGTCACAGGATGGTTCAGTTATGGGCTTTTGTGAACACAGTAATGAATCTTCATGTTATATAAAAAGCAGGAGTTTCTTGCCTCGCAATGTAATTGTCAAGTTCTCATGAAGGACATTGTACTGTGGACCTCATCAGTTTAGCTGACTCAGAATGTTGCCTGATAACATTGCAGTACAGCATGTTCAAGGTCATGCTCACATGAGTGGCTCCAAAGGTCAGTAGCTATGATGTATGCAGGTTGTATTAGTTTCAGTACCTGCCATCATGCCATCTCCTGAGGTAAGCAAGGCAGAGTTGAAAAGCAAAGTGTGCTGTATTTGTAGTCATGAAGGTATATCTGGTTTATTCAGGAACTGCTTGTTAAGTTGAACCCCCTTACATCATCCACATTCCAAAACATCAAACATTAAGTTGCATAACCCCCCCCCCCAATTCTGTATGGTTGTTAATGGTTTTTATTTATTTTGCATATTTCTGTATATAAATTTAGACGTTTCTATGCCATCACATAATGCCTTGATTCTGATATATATAATAAGCGGCTGAATTGAATATATCAATAGATCTGTTCATTAAACACTACATGTTTCGGTCATTGTCATCTTGAGTTTTGGCTTTGTTGCATAATGACAACCCTTTACCATCCTCCATAACCAAAAATCAAGGGCGTTAATTTAGTATATCTTGTAGGCCAGAGGTAACAGGCTTTCTTTTTCAAGGAATACTTTCGTGAAAGTGACAGCTTATTGGAGGATCCTGTATTATGGGAATGTTAATAATTTACACCCATTACCTGGCACTGTTAAGACAGTGCAGTTCATATGGTGGAAACATCGCTATACTGTAACATGAAGCTATGTTATTTGTCCAGGTATCCAGACCTGCGCTGCAGTCAGACAGTGTGTTCGACATGATGAAGAAAAGGATTGCAGCGAACCCAGAGCGCGTGAAGAAGATTGGCGGTGTATTCCAGTATAACATCACCAAAGATGGCAGTACTGTTGCATCATGGAGTATGTATTTCACTTGTTTTTCACTGTTCTCCTGCAGTACTGTGATACATACTAAATATTATTTTTATTGATTTCTATCTTATGTTGCCCTTATTGAACATCATGGTTGAGTTGTTAATAATATTCATGCCTTATATTCAAGGGGTCTTTCATTCAAATCTTGGTCCAGAGAATAGCTTATCCCAGGTTTATTGTAGTTTTCCTCAGTGCATACTGGTCAGGATAGCTGAGTAATTGCATTGAGTAGGATATGGGTTGAATTCCTGGCAGGGGCAAGAGATTTTTCGTTTCTCCACAGCATCCAGACTGGCTCTGGGGTCCACCCAGCCTCCTGTCCAGTGGGTACAGGGGCTCCTTCCCCAGGAGTAAAGTAGCCAGAGCATGAAACCAATGACTCACCTGCATCTAGTGCTCAGGTTAAGGAGACATGGAGTTGTTCTTCCACTCCTCGATATATTTCCATGCCATGGTGGTTAATTAAGCACTGAGACAATTTTGGGGGGGTCACTTATGCAAGTCTTGACATATATCATCTTTTTCAGTTCGCTATTCATAGTTATCTTGACACTATGTATCGTCATTAAACTAAATCAAAACTGAATTATCACTGGGGAAGCTGCCTTGCATGGTAATATTTCTGATGTGTTCAGGAGGTACAGAGGTGAAGTCACAGTTGAAACATCTGACCTGACAGATCTTTCTGTGGTTTATCCCAGCCCCTCCAGGTGAATATGATAGGAGCTTGAAATGAGCCATGACCATCCTTTCCATTTCTTCAATCACCAGTCATCCTGCCATTTGAATCTGTATAGTCTCAGGTACTGAGAGTGCTTTTAGACCATAAATCCAAACAAACAAACAAATAGCCATCTGTGTAGTGCACTGAAAGGGATAAAGGCTCACTAAAACTACAATATTTATTGTATAATTCATTACTACACAAATTCACATTTTATTTTCTTCGTGTTTTCTGGGTGTCCGTCTACCTTCTGTGGCCTCAGTTAGCTGTCCGTTCCTGGCCATCACAGTTCCAGCTGTCCCTTTGTCCTAGTTCCCTCTGTGCTAAATACCCAGAGACAATCCATCTCTCTGTACGGTATGTCAAACGTAGGCCCCTTCCTTGGAGGCATGGCTAATCATAATGTTGCATAAGATCATGATTCAGATTTGCTATTCATCCAGTGAACTCCTCTATAGACATAAGAGCTAATGGGGTTCTGGAATCTCTCACCTGTGTTTATGTAGCAGCTTTGAATAAGATCACTGTCTTGCTACTTTGTCCACAAAAGCTGCCATCAGTCTGTCTAGAGTGTGGGAGTGCCGAACTCACAATTTTACTCTGTACACTCTTCCCAACATGTGGGCGACTCCTTGGGCCACAACAGACAGATAACACAGAACTAACATCCCTCTGGTACCAGAGAGCGACAGTATCCAAACAAATAATTGACACTTCAATGGCTGCATAGACATTTGGAATCTTCTCCTTGTTGTTGAATAAACACGCTGTCTGCAATACAGCTTTCGTTCCCCCTCTCTTCATGGATTCATTATCAGTTGACAATCCCATAACTTCCATCTCTTAAGATTTTATAACCTTATGATTTTACATGAGTGACCAGGATGTTTCTATTGACAGCTGTTGACCTGAAGAATGCTACATTGTACCAAGGACAACCACAGGCTGGCAAACCTGACTGTACACTAACACTTGCTGATGAAGATATGGTACAAATTGTAAGTAATTATGTTAAGAATGCACTATTGCTCATTACAGTTGCATACATCTGTAGACAGCAGTAGATCTGTGGGAAGTAATTCTACAGCAGCAGGTACATTTGCTGGAGATGTGTAAATGTCTTTCTTCAGCAGACATCTCACAGAGAATCTTGTGAACACTTCCACTGCCAGCAGCGCTGCTGTTGGCTTACCTCCCAGCCTAGCCACTTTAGCAGTAACACTACCTGTTCATGGCATTTCAGGGCAGAGAAATGAGTAACAGCACATGATCATATACTCATATGTGTAGGAACTGCAAACATAGCCACATGCTCCTCTCAGAGGTTGGGAAAGAAACTATGCCCATAATGCATTCTGGATGAGAAACATTTTGTCTTCTGTGGCATGGCAGAAATGGGTTACGATGGAGGGTGGATGTTCGTTTGCATCTTGTACCTGAGAGTAAGATGGATCTTAGGGAAATGGGCTATGAGAATGGGAAGTGGATGGAACTGGCTCAGGATCGTGTCTAGTGGCGGGCTTTGGTATTAGAAATGTTGAAACTTAGGGAAATGGGCTGTGAGGATGGAACTGGCTCAGGATTGTGTCCAGTGGCAGAGTTTTGTATTAGCGGTGTGGAACTTTGGGTTCTGCTACCAGAAAGTTAGTTCAGTAGCAAGATGGATCTTACAGAAATGGGCTGTGAGGATTGGAGGTGGATGGAACTGGCTCAGGCTTGTGTCATGTTTTCTTATCAAAGAATCAAGCCAGTTCAGTAAGTAGTTCTGGGACTGCTAATTTCTGATGCAACCAAATATATATTTTCTGGTGTTAAGACGTAACTGAATGTTGTAATGTGCAGGCATCAGGCAAGCTGAGCCCACAGACAGCATTCATCAAGGGCAAGCTGAAGGTGGCAGGGAACATCATGCTGACACAGAAATTGGCTGCACTGCTCAAGGAGGAGTCCAAACTGTGATTGCGATGGCAGCGTACACTTCAGATGGTCGCACAGGTCGTGCCTGCTGGACTACTTATGTGGTTATGATTTAGTACGCAACATTGACAGGAGCTCAAACCACTCAAGAAGATTCATGCTGGAATAATGCCAACTGAAGATACTGTTAAATAGGTGCTGGAGTCGTACTGTTATATGGGTTGGGATGGGTTTATTGAGACCGTAACTGTCATTAGGTGGTTTTGTTATGTAAACGCTGGAATATATTTTGTTAAACATTTTTATTAAATACTTATTTGCATCATATGTAACACTTCAATATTCACTCCTTGGTTGTTCCTCGCTCTTTCTTCCCACTGTGTGTCTTGCTCAACTTCTCATACTTGGACTTGCTGGAGTACCACAGCAAGAATGGAACTGCTAGTGATGGTAGAGTCATGACTGCAAATGCTCCCCAGTCCAACTGCCAGACAAAAACAGGTCTCAATTATTGTTGGTAATGCCCAGACATTTGGTTTCTTCTGCAGTGTACAGAATGGCAGAATGGAGCTGGGTACTTACTTACTTATGGAGCCAAGGCCTTCTTGAGGAGAAGCCAAATCTGCAGCTATTCATGAATTTCCCAGCATTTTATGGAACCTGAAGATTCATTACCGTGTTCACAAGAGCCCTCCACTGGTCTCTATCCTGAGCCAGATCAATCGAATCCATACCATCCCATCCTATCCCTCTAAGATCCATTTTAATAATGTTTACCCACCTATGCCTTGGTCTTTCCAGTGGTCTCTTACCTTCTGGCTTTCCCACCAATATCCTATATGCATTCCTTTTCTCCTTCCATTCGTGCTACATGCCATGCCCACCTAATTCTCCTTGACTTGCTCATTCTAATTATACTTGAAGGAGAGTACAAGTTATGACGCTCCTCATTATGCAGTTTTCTCCAACCTCTTGTCATGTCATCTCTCTTCGGTCCAAATATTCTCCTCAACACCCTCGGTCTATGTTCCTCCCTTAATGTCAGAGACCAAGTTTCACACCCATACAGAACCACAGGCAAAATTATAGTTTTGTATATTCTAGGACAGCAGACGAGAAGACAAAGGTTCTGGACTGAATGGCAGCAAGCATTACCCAAGTTCAATCTCCTCTTAATTTCCTCCTCAATCAGGTTTCAATTTGTTATCGTCGTTTCCAAATATCTGAACTACATTTTCAAGACATTTGTTTCCTATCTTTATGTCATGATTTTGCCCTGCATTTTGGTGACGAGACAGCAACATATACTTAGTTTTCTCTGTGTTTACTTCTAGACCGACCAACCTTACTTACGTCAATTAAAGTTTGTGTTTCCCTTTATGGTATCTATATTATCACCCAGAGCTGGGTACTAGTAGTTCCAATATAACTGGAAAGGTGGATGAAGTGGGGGAGCCTATCATCCACCTGAGTTATCCGACATTTGGCTGAAGGTACTGGCAGTCAGTATACAATTGGAAAGGTAAATGAAGTAGGGGGAGCTACCATCCATCTTCAGTACTTTGGTCTGTAAGAAGTTGGCTGATGTGTGGCCAGAGTCCCCGTAACATACAGAGAAAATGAGAGACAAAAAAAAATTAACCCATATTTACTGTGGTATGAAAACCATGACTACAGAGTCGCGAAACAAAAATATGGTAATGAGTCCCACGGTACCCTTGACAATGTAATTTATTTAACATCCATAACTTGACAAGTCAGCTGAAAACAGCCAAACACTACATGTCAACAACTCTTAAGAATGTACAAAACAATATACAATACAATCCCTTTTTCATCAATCAGCCCTTGCTGTAGTTTACCCACCGTGGATGGCAACTCCCAGCAATTCAGTATAAAGCAATAAATATACTTAAAAGCCAAAAACACAAGTCAGCCATGTAAAACAAAGCATCACATGTTAGTGAAGATAACAATCTAAAGACCATCTCTGTACTTCCATATCATATCGAAACTAACTCGAGTTACTGAAAAACTCTTGTAGAGAATGAAACAGTTTTGTAATAATTAACTCTTTAATTTAGAGAACAAGTTATGTGTTTTTATTCTCATGTTGCATAATTGGACATACAAATCCTGTACACTATCAAATATATATAAAGAAGTTACAGTTAAAATCACCAAACAGACTTCTACAAGACACCCTGTTTTTAACTCCTTTAATAAGTATTAAATCTTTTTCAATTATTTTGAATACGGCATTACTGTCATTTGCCCCTCCCAAATATAATGCCATATCTTAGTATAGACTGAAATTTTGTAAAATAAACATTTCTCAATACATGTATACTTACTGAGTCATGTAATAATCAAATAAAGAACTTAGTTTACTTTCTGACAAAAGTACTGTATATAAGTGGCCCAGCTTAAGTTTTCTGTGATGTAAATACTTAACTATTTTATATTTGATGAATAAGTTATTTCTTTGTGTTTTAAATACAGAGTTAGATCTGGCACCTGAGGAAGCCATGCAACATCGAATCCAGCTTCCTGGATATGTCGTGTCCAGCCATTGATGGACATCTCCCCCTTAGTACACTGGAACTCTGCTGTGCTGAAACCAGAACCTCTACCCCACAGCTAGAGGCACATCTTCTGGCAGCCCCAGTAGAAAAGTTCCCAGAAAATCACTGTACCGAGCAGCAGATGGCACTCACAACTCCAGCCCAAATGCTGACATTGAAGGAAAACTCAATACAAATGTTCACGGATAGGATGAATACTGTCCCATGCCGTGAGGCGACGTTCAACATATTCATGCATAAGACACGCTTCATCTGTCCACAGAATGTTATGCAAAAAATGCTGTTTATGTACTACACAGTCCATCTGTAATGCAACTATTCCTTCTTTTATTTTTTTTTCACTTTCACTTTCAACACATGTTTTGGCCCTAAATGGCCATCTTCAGGTGTCTTACTATGCTGAAACTGCTACATTGCACTAATGTTATCCATTCATTACATATGCAACTGTACGCATCATGATTCAAAATGTCATATGCAGTCATCTGCAGTGTGGTGTTGTCATAGCTATTTGCAAAATTGCATCTATAGAGGATAATCCCCTGGGAACAGATGTGCATTCCACAAGTAGTGGCATGGATACAATGATTCTTGTCCAGTACTTCGAGGACTCTCAGTTAGGATATTCCCAATTATTGTGCGATATCACGCGAGCTTCTCCAGGGCTTGTTCCAGGGCTGCAATTATGGATTCCACTGGTGACTTACACTGACGTGTGTCATAGGTGTTACACTTCCTGTCTCACAGAGACATTGCTCCAGTCATCAAAACACTGGTAACATCAACCATGATAATGTAATGCGTATTCCTGTGCAGCAGTACTGAGGTCTAAGCGCATTTTACAGTATTCATCGTGTGTGTATTCTATGATCATTCGATCAGAACTCACCCCTGCTGTGCTGAGTGCCCTGAGTACACCTAACAGTGCGCTACATATCATCACAAAACCGCTGAGAAGAATGTTAACCCCATCTGTTGGTGATTTGTATGTCAAAAACTAAGCATCTCAGCACATATGTTGCATTAGCTATCCGACTTGTTCCTTTAACAAAGCCTCGAGACTACAGACAGCTCGTGCATGTATTTCATTTCACCCTGTATAGTGGTGAGTTATGGAAATCACCACCATGTAGGCCAAGACTAAATGAATACAAGGGATTATTGCTCTAAGCAGAGACTCACCACATGTGACGAGAACTTCTTGTCATAGTCACGGAAGGCAATGATGAGACCCTCACCTGGCTCGCTCGTCACAGCCACTTGCAGCTGGAATATGAAAGCTCTACTTTACTATCTCCATGTTCATCTGAACCTCAGCTGTCACTGCAATCCACAGCAGAAGTTTCCCAAACACTGGACTCTGATCATGTCACACTCAAACACATCAGGAAATGAAAGAATTATACACAAGAGTAACAATATCTCGAGCTAAGAAAAAATGAATTGGAGGATATGTGTGGTTCATACACCTGTCTTGTGTACTGTTAGGGTACTGAACTGAAAAGTTTATGACTGGTTAAACATGTGCCTTCAGAAAAAGGGGGGAAAAAATTTATAATTCTGACAGATGAACCTGAGAAGTGGTTACCTGAAAGATAGGGAAACAACTGTGTGGATAACATTAAAACGAATTTTTGCTTTGGTGTTAGTGTTGCTGAATCTTCGGTCTTTTTTAATTATGGAAAATGTTATAGAGGCAGTGAGCCCTGAACCTTCCACCCTGAAGATAGAAGCAGCAGATTCTTCTAAAGTGTTGGCACTTATATTAAACCATGTGGCATCACATTCAAGAAGACTCTGTGTGTTCACCACCGTGAATCTCACAGATAAAAATAGGTTTCAGTTTTCCCATGCACAATGCTACTAACATGTAAATGTTCTTAAATAGAACACTGTTATTCTCAATCTGAACTCCTTCTTATAATTCATTACTGCACATCAGCTTGAGGTGCTTTCTAGATATAATGAATTCAGGATCAGCAAAATGGAACTTCAGAGTACCCATCAGAAGTTCATGGTCAGGGTTCCACAGATATGATGACTCACTTCAGATGCGTCCTCTGTTGGCCTGTAGTTGACTTCTGCAGCTGTGAAGTTAAAGTAACCATACTTCCTTGGTCTGACTACCACCACATGAGATACGTTGGTCCCTGGAGGAATCCTATCAAGTTTAATGTTGAGCTGTCCGCCCACGACAGTGAAAGCTTCTGGGTGGAAGCTGTTATCGCTCAGCTGAACTCCAAGGGCAGCACTGGCACCAACATTGTACAGTGTGTACTGTAAATACGGTCAGCTCATAACCACAAAAATTACCAATGAGTCGCATTGATACAAATATTGTACTGTGAAAGATATAAAAACAGCCAAACTTCTCAGATAGTATGACATGAAAATATAACGCCTGTACAAACCTTAACTACAATGTCCATGTCTTCAACCAGATACTTGTTTAGTATTTGTTTAGAAATGAGCAATCTGGCAGCGGTCTCTTCTTCCTCGTTCCCATTTATATACACTGCCAGGGTAACAAGAAATATGAAATTTAAAATTTTCATTTTGAAAAAATTAGTAATACAATAGTGATTGATAAACTAATCAACGTGGTATACACATGTACACTTCCTAACCTTCACCAGACCACTTAACCATTCACTAACCCTCCTTCCGCCGCTCCTACGTCACAACTTGTAACTGGCTGCCAACCACTGCCAACTCATCAATTGCATCCCATGTCACGGGTCACAGGAAATATAATGTGAAAAGATCTTTGAAAACACGGGAAAGAGTGGCGTTCGTGTGTGAAAGAAAAAGAAGAAGAAGAAATATTTTACCCAGATGTAAACTTAGGTGCGCTTCGTGAAAGAATGAATAGGCAGGGCTATTTATAACTGTAACTTATATCATTAAATTGTACCATACCAGCATTAATTAATTACAAGTCCTGAAGCTGATGTTGCATTCTCATCATACAGCTACTGTTTCTCTGTTACTGATTCCCGCTCCTGACATCTTTGAGCATGATACAGAACTATCTGACTGTCTGCATGCTAGTGACATCTGGTGAGATTACTGAAAACTTACTGTAACACACAGAAATTGTGCTCGAGAACGGTGTTAGTCAAACACCGGGCCGCAGCCCAGTACCGGACCCTGGCACGAATTATACCAGGACGTCTTATGAAAAAAGAATTTACGGGGTCGCGGTCTCACAAAGGTTGAGAATCACTGTTGTGTGCTTCGGCCCTACTATTGGGTCATCCTCAGGTGGTACAATACTTAAAACGTCAATTAATGAACTGTTCTGCCATATATCTTAATGAACATGGAACCTCGTTTGGAAGTTTTACATATATATATATATATATATATATGGCATGACAATTAAGTGCAGGTAAGTACTGTACCACTTGAGGATGACCCAGTAGTGTGGTAGAAACATGTAGTGGATTAAAATAAAAGACGCTAAACACTAGGTGGTGTTAATGGCCGTGAATAGATAATCTCGTGTAAAAACACAAAATTCAAAAATCAAAGACAAATGGATCACAGGCAAGGATGAGCACAAATATATTCTTGATATATTCAGAAAAGACTTATGAAGAAGTTCAAGCAGACAGTACCAATGCTCAGTTGGAGGGCCCTGTGGCAGCTGCCCGCTTCGGCCATTTGATAAAGTAATCCTAGGTGTGACACCCTATAGTCTGGTGGTTACCAACATTTCACAGGGACCAGCTGCGTCCATCATCAGAGTAGAAATGAAGGCAGAGTGCTCCTCTGGAACATTGGTTACTCTTCTACCAGACTACACGGTGTCACAACATTATTAGCTGAATTAATTTCGTAGAGAAGACATGTCACGTGCATTCTGTGAGGTAACAATCAGCACTTGGTATGAGGTCATCCATTTAAAGAGTTAAACAGTGGAAGAACCTGAGCTGTAAGACGGCTCTGAACCACACCCACTATGACTGTCAGCAATAGATCTTGTTCATATTTGACAACAGGCTGATCTTCTTTGTCAGTAGACAACGGACCAAATGCATAATCTGCATGAGGTTGGAATTTGACGACTACCATCTTGTGGTTCGATTCAGTATTGTTAAATGAGATTTATGGGTCATATGGCAGAGACTATGAAGAAATATTGTGGTATGTGGACCCAATGCTGTACGATGACCGCAAAATAAATAACTATACAACGGCCGCTGCTAAGTAACGGATCCGTAAACGAGCATATCTCCAATGCAAAGAGAGAGTACAGCAATAATGGAAGCAGTTTTTTTCTACGCGGTCCGTGTCGAGGTGTTATAAAGAGGGCCAGTTGTCAGGCTTAGGCGCCGGCTGCCCTTTACTCCTAGGAAAGTTCCTGATACTCATTTCTGTTAGAGGCTGAGTCGGCCCCAGGGCCATAGTGCGACTGAAAGGATTAGGTCAATTGAAAGATCAAATGATGTCATAGGGAATCGAACCCGCGATTCCGGTCTTGTAGCATAGTGCTTCAATCAGCTGCGCTACAGCGTGCTTTCATTTATCGTTCCCAGCATTGTATTGAACCCGAAGGTTCATTACCGTGCTCACAAGGACCCTCCACTGGTCTATACCCTGACCAGATCAATCCAATCCAAACCATCCCATCCTATCTCTCTAAGATCAATTTTAATATTGTCCACCCACCTACGCCTTGGTCTTCCCAGTGGTCTCTTTCTTTCTGGCTTCCCAACCAATATTCTATTATTTTTTATTGCTAGTGGGGTGGGACTAAGTCCCTTGTACTGCGGCCACTTCTGGCCTATTGTACCAGCCCCAGATGATAGGTGAGGGTGGAATGAAGATTGGCAGGGGAAACCGAAGTACTCGGAGAAAACCTGCCCCAGCGCCATTTTGTCCACCACAAATCACACTTGACCAGGCCCAAGATCGAACCCGGGCTACCGCCGTGGGAAGCCAGCGACTAACCGCTTGAGCTATGGCGCGCATCAATATTCTATATGCATACATTTTCTCCCCATTTGTGCTACGTGCCCTTCCCACCTCATTCGCCTCGACTTGACCATTCTAATTATACTTGGAGGAGAGTACAGGTTATGAAGCTCCTCATTATGCAGTTTTCTCCAACCTCCTGTCACTTCATCTCTCTTCGGTCCAAATATTCTCAACGCCCTGTTCTCATTTATCGTTAGAATTTCGAAATTGGTCAAGTTGCCCTACAACGACAACACTGCAGGATGAAGTCCGGGTTTGGAGGGGAGGTGGGGGCAGAAAGATGCAAACGGAGGGATGATGAAACACGGCTGATGTGGCAAGGGCATGTTGTTGAACGAACATCACCAATTACTGGAGAACACACTGAAATGGGGTCCGGCAGGGAGCGAGGATGGGCGGAACTAACTAAGTTTCCCGAATTCAAAACAGGCTCCAAAATGTCACGACCCTCTGATGTGGGGTTCTCTCAGCGCCCGCTGCATCTGAGGGCATATTCTTTGCATTTCGAATCTTTAAAATTTCGCATTCATATCCTCTGTTCTGATTGGATACCGTCACAGGTCACGTCATCTAATTCCTGGCAGCAATACTACTCGTGTAAGACAGTAAAACTGACATAACACGCACGCAGAACACGTAAAACAACACTTAATTTGCGATATTTAGGAGTTTTCGTAGTTTCGATACGGTAACGTAGTAAGAAGAATAGCGCCCAGTTCCACCATCTGTTGGCAATTCAAGGCAAGAGCCCTGTGATATTCAATAATGGATAAGCAGAAACAAATCGCAGCCCAGAACGAAAAGATTCAACTAAAAAAAAAACTAAATTCCGTGGTCTCAGTCCGCAAGCGAACTATACCGTCCGAGCGACCGCCGCTTGCAGGCGAAATTAGTGCCAACTTTAGCCGCTAGAAGGTGTCGCGTGGTCAGCGCAACGAATCCCCACGGCCCTTAATCTCGGTTTTCTAGACCGGAGCCGCTATTTCCTTGAAATAGCTACTCAATTATGCTCACGAGGCTAAGTGGACCCCGTTCCAGACCCACTACTTCTCAAAAACCCGGACCTCTGGATCTGTAGCCAGGAACTCTGACCACTAGACCAGTGGAGGTCACGAAAAGATTAATCCTATATATTTAATGATCTAAGTCAAGTTAGAGGCTGGCCCCTGCTTCCCTCTGTGACAACGGTTCCACTCCTTGCTTCGCACTAACGCGCACTATAGCGAGAAACAAAACAAACCAGTTGCTCAATACAGATAAAACGATTTCCTTTTTATTGATAGTAGTGTAATCTCTGAACTCTGGAGGTCTGCGCCCCAGTCGAAACATGGACTTTGTGCCCATTCTTGATACAGACTTCAAACTCAGTTCTGATGCATTGGGTGAAAACAACCGCCATCAGACAACTCCACGTCGACCAAAAAATTATATGCAATGTAATGCTGTGTTTGGCAAGCCGCAGCCCGCGAACCGAATGCACAACTGCACCACTAGTCCCAGACATAGCACGACGTGTGATCGCAACAGTTTCGGGAACTGGGCAATAACATCTGGGAAGGACACGCGACGCAGGCTGTTCTAGCTGCAGCGCTATAGACTGGTATTCGACAGGTAATCGGTTCGAACCTCAGCCGGGACCTAGAGTATCCTGAGTGAAGTTCTTCATGGTTTTCCTCAGTACCTGCAATCAAATACCGGTATAATACGCCTTTCATTCGATTGGTCCAATGCTAGGATCTCTGACGAATTGAAAAGGATTTGGAAGGAAACTCTTGTGGTCTGATTCAGATACCATCCAGACATTTGCCTGGAGAGACTGACAAAAATCACGAACAAATCTCAAGTGTCACGGTAGCTGGTGTTTCGGCCGAGATTCGAAGCCAGTACCTTCCGAAAACGGATGTAGAGAGTTACCGCTACGCCATCAGGCTCGGAAAATTCTACCAGTCTACAAGGCGTCATATCTTCTGTCTATCAATTCACCCACCCGTCTTTCTCTCTTTTCCATTTTCCTCTCGTTCATTCTTCCTACACTTTCGTTTTTATGTACGACATTACTGAGTTTCAGGGACAAGGGACTGGACTTTGCACTGTCCCCACGTCAGTCCAGTCAGAAACCTCTTGCCATTTGTCAGTTTCAGGGGCTCGTCTGGGCTAAGTCCTGCGGCCATTTGCATCATCCTCGGACTCTGGCCGCGTGCTTCAGTGTCAGCCACAGCCACATGTCCTTACGTCATCAGGCTGCAAGAGAAAGGGCCTGATTCGTATTGCTCCATTTTTATTATTATTGTAACGTGCATTAGTGTGACTCGATTTATTGACCACTTACACACTCATGCCTCGTAAGTACAGCGCCACCGCTAATGTCTGAAATTCACAAATCACCACAGCACCCGCTAAGACTTCCCCAGCCGGCTGTATCTTCACCAGCCGTTCCCTGGTAACGGCTTCTAACAGTGGTAATTTTTCAGCTTCACGCGCTCATATCCTCTTCTCACAGTCTGCCGTGTAGAATTCAACTTTCAACTGACTGGGTCCCAAGCTGGCGGCCACTTCACACCAACCTCCTAGTCTTTCCTTCACAGCCAGACTGTCAACTGACAACTCGCTGAGCTCTAAACCTCGTCCTACTTACATCCTCTCGGCACGGACCGCCACGAGAACACCGTCTCCACTGTTACAGTGTTCGTTTCCGCGGGCACGCGTTTACCGAACCGTTGCCTCGGAACTGGCCTGCTACATCCGCCCCTCTCGCAGTCATTGCATAGCAACGGCTGTTTCTCCGGCTCCACAGTTCTTGCCTTGAGTAATTATGACACAATATTTTACGTTACCGTCGGTAGTTAGACTAAATTTCGTAGGATCGTAGGATGAAAGATGAATCGGAAGGGATGTGGAAGGAAGCGGTCATGGTCCAATCGAGTGCCATTCGGCATTTGCCTGGAAGAATTCATTAAAACGAAGAACTCAATCAAGATGGCCGGTGTCTTGGCCGAGACGCGAACTGCCGAAATTAGAGCGTTAACTTTGTGCCAAGCAAAAAGATAACTATTTTAATCTACAGGAAGATTTACAATTTATTTAGTGATGAATAGCTCGGACCGCACGGGGTCAAACCGAATTTGGGAGGATGGGTGGAAGCGGTCGTGGAGGTCTTCTGAAGGCCATTTATGACCGTACACAAGAAATGGCCGCATTATGGGTGAGCGTGGCTGATGAGCAGCATCTAGTGAGGGGCCCGCAAATTGAGACGGTTAAGTCCATCGGCTTCAGGTCTCGGACGGACATGACTTCCACAGAAGAAGTAAACATGTATGGAGAGAATGAAGGAGAACACATAGAAGCTACCGTATAATAAGGCAAGAGACGAGGAGGCGAAGAGAAAGATCTCAAAGAAGAGACTCGATAAATTAAGAAAATGATAGTGTGAGACTTTTGTTGTCATGGCAGTACCAAGCTCGCGTCTTCTGTAGTGTTACACAGTTTAGTTCAGTAGGTAAGCAGCGAAAATGGCAGTTCCTCCGAAACTTCGGTACGTGTGTGTCACGACGCCATTACCGCAACATAAGCGCTCTTGGCACTGCATGAAAACATAACCTTCACGGGCGCTGCAGTTCATGTTTAGGTTCAAGGTATCGCTTGGATTTATGGCGAGACTTGGTACTGGAATTGTGAACAAAATTTCTGGAATTCCTGAAATCGCATTTGTTACTCTCTGCCCCAAGTTTTTCCCCTCAGGTCTGTCCGATAATACAATTCGACTTTGACTCTTGTCTCGGAGGAGAAGGCAAACAGCAACAAGCAACTTAGATTCCAGAGAAGAACGGGGTAAACATATGCTCTTTGGTTTATTTCATGATTTGCTAGCCTTGATGTTCATCTGTTGCCGAAAGTCTAACAGTGCACAGACGTTACATTGCAGAGAACCCGAGAGTGAGGTTATGGTAACCCAGAGAGTCGGCAGAGCGGGCAGTACTAAATTATGCTGGAAGCTGACTCCGCAATTGAAACATTCAGCGACTTCAACAGATATCGAACCCACGACCTTGCGGGTTGTAACGTAGCGCATCAACCAATTACGCTACCACGTGATCCTGATTGTTTAATTTGCAACACAAAATCCAATATTTGGTGGTCGGTTCCCTCTTGCGCAACTGCGTCCCAAAATTGTGGTCGTGCTGGTCCATTACAGTTTACACAATTTCTGTAGGACGGACCATTTTTCGATGTATTTGATGAATTTTGAATTTCGGTTTCCCCTACAATATGGTTTATATTTTACCTGCTGTCAGCACAGAAATTAAATTCTGCTTACTAATTTTTTATAGACAACCCTCAAAACCAAATTTCATCAAAATCCATCCCGCAGATTCGGCTACGAAAGATGCGCAGAGGTAGACGGACAGGAATTTATGCTCCTTTACTCTGTGTACTACATGCAAATACATGTACAAGCATCTATCGCCTAACCCACGCGAACTCTACGGGCCTCGAACTAAGGACCGTTCCGTAGGAGGCTAGGTGCCCCTAGAAGTAATGGGACTAGAAACCCAATCCAAGTCCTCCATAACACTGGGCAGGCACAACAGAAATTTGTTTTTTGATAACGAGTGTTTCGTGAAGGTGGGGACAAGGCACTTGGTGCGGGGCGACGGGGAGCATGGGACAACAACTGGACTCATAGGGCGAGGGCACATCAAGGAAACTAGCAACCGCAACGCAACTGCAATTTCCGAGAATTGCTATCAGCCAGAGTGGAACACATGTTACTGAATGGAGCAATGCAAATTGAGGAAACGGCAACGCAGTTGCGGTTGCGTTGCGGTTGTCAGTTTCCTTGGCGCGCAAGGCTATATAAGTGGGTGTTATGGGCAGGAGCAAAGCACTTCGATGCGCTGCTAGGCAACGGGACAGGTGAGTCACAAGTGACTGTAGATTTATATTCGATAAAGGGTTCTGACGAGATGTCTTTCCAGGGCGGGGCGGGGGGTTAAGAAAATTAGCTTACGAATTCTAATATTTATATTGGTCGCCGTGCTATTTTTAGGATATGATATTTTTGAAAGGCAATTTTAATTTTGGTGTTAAATATTGAGTACGATTCTTTATCTTTTATTATTTTTATTATTTCTTAAACTCCGGTGGGGGGGGGGCACGTACTTGGATTGACCCCCCCTCACAGCGTCACATTGCGTTAAACAGGTAACGAACTCCAGAATGCAGAATATTAGTTGCTCAGCTGGCCAAGGAATTGACAGAATTTTACTGAACCCGAAAGTTGCTTTTTACCTTGTTCAGGGGATCCCCACATTCTGCCATATACTCGGTGAGATGAATCCAGTCTACTCTCTCCCGAACTATTACTTTAGGATACATTTTAATATTATCGTTCCATCTACGCCTACGACTTCCAAGTGGTCTCTTTCTTTACGATTCTACTACGAACTATTTATAGGCATTTGTTCTGAGTGCTACATTCATCGCCCATCTCATCCTCCTTACGTGGCATGCATACAGTACATATACTACCAAGACGAGAAATGAATACTAACTTGGAAGACCTAGGCGTAGGTGGGAGGATAATATTAAAGTGGGCGCAAGAAAAATAAGGTAAGGAAGTGTCATCTTCAGATATCTGGCTCATGGCAGGGACCAGGGGCGGGCTGGTGTGAACAAGACAATGAACTTGCGGGTTACGCAACATTTTGGGAATTTGTTCTGAAGCTGAGAACGAGAAATGGAGACACGAAGGAACAAGGATCCAAGAACTCCTCCCTTACCGTTCTTTCTTTATTACGCTCGTAAAAGATCACGGGCTCGATTCCAGAGGAGGTCTTTGGATTTTTCAATTGACCTAATCCTTGCAACCACACTGCGACGCTGGGGTCGACTCAGCCCCTAACTGAAATGAGTACCAGGAATCTTCCTGGGGGTAAACGTACTGCCGGTGCTTTAAGGCTGACAATCTCACCGCCATCTGTTAACCGATTGTTTAGAAAAAGTGTGAGCCTCGACGTCTCACAACCCTATGGGCCTCCATGGCCTGTTACAGGGAGAGCTTTACTTTTGCTGTTTTCATAACCAGGTTCCATATGACGTCGCGTTAACTCGCTTTACGTCATTGTTGAGACGTCCCTAGTGTTGTGGAAGTGTAGGTTGAGAGCCCAGAAGAGAAAAAAGGGGGGGGGATGGAGCCAAAGTAGAAATCAGCAGGGTTAGCAAGTGCAACGCGTGGGTTCTGTTCTACTGACGCAGCAATTCAAGCAGCAAGTCGGAGCGTCACACTGGGGAGTCGAACTCCGGTACCTCAAAGAGTAAACTGTAGCGGACCCATTCATACCGAATTCCCCAGAAAGTTACCTTTGAGCTAACCCGCGCTTCCTTTCAGGCCGCGATGGAGAGCGTCATGCTGCTGATCGGCGCCGCTCTGCTTGTCGTCTCCGTCCTGTTCTTGTTCAGCCACGGAGCCAAGAGGGCGCGGTTCGTGTCCATGGTGAACAAACTGCCGGGTCCACCGGCTTACCCAATCATCGGCAACTCTCTGGACATGGTGGTACCTCGCAACCGTAAGTAAGAAACAAGTGTGTGGGGGAGTCATGAGGCCTCGGTTCAATTCCCGGCAAGGGAAAGAGGTTCTTCTCTTTTGCACAGCCTGCAGACCCGTTCTGGGGCCCACCCAGCCTCCTATCGAAAGGATAAAAAGAGGCTATTTCCTCGGAGGTAATGCGGAGGGGGCGTGAAGCTGATAACCCACTTCCATCTAAAACTGGAGTGAGCAAACAACGGCCCCAGACCACGATCCGGCCCGCGAGAACTGTTCATTTAGGAGCGGCAAGTGTTTTCCCAAATCGGAAAAATAAATTTTAGTGCGTGGAAATGAACATTGGTGCGCTCGTGGCGCATTTAAGCAGAAGCTAAGGAGGGCTACGTTACGGCCAAGCCAGAGCTCAGCTTGCCGTCTGCTTCTGCCGCTTTCTCGCTTGACTTACTCTTCGACCCTGAAAATGGAGACGATATGTTCCTCCGAAACGTTGGGCTGTATCCTCACTACATGTCACTGCGACCACCGAAGCATAGCCATCACCCTCACATTTCGTCCGGAACCCTGTGACGTCAGCAGAGTCCGCCTGTATGTATGCTTTACTACTCACAATCTCTTACAGGCCTGTTCGAGGTGTTCCAGGGGCGGACCCAGAGGTATGGACCACTCTTCAGAGTCTGGGCGGGGCCCTTTGCGCAGGTCAACATTTCTAGGCCAGAACATGTCGAAGTAAGTAAACACGGCTCTTTATCAACTGCGCAGGATGTTTAGAGCAAAGTGACAAAGTCCTCAAGATAATATCTCAAACACACTGAAGTTATCTCTTTGCCTGATTAAGCATTGCGCCACGGAAACGTGTGGGAGAGTGGAGTTATAGCTCCACGCATTCTTGGCCTTGGCTCTAGGTGGAGGTGAGCGGTCAGCTTCACGCTCCGGCCGCGTCCAGACCTACTATGTAGTCCATCGAGCACCCTAGCAGATATGTTCCGGGATATCTTTCTCCGGGCTACAGGGGATGGAAGATGTGAAGGTGACCATTCACCTTCATCTATTGCCGAATTTAAGGATCCGTGGAGTTGTACCTCCACTCTCCTATACGCCTTCATGGCGTGCTCATTAATCAATGAGTCATTCAAGTGGTTTTCTCAAACGTACATTAAGTTACATAAATCATTCACTTCTTGAAACTAAATCCTTCTTGAGAAGCTAAGAGTTTTTCAGCCATACGAGAAATTCCATGCATTTTTATGAAATCAGAAAGGTACATTGCCTTGTTCACAAGAGCCTGCCACTGGTTCCTACCCCGAGCCACATGAAACCAATCCACATACTCCCATCTTTAGGATCAATTTTAATATTATGTTCCCATCTATGTCTAGGGCTTCCTAGAAGTATTCCTTGTTGACGATATCCTACAAATCTTGCACACATTTCACTCCATGCGTACTACATTCCCTGCTTATCTCATCCTCGTAGACTCGATACATTAGATCACAAGACCTCCACATAGACCGGTCTCCCCACCAGCTGCACAGCAGCGCCTAGCGGCCGATGATGCATACTTCTTGCTGTGACGCAAAGAATTACACGCTTCACAATAATCTTACGGCTGCACCTTTGTTACCGTTTCCCTGAACATTATATTTCACCCAAACTCTGCAGGTACTAGCGTAATAAGGTCCTTCATGCATGCCCACACGAACAACAACTTTACGAAATAAACACCTGTTTCATGAATAACTATCAGCTTTTTATAATGGTAGATATTGTGCTCAGCTGTTGCACTCTACAACATGTAAGCAAACTTAGGGCTGAATGCCCTCAAGAGCAAAACCTTAACAAAATTTATTTTAAATTCTGGTGTTTTAACCAATACCTACAAAATACGCACGTACCACACGCGAAACACTTCCTCCGAAATGGTGGTCGCCTTTCAATTACAGACATCATTAACAGCAAAATGTAAAGGCTCTATTTCATTATTAAAAGAAACATTGTTGCACTTATTGGAGTTCAGTCCTGATTACACGCGTGCTTATAAACTGTCACCTTATTCACATACGAAAGATCTCACAATAACTGCATTTTTTCGCTTCTTACGTAAAACGTTGTTAGCAATTGCGCAAGACAAGGGTATCGTGTAGAAGCTATTGCCGGTCTGTAATTGAGGCTAGTGAAGGAAACGTGCCCTGCCAAGTCTCGACAGTTCAAGTGAACTAGTGGTGACGTTTCGGCAGCAGAAATTTCACGTTACCATAGTCACACTGCGAGATGAAGGTTTCCTTAATTAAAAACCGGTACTGAAAAAGGGAAATTTTTAATTAACAAAACCTGTATATATATATAATTTCTACTCACTGTTTCGTATCGGTTGGAAAGTTATTCGGTACAAAACATATTGAGGATTGTGTATTATGAACTTGGAGTGACAATTGGGGTGCTTGTGGTATCTCATGGCATTATTCCTGCATTTGCTTCGAGGAGAATTATAAGACCTTCAGACAGTCCAAAAACGACTTTTTCAGACCGCGATGTATGTACAGGCCGGCGGGACAGCAGATGTGACTGTGGCAGGGGGCGCACTTCACAAGCCTGTTTCAGAACGCAATGACGAAACCTGGTGACGAGTCGGGGTCCTCTGGGATCCGTAAAAAGACTTCTTGAACAGATAATACTGAAAGTGTAGGAATGGCCATGCACAAGGAATATTATTACCAAGACATGATTAGAATTAGCGTTTCAATAAATTCATCTTGTTTTGCCAAAGAACGGTGCATTCTTGTCATCCTTGATTTCAAATTTTTGGACATGTAGCACGAAAGCAATTTCATACAACACATACGATGGCACTTCCATCGGGCCATCTTTTGTTTCGGCACATTTTTGGAATTTTCCATCCGTACACCACTGAAAACCCCGTGTCATCTCTTATATATATATATGTGTGTGACCGGCTATAGTGAAATTAACACAAAAGCAGGGCCACTCATCTACATTGCCAAAAAAGACGACTATCAGAGAGAAAAAAATTTTAACAAAAGGCCGGGATTTTGCACTCACTGTAACAATGACTTCAACTACGGGCGTGCACCGTTTTTGTTTCACCCGCTCTACACGGTGAGGCACAGGATGTGAGCGGGGACCTGAAACAAACAAAACAGAACAAAATACTTCTGTAAGAACAGTAACAAACACATTCTGGGATCAATTATCGAGATTAACATGGAAACTTACCTTGTCTGTGTTGTGGGTGTTGTTACACTCTCTTCTGTAGCGCAGGTCTGAATTTAAACGAACAATTATTGGTTCAATACGCCGTACGTTTTGGTATCCTTGTAGCTTGTAACATTTGTCCACTGAAGTTGTCCACGTTAAAATGGACTCCTCAGTGAAACAGAACACGCGGCTTTAAGTAATTTTGTGCAAGGAGTTAAAACTGAAGGCATATCGAACTCAGCAACTGCCATTTTTAATCCAGTACTGAGAATTCTTTGGCGAAATAAAATTCGGACGTCTTCTTCTGTTAAAACGCGATTCAAAATTATTGTATTCCAACGACGCTCTTTTGAGTGCCTAACAAAAAGACAGAATATGAATGCGGCAAATTCACTGACGTCCCGGCGTATGGAAAGTCTTCGTCCATTGTGATGACGTCACGCAGCCTAGCGGCTACTGACAAAACTATCCAATGGTAGCACGTGTCATCGGAGAGAAACTGGTTATTACTACAGTTAAGTTTCTGTTCACGTAATATCTTAACTTCGTCGTCACTCGGCGATCTTTACTGACACCAGAAATGTCAATGTCACAGATCCGCGTCTCTACAAGACTCGATTTTACACGGATTCGTGTAACGCGTTTCTTCATTACAAGACTAGATGCGTTCTCTAAATGCTACATCTGCTAGTGCTGCACATTTTGTAGTGCAGCTTCACAGCACAATGCACAACAGCAAACACAATGTGTCACTTCATACACTTCAATATCCTTCCCACATATCCTTACAGATTCAGACACTTCAATATCCTTCCCACATATCCTTACAGATTCAGACACTTCAATATCCTTCCTTCATATCCTTACAGATTCAGACACTTGTCTTTCAGCTTCGAAGTGAAAGACGGGTCAAAGCAAAATTAAGTTTCGCTTAGAGAATCTTTGTCCTTCCAACGCGAGTCATTCAAGGGAGAGTCTGCAAAGTTCTTTTTTATCCCTCTCTCTCTCTCGCATTGATTTCATTGTCGTGCCGACCGAACCCTGTCAAGTTGACACCCTGTGCTATAAAAAAAGACACAAATACTTACAACTAAACCCTCCTAAATGAACATCCATTGTTATGCCAGCAGGGGGCAAAACTGGACACAAAAGCTAAATTCACTACGCCTAACCAACAATCCTATCGTGGGGCACCTAACGGGGAGGGCGGGAGGACAACACCTTACAGACTAATATAAAAAAATATCAAATACACAGGGTGTTCAACTCGACCTTAACCTAAGCCCTGATTCATGGCGGCTACCACATCAATAAAGTATCCCGTGGCCCGGTAATGTTTATCATGACCAGCCTGGGGCCGGACTGAATCATGATAAGACCGTGCAGTGCAATGGCATACCCGATTTGATGCGAGTACCCAACCCCATCCTCCTGCGGACGGGCCCTCAAACGCTAAAGNCGCGAACACGCACGCGCACTTTTGTCTGTCTGCTCTTGAATATTTTTAGTTGAAGCGGAGCGCCTATTGAGTAAAGTAAAAAAGTAAAGCTACCCCTGTAACAGGCCATGGAGGCCCATAGCGTTGTGAGACGTTGAGGGTCCCACATTTTATAGACAATCGGCTCAAAGATGGCGGTAAGGTTGTCAGCCTTACGCACCTGCCGCGCTGGTACTCATTTCTGTTAGAGGCTGAGTGAGCCCGGATTAGGACTAGGTCAACTGAAACAATCCAATGACATCGGTATTTGAACCCGCGACCTTCCGACTTGGAGCATAGTGCCTTAATCACTACGCTACCGCGTGGCCTCGCATATACTGGGGTATTTGAATTAATTATTTTTCCTTTGTTGATAATAATATATAATATATCTGTCTCAATTTTTAGTTCAGAACTTAAAACTGTCTCGTAACTGGTATTTTCTTACTAATTCACCGTTTACACGTAAACTACATTGGGCTTGAATTTATTGCGTCACGGTTGCTACAAAATGCCGGAAATATAAAAGTATGGCTTCCAATGACAAATCCTGATGTAAAATTGGGTGCAAATTTAGGACAACATCGAAAGAGATGGATCAATTTATATAGACCTTAAATATTACGACGTTGTGCCCAGTAACAAATTTAGGCCTAAGTCTGATGTTAACATTTGAAAAATAAATTCTGTATGGAATTTTACAACTCGCCATAATTACTAGTGCAATAATATTACGTTTGCAATTTTGGCTAATTTTGATACGTTCACGAAGGCGCAATTAAACTCGGAAACCCAACATGGCTACAAGCAACTACGATCCAGTCTCCATGTTAGTATGTCAGCTCGTAAGTTACGAGTGTGGGGTGACTGTAACATTTCACAAACAAATATATGTTAGCTTCCAAATAAGTTGTTGCTTTTGGAATAATTTTTTAATGCTAGTGGGGTGGGACTAAGTCCCTTGTACTGCGGCCACTTCCGGCCGCTTGTACCAGCCCCAGATGATAGGTGAGGGTGATTGTGGAGCAATTGGTGGAATGAAGATTGGCAGGGGAAACAGAAGTACTCGGAGAAAACCTGCCCCAGCGCCACTTTGTCCACCACAAATCCCACTTGACCACACCCGAGATCGAACCCTGCCCGCCGCCATGGGAATCCAGCGACTAACCGCTTGAGCTGTGGCGCGGCCTTGCTTTTGGTATAACTCAAATATTTATATTCTGTTCCATCAGAAAATGGGGCAAAAATATCTGCTAACTTTGGAACAATTTTCTCATGCTAATTAATGGACATTGTAGATTATTACACAGTAATGCACTCCCTAATCATAATAAATACAATTTACCTAGAAATCGTAACACCAACATTTAGGGACGAGCCATTTGTAAATTTAGAACCAATATTAATTTATGAAAGTACCCACAATTATTGTTCGGCATGGATACTAGTGCAAAGTAATTTATAAATGTTCTTGGATCACATTTAGTTCACTTAAATTAATATAAACCACGGATACTTGCAAACCTTGCAAACTGCCCAATTAAGACCCTCTCGCTTACTGCACGCTAGCACGCACACTGAGCACGCACACGACCGCACCTGTCTCACTCCTATCCAACGTCCGTCTGACCGCGTCTGACCGCTTCTGGCTTCTGAACAAGACGTCGTGCTTAGTTAGGGAAAACTTTCAATTTATCCGAAAGATATCGCTCTTACTCGTAGCTATAATGGTTCCCGTCAAATACTTTCACTATTACATTCAAAATTCGAGATCAAAAGACAAACACAACACATCAAGGCGTCCGCAAATTTCTGACGAAGTTCCATTTCTTTCTGATTTTCAGATTCAATAAATATACAATTATAATATCGTGTGGAGGCCCGATTTTCTCATAAGAGGACCCGGATGTTACAAAGTTGAAACCCGGGACTTTCCCGCCTTCAGCAGGAAGTACGGTCAGGGTACTTGGGCTACGTTCAACAGGGCGTTGATCTACTGGGTTTCTGTCCCCCTGCCAGTGTCTCGGGAGTAAATGTAATTCAGCACACGCCCCCCCCCCGTTCCGTTTGGGGAGGTTTGTGTGGTCAAGAAGCACTTGGTCTCATGTCCCATGTCTTGTGTTCAGTTTCTTTGACTATGCTTGTCTGCATATGTTGTATAGATTCGTAATAGGAGCGTTAGCGCTTAATTGGAGTTGTACCTGGAAGTGGTTGTGGCATATTTTAACACATTACTCCTGTGTCGCCCTGTAAGAACTGAAAAAAATTAGCTAAGAAATCCTGTCAGGATAACAGGTATCCTGGCAGGTCCTCAAACCGGAAGGAAGTCTCTGTTAATTTTCTAGTCGATAGGCCAAACTTGACGGACTGGCGCGCTGTAAGTCCTCTTGTCTGCAGAGAACGCTTCTGTCCACTGTACCCAGCTCCTGTGAAATAGGTACCGGGTACGCAGACTCTGTTCCTATCCGTGAGGGCCCCGGGACCCACTCGACCATTGCCATTGCGTATCCTCTCTGGTATTCCAGACACAGTGACTTGTAATATGACACATGTGAAGGCGACAAATAACTAGACCAGAAAGAAGATAGAGTGCTGAAAGTAACTTAAATAAAAAACAAATATATTTTATTGCAGGTAAATCAATCTAAGCCTGAAGCTGACTACTCAACCTCAACATGTATGGTGTGGGGTGTTGCCTTCGCGTCCTCTATACGCCTTCATGGCCACAGTAAAACATTCATTAATAATAACAATCCAGTTTTATGCTATATTTTGAGTGGTTCTATGTCCATATTATTAATATAGAAGCTCGTTACATTTCTCTTGTATAATTTGTAGTCTTCTTCATGAAGCTGCGAGCGAGTTGGTTCGAGTGGTAACGTCCGTGATTTCTATCCAGGAGATACCGGATTTGAGTCTTGACTAGGACACCTCCCATACGAAATGAGGCTTTTCGTGAGCTCCCTCTGTTCTTCCAGGCAAATGCCCAGATAGTACTTTAAATTCTCCAACGACTGCTTCCCCCTACGTCTTTCCCAATACAGGCTTCACTAACGTGCAATCACGTGACACTGTACAATCCGCCTTACTAATGGCGTCATTACATAAAATATCACTCGCACATGGAGCCGAGCCCTTCTTGAAAAGCCGCCAAATGTGCAGCTACTCAAGAAGTTCCCAGTATTTTATGGAACCCGAAGGTTCAGTACCGTGTTCTCAAGAGCCCCCCGCTGGTCCCTACCCTGAGCCAGATCAATCCATCCCATCCTATCTTTCTAAGATCCATTTTAATGTTATCCACCCACCTACACCTTGGTCTTCCCGGTGGTACATTACATAAACTATAAGGTAAAGCTATCCCTTCAATAGGCTGTGGAGGCCTATAGGGTTGTGTGACGTCGAGGCGCCCATATTTTCTAGAAAAACGGCTCACAGATGGCGGTGAGGTTGTCAGCTTTACTCGCCGGCCACCCTTTAACCCCCACGAAGATTCCTGGTACTCATTTCTGCTTGAGGCTGAGTCGATCCCAGGGCCATAGTGCGGCTGGAAGGATTAGGTCAACTGAAAAGAAATCCACCTCATCGGGACTCGAACCTGCAACATTCCAGCTTGCAGCATAGTGCCTCAACCAACTACTCTACCGCTTGTCCCCATTACATAAACTATAGGTAAATAAAATGAAAACATTGAGGAAGTGACATATGACTTACAAGCCACCACTGAACCTTGCATGGAAACAAGCAAACACCCCCGAATCTTCTGTAAATGAAAACTAGTTGAACAATTTATTTTAATTGACGTAGTAACGTTAGAAAGATGGGATCTAGGAGGTGGTTCAAGGCAAGTATCAATGTGTAAGATTTGAGGCTTTCACGGCGGTGACTATGAAGAAANCGTGTTCATGCCATTTAACAGAGTGCTCTAACTATGAACAGCGTATTGGATATTTCTACAGCAGGCGAAAATTATTCATTCTGCCAAAATATTCCCTGCTTTCACGAAACTAACTTCACAACAGACCATCTCCGTTCACATTCTCACAGCCTGCCCTTATTTCCTATCAACTGAATTACCGGTAGCTCTATTGCATTAAGGGGCGAGATGACTTTTGTTTGGTCATTGCAGACAGAAAATGTGTATGTGTATGTATGCACGTATAAGAGTTTATACTCTACTTATAGCATATCAGCAAATTACCCAAGAAGGTACTCATTCTATTAGGAATACACACCCAATGTAAAGCAAACTTAAAATTGTCCATGTGCTTAATTAAGTACCACTCCATAAATACGTATGGGGGAGGTATAGCTCCACGCTTTTTTAACCTCAACACTTGATGGAGCTGAATGGTCAGCTTCACTCCCTGACTGCTCTCACAGTAAGGGAGGAACATAAACTTGAGGGTGCTTCAGAACAGAGTTCCGCAAAGAATATTTGGATCTAATAGGGAGAAAGTGACAGGAGGGGGAAATTGTATGATGAGGGGATTCATAATTGATAGCGTTCACGGAAAAATATTATGGTAATTAAATCAAGTATGAGATGGGCAAGGCCTGTAGCATGTGTGGGATAGAAGAGAAGGGCATACAAATTTTAGCAACAAACATTGAAGAAGAGAGACCACTTGGAAGACCAAGGTATAGATTGGAAAAATTATATTAAAATGGATCATTAAAGATACAGTAAGTGGACTAGATTCATCTAACTCGGGATAGGAATCAGAAGAGGTCTCTTGCGAACATGGTAATGAACTTTTCGATTCCATAAAATGTTGGTAATTTCTTGGGTAGTTGAGTGACTACCAGCTTTGAAGAAGGACTCAGTTCATTGGAGTTGGTGATCCCTTATCCTTGCTTCTCGGCAGGATGAGCCTAACTTTATTATTGTTACAGAAATTTGTTTCCTTTAAGGTGGTCCTGCATGACACGAAACATATCGACAAGTCCATCTACTACTCGTTTCTTCATCCCTGGCTTGGAGAGGGGCTTCTTACCGGAACAGGTACAACACTGTCAAGTAGTTTTTGATATACATATTCTAAAACATCTCTGAGGGTACGTCACACCTCAAGTAGGCAACGTTACGGAAGAAAAGTCCCTGTATTCAGCGAGATCTCCGGAATGGTGATTTTTGTTGCGATCATTATGTTTAGTAAACACAATCAAACTACAGTTCATTAAAACATTTTTTACTCAGTTCCCCCATGTTTCCTCCATTAAACATTCATCATCATGGTTCTTCTGCTACCAACACTTTTAGCACAGCCACGCATGGTTTTTAAATTAGTCTGTACATCCAAAGAATTTGACCAAAAATAGGCATGATAAATGCTTAGGGGTGTTACATTAGCAGTAATGCGTACATCACACGAATTTATCAGTCATGAATTGTGCATGATAAGTATAAGAACTGTGATGTCTCTAAGACTTAAGTTGTTAGTATAACACATCTCAACATCCTTATCTATTTATAATTCTAATATAAGTTTTGGGATAACAGGCAATCTTGTATAAATCTCGAGTGACTGTACTAAAAGTAGTGCTCACAGAGCAGCCTCAATGATGAGTCTGACACTGATGGTGAGTTGAAACATGTCAAAATATTGAGTAAATAAATGTTGTTTTATGTTCTACCTTGATGTTCAGTACATTATAACAAATTAGGTAATTATCTACCTGGTGATGATGCAACCTCAAAGACGTGAAGATGCAGTTTGTAATATGCTTGTACCTGTACATCACCTTTAAAACATCAACCTCTCTGAACATGAGATGTGTAAGCTTGAATGAAGACCTCCATCTTCTGGGATGTGAAACTCTGTCATCTGCTACCATGCTAGCACTGGCCTTGCAAGGGCATTTTTCTTCTTATTTCTTCTTATACCCTCTGACTCAGTCCCCATTGGTGCAGTGTCTGTTCTCCCAAACTCTGCCCTTGAATTAGGCCCTGTAATGGACACTGTTCCCTTACTCTATTTCTCCTGACTTCTCTCTGCTTCCAGCTGCCCCTCTCCTAACCACTGCTTCTTCTATCCACCCTGCTCTCAGAAAGCAAAACTTTTAAAGGCCAATATTCTTTATACCACTCTGCTTACTTCTATTGATTTGTCCATGTTCTGGTACCAATCTTCTATCCCCTTACATCAGTATCAAATTTTGCATGCTACTCTTTGTTTTATACCATGAAGACGGAGGCAGCAAGTGCCTCTGAAATGATGGTACTGTACCTGTCTACAAAACTATTTAGTATTACATCAAGGAAGATGTCAATCTTCATAGTCACTGCCCAAATGACCTCAAATTTTACATTTATGTGTAGTTAGAAATTTGGTTAGATGCCAAAAACATGAGGAACACAAGTGCTCAGAATGCTCTGTCACCTCATCGTTATGTGTTCAGTTTGTATATATCTATATATATAAAGATGACATCTGGTTCTTTGGGCTAAATAATTTGTACTTATGTATCTTCAGGAGCAAAGTGGCACTCGCACAGGAAGTTGATCACACCAACTTTCCACTTCAGAATTCTTGACATATTTGTTGAAGTCTTTGTTGAGAAGAGCGACATCTTGGTGAAGAAACTGTTGTCTAATGGTGGAGGGAAGGATTTTGATATTTATCCTTTCATTACACACTGTGCACTTGACATCATATGCGGTAAGTTCATAATTTCTGACTGCCATGAAGACACAGATGGAGGAAGATATATCATACGAATTTTCTAATATGTGCTGGGATGTGATACTGTGTAGTCAGTTAGAAGTTACCAACGTTTGGACAAACATACTGCCTCCATCTTAAGGGTCAAAGAGTGAGCTGTGAAAACAGCAAGCAGAGTGGAGCTTCTGTCAACACAAGAAACGTGTTTTACAATCAATCAACACTGAGTTGAATTTTATTTTCTACTGCTACTTGTTTCGGTTCGCATGAGATCATCATCAGGCAGTATTATGATCGCATGGCTAAAGTTATTGAATTTCTAAATATGGATCCATATTCAGTGCGACACATCCATATTATAAAGTTATGCCTAAGTTAGAATGTTAGAACTAAAGTATTGACCTTTTTAAAATATTAAGAATATTCAAAGAATCTATATTAAATTTGTATTAAAAGTTGGTTGGTTGGTTTCCAATGGCTGCATTTGGGATCATTTAACCCATTTTGCTTCTTGCTTCCCAATACAGAGCACTCAAGTTCTTGCTTTGTTGCACCTTGAAGAAGTTTGCACTTTTCTTTTGGGAAGCTTTGCCAGGTTTGTTGCTCATTTTGCACTACCCAGGGGACACGTATGACTTAGAGAATGTCAAAGATGCGAGCAACTTTGTCCCCCTGTATTAAAAGTATCAGCATGTAATATTTACGAAGATGAATAATATGTTGGAATGATATTACCTTTCCATATGTTTGTGACACACAACAGGATCAAGTAGAGTGCAGCTTGTTGCTTGCACAGATTATTCTTTGAGCCTGAAGATGGATACATTTATAAATTTATACCAGACTACATGGCGTCACATCCCAGAGGACAGTTAACATTACAGTCACCAGTGTGAGAATCTCACATCCAAAATTCCAGCGACTGTTATGACTCATTATTTGGCATGTAATCTTTGGAGTGCTGTTCTGAACAGCAGTCTCATGTATGTGACATTTCATACATGGTCAAACTTAACAAAAATTCTGAATAGAGTTTCATCAAAGGAGTAATTTGAAAAAAGATCAGGACAAATTTTGGTTCTTTCACACTCAGTAATAAGGAGCAATACTTAACCAGTTAAGTAAGTCTGCATGAAGGATTATTTTTGAAAGCTGTGGCTTCAGAGCTCTTCCAAAATTTTCAATCCTTCAATGCAAATGGAAGCATCCTTGACACTTTCAGAACTATGTTCAGTTCCTCGATTTTCCTCATGAAACCTAATGATTCTATTCTGAGCCAGGTGAATCCATTTCACACCCTCAATCCTACACGGTACACTAATGATTCAGAACTCACCTGTTCTTTCTATATTTTCTTATACAAATTCTGCATGCATTTTTCAGTTCAGCCATGTATGTTATCTGTCCCAATAATCTCATCCTCGTTGACTTCATCTTTCTAATATCATCTGGCAAGGGCTGCTAATTATGAAGCTCCTCCCACCCTCCTGTCACTTCCTCTTGGCTCCAGATGTTCCCTTTAGAATCCTGTTGTCAAGGAGTTTCAGTTTGTGTTCCAATGTGACGGCCAAGTACACATGTGGTGCAATGATAAGTGATATTCTGTTTCTCCAACAGAGACTGCTATGGGGATACAAATGAACGCTCAGGAAGAAAGCCACTGCGAATATGTGAAGGCGATTTATGAGTAAGTACAAACCAGAGCTGTCTTACTGCGACATGTATGATCAATATTTATATTTAAATTGTAATTTTAGCTTCTGGAGTTTTAGCTACATCTTGTATTGAAGTAGTTCCAAACATTCAGCATACCTTGCAGCCGCCATTTTAGGGTGAATGAGGCAGAAGGCAGATGCAATTTGAACTGGAAGTAAGGGTGATACTATGGAGCACTGTGCTATGCAACAGGAATGGGTCATAGCCAGAAATATATGTTTCATAAGGGTATGGGGGGGGGGGAATGTTGAGCTGTCCAAAGAAAAGGGATATAGGAGCTGAGAAGGTCTGAATGGAGAGGTTGATACCAGACTTCACTCATTTTGTCTGGTCTCATCTCTTTTCCATTAAACTTTCTTCTGAATCACATGGCCCCTTCCCACTACATAGAACCATGCTAGGCACACTCCTGTACACCCACTGTGAGACCGATATATGGGGTGACATTAGCCTTCAAAAGGCTGGAATTACAAATGCATCTGAAACATCTTTGAGGGAATGTCATCATCAGACGGTGATATAGGTCATTACATTATCATTAGAAAGTTGCTAGAGTCTATTTTTCATATACGATGGGAACAAAAATTGTCATATTGGAGATTTAACTCAACATACAGGTAATTATTTTTTCTGAAAGGTTGCCTACTCAAGGTACAATGTAACCTCACAGATGTTTTGGACAAAGTTCAGATACAGGTCATGGGAATCTGAGTACAGTAATATCCATATCATTAGTAGACAAAAAATTTATGTGACAACTGCTGATTGCACGTTAAAAACAAAAGTTCTCCAAAATATGGGGCAAGTATTTATGTAGGAACAACTGGGCAATCAGAACAGGTCACAATTGTGACATAAACATGATTGGAATGCTTGCTAAAATGTCAGGTTCAGTAATACCAGGCAGTCAGTTGGTTACTTAGGGTGATGATGATGATAATGATTGTGGCACAAGTCAATATAAGCGACCATGTTGCAGAGTCAGCGAGTTGACAATGCAGAGAGCAATGCGACCATGGCTGCACCCAAAAGTATTTTTTGACATGACTACCCTGGGGAAAAGATATGTACAGTGTCTCAGTGTTCTTCATGGCTTCACCAACAAAGTGAGTTTGTGTTTGTTTCATGAATCCTGAAATAGTTGTGAATATAACATCAATACAGTTTTATGAATTAAGTTCCTTTCCGGTAATGGTACATGCATTCAGTTCCAATGGTATATGGTATCAAGATGCAAAAGCCAGTTCATGGGCCTTTCAAACAAGCAGCAAAAACATGGAGATTTCAACAAATCAAATTATAACTGTGTTTTCTGTGCTTATGAATCCAAAACTAATGAGCAAGATGGTGTAACAGTAATGATGAAGACTCATGTTTTCGAGATGCTCGGTTCGAATCCAGGCCAGGGCACCAGTTATCATGATTGAGGTGTATCATCTATTTACTCAGTCCCTCTAGGCAAATGCTAGGATAGTACTTTGATTGGGGTCTTACCTCGCTTCCATCCACATCCTTTCCTGTTCATCATTCAACAGTTATCCCACCACTGGATGCTACATGAAGTTGGCAAAACTGAACACAACCACAGAGTGCAAAGACCCCCAACTTAAGGTACTGGTGCATCTACCTGCAGGGAATAAGGAAGGTAATAAAAACCTCAGATTCAAATGAATACAAGTCAGAAGCTGCTTGAACCAACTTGCTCAGCATACTGTGACATGTAGAGCCATTGCCATGTAAACTGATGACAATAAAACAACCATGAGTAGGGAACAGCTCTGTGGACACGTTGTTTCCTTGGCAACAAGGCGACACACAATAACGGAAGAGACGTTTTCTGTGCTGTCTGTGCCACGCCATGTAACAAGGATTACTAGTTCCATACCAGTTCGTGATTTACACATGGTTTTCAAAATTCCATACGTATACGATTATATAACGAAATTATGCAGGCAACGTGCGGAAGTCATACAAAATCATGATAACAAAAATGTAAATATCCTTTATGTTATGACAAATGACTTGCTACTATAGACAATGACTCTGCCAAAAGACAGACCCGTCCTCTCGTCAGAGTGGGCGCCCCATAGAAACAAGACCAAAACTGTCAAACAATAATAAATATCCAGTCATAAGTCCCAGATTGGGCCCGACACCAAGACTGACTGACTGACCATCAATTGCAATGTGACTTTGACACTGACATTGACATGTTGGTTGAGTGAGAAGTGAGAAGCTGGTAGCTAAGGCCGGGGACAGTTCAGGAACCCAGAGCAAGGGGATGATCTGCTGTTTAAAGCTGCTACTAAGCAACGGCTAGTGAGGACTGAGCAGATTTAATGTGTGCTGCAGTTACAGCGATCTCCGCAGTGTGTAACTCAGTGAGATTGTTGTAGTTATTCGTGGTTACGAGCGTAAGTGTCCAATAAATGCAGTTACCAAACCAAACCTCATCTCTAGTCACTGAATACATGAAAATATATAGGGGCAGCATTTTGTGTGTTATGTGACAGTGAGTGGGCTGGTGTGTACCAATTAAAGTGACATGTGTAAGCACAGTCTGTCTTGTGGAGAAATGAATGGGCAGTAGGGCTTTGGTCTGCCTGGTAAGGCAAGACTGCTGATTATAGATGTTAACATTTGCCATACATTTGCTTCCCTTCTGTAATGGCACATGCACACAACTCCAATTGATAAATGCTGTATTTTTTTAATACCAGTATCATTACCACCAAGTTAGGAAAGGACTGTCAGGCTCATAGTACCAGGGCATTGAAATTCATTTGTCACTGAACACTGAATAATGATGGCATAGTGCTTAGACGCAGGGTAACCTTCACCTTTAACACAACATTTCTCTGATAACATGAATTAATTTTATTCTGTAGGTAATACAGGAGAGGAAAAGTCTAAGACTAAATGGCACAACTGAAACCACAACTTCAACAGCAGACGATGGGATTCTTGGTGAGTGTACAACAAACAAGAGTATTGGTCAGGGACATAAACCCAGAGCACAACTCCGAGAACGTTAACTTTAGAGGCCCAAAGTGACAAACTGTGTGATCCGGTAGGTGGACACGAACGTTCTGGAGGGAGATGGAGGCAATGTATTCCTCTGGGACATTGGTAAACACTCACCGGACTGCATAATAACATAACCCAAAAGACGTACAATACAAGTGACAAGTTTTGGAAGTCTGTACTGTCTCCAAAATGTCACTGAACTTCTAACATACCACACAGCGTCACATCCTAGATGTCAGTGTGAGAACCTCAAATGCAACTCAATAGGAACCTTCACCACTGTGAAAACATGAGCATGGAAAAGTTTGTCACTATGACTACGTATGGGTAGGATTACCGTATTTTGATTTCTAATGAAAGCAGGAATTTTTCCCTTTACCGTTGTGTCCAGCTCAGATCAAGAACCTAACTAGACTCTTATCCAATAGGCACTAAGGAACTCTTTCTAAAGCAAACCAACTGTCAAGTTAATCACTGATTTTTGTATACTGTCACTGTCTACACAGAGAGACTGTACATACTGTACATGATTTCATCATTTGGTGCTCAGCCATAAGTATACCTTTATATAAAAAAATGTGGTTACCAATGACTTGGTTTCCTGAGGTTCTCTGCATGGTTGTCAATGATTTCTTAATTCATTGCAATCACCACTCTAAGTCAAACTTCTGTCTATACTATAAGTTCCTCCAAAAAGCCTGAAGTTGGGGGGGAGGGCTGGTGATAAAACTTGTGTCATCAGCATGTGCTGCTGCTCTAGAAACTTTGCTTACAGTCAGAGCTTTTTAATGCAACTTGTATGAGGTTCTCACAGTGGTAAATATTAAGCCTTTAATCCTCTAGAATATGATGCCATGGAGTCTGGCCATGAAGAGCAAATATTTTAGGGAAACCTGCTGCTTTTGTCTTCAGGGCAGAATACTTCCTTCTCTCCATTTCATACTCAACTGACTTAATTAAAAGTACACAGTGAAATGATATAAAATTCAATTAAACTGATAACTGATTTATAAACTAAGTGAGACAACTTCCTCTGCCAAAAGAGAAATATAAGTTTTATATATAATTATTGCAGGCAAGAAAAAGAGGCTGGCATTCCTGGATCTGCTGTTAGAAGTTTCTGAAAATGGAGCAAAGATGTCAGACGTGGAAATTAGAGAAGAAGTCGACACTTTCATGTTTGAGGTGGGATAACATCATTGTAAGAGAAAAATGTACACATGTACTGATATGATATGAATACTTGACCATTTAAATTTACAGGTGACTTTTTATGCAGCTGTTTCATTCTTGAAACGTGCCGGATGTAACAGAAGCATGTAAAACAGGAAACACACTGAATGAACACTGAGCATGGTGTACATGGAATAGGAAATGACATGACTGAGTCAGAAAGGCATTGTGACTCATGGAAACTGCATGTACAACTCACTGGGCAAGCATGTGGCCACTGACAGCACACTGATGCCCTTCATGACACCGAAATATAACCACAGATATCATCAGATATGCAAAAATATAGTTAATGAAAAGTTGTATACTAAGAGCCAATTGTATTTATTATTTAATTCTACCTAGTAACTCTGTACATGTATCAAGGACATCCCTTCTCAATATGGCATGCAGCATCCTTAGGTTGAAGAGGAGGAAAATTACCTCCAGATATGGATAGTGGCTAGCCGGTCATGGTAGCCGAATGGTCTAAGGCATGCACTGTCTTCACTCGCTTGGAAGCCGGGACCGTGGGTTCGAATCCCACTCAGGGCATGGATGTTTGTGTGCGTTTTTCTGTGTTTGTCTACAGGTAGAGGCCTTGCGACGAGCTGATCACTCGCCCAAGGAGTCCTACCATATGTGTAAGATCTAGTAAACCGAAGTGAAACGGAGAGTTTCATGGAGGCAGGCCTAGGCCCAAATTGGGGTTGTAGCGCCACAGGGAAAAAAAAAGGATAGTGGCTGCAATACTGAATAAGCAACACTGAAGAGTAGACAAGGGACAATCCTCTAGTTGTGGTCTCTAGAAATGTCATCTAGACATCAGACGTCAGACTCTGATGTAATCTTTGAGCCTTTTGTTTTCTGCAGGTGTGAAACTCGGTCTGTCACAATAAAGGAACAGCACAAACTAAGTACAGGATGCTGAGAACCTTTAGACCTAAAACAGATGAAGTGACAAAAGACTGGAGAAAACTGCAATAAAAAAGATAAAGCCATCCCTGTAGGAGGCTGTGGAGGCCGATAGGGTTGTGAGACATTGAGGATCCCACATTTTCTAAACAGTCGGCTCACAGATGTCGGTTAGTCTGTGAGCCTTATGTGCTGGCTGCACTTTACCACCAGGAAGATTCCTGGTACTCATTTCTGTTAAGAGGCTGAGTCGACCCCAGGGCCATAGTGTGGCTGGAAGGATTAGGTCAATTGAAGACCCCAACAACCTCATGCGGAATCGAACCTGTGACCTTCCGACCTCAACCAACTATGCTACTATGTGCCCCAAACTGTGCAATAAGGGNTCTGTGACCTTCCAACTTGTAGCATAGTGCCTCAACCAACTATGCTACTATGTGCCCCAAACTGTGCAATAAGGGACTTATAATTTGTGCTCTTCAACAGTTAGCATTATGTTGATGAGCTGGGTGCATAATGTAGCAGGCATGGTAGAGAAGATAAATCAATACACAGTGGTGGTATGAAAACCTTAAGGAAGAGATGGCTTTGAAGACTAGACATAGATGGGAGAATATTAAAACGGATCTTAGAGAAACAGGGTGGGAGCATTCTATTTCCTGTTCACCTCGACTGTTAATTTCTGTTGCAGGGACATGACACGACATCAGCTGGCATCTGCTGGACCCTGCTGTTACTTGGGTCACATCCCGACATACAGGTATGTCACACTTGGCTCCATGTTTTTTAAACAGATCATCTAAATGTAAGATGACATGGTCAAGTGGGTAGTACCTCTGCTTCATATTCAGGAAGTCCTGGTTTCATATCTCAGCACAAAGATTGGCTATCCTGAGATTGTTTATGGTTTTCATTAGTACCTCCATGAAAATGCCGGGATAGTACCTTAAACAGAGCCATGATCACTTCCTTCCAAATCCTTTTCAATTCATTATTTACTATCATCCCACCACTCCACACTTCATTGCCGGAACCACTCATTAATTACAACATAAACAAATAACAACAGAAAGGCATATTCCAGTGGAGTACAAATACTTTCCAAATACATTTCTGGAAATTTCCATTTGTCTTTGCACTTGTATGTATGTTTATTGCAGATCCATATTAATTTCACCATTTCTATCCTGTAATTCTTTGGCAGTTTATTTCGAGATGCAGCCAGTAGCTATAATACAGCACTGAACAGCAGACTGGCAGATAAATGAACTGGAATGCATTTTGAAGGACGTGGTTGTGGCCCGGAATTTGCCTAGAAGGAAAACCATGAAAATTTTCCATCAGGTTACCCAGATTCCTGATTAAAATTTCAAGACTCAACATTCTACAGGGCCACAGAGCATTATAACTGAGAGAACTGTACTCTTCACTTCCACAAGAGTCTATCCTGGGTGTGCCTAAGCCAGATGAATCCAGTCCACGTCCTCTTGTCCTGTTTCTTTAAGATCCACTTTAATACTCTGGAATCCCCATGTAATGTTCCCTGATTTAAGGTTTTCTCTCATTTAACATTGAACTTCTGTGATCCCAGTTCAATCTCTATATTAAATTACCCCCCTGTATAAAATTTATCTCAGTTTAGTATCCAAATCCACTGCTCCCAAAAGAAGATTTAAATTGGGGATTTCCCTCTATTATCTATTCCTGTCTTCTCTTTAGGTTAGGTTTTCCTGCCAAGGTCTTCTATGCAGTTCTGTTCTTGTCCACGTGTGCTAATTCCCCACGTGTAGTTGCTGGGTTCCCACTGCGGCAGCCTGGGTTCAATCCCAGGTCTGGTCAAGTGGGATTTGTGGTGGATAAAGTGGTGCTGGGGCAGGTTTTCTCCGAGTACTTCGGTTTCCCCTGCCAATCTTCATTCCACCAATTGCTCCACAATCACCCTCACCTCTCATCTGGGGCTGGTACAGGCGGCCAGAAGTGGCCGCAGTACAAGGGACTTAGTCCCGGCCCATTAGCAATACAAAAAAAATTCCCACCTGCCTCAGCCTCCTTAATTTAACCACCATAATAATATTTGATCAGGAGTTCAAGTTATGAAGCTCCTCATTATGTAATTTTCTCCAGAATCCTGTTATATCCACTCTTTGAAATCTTCATTTGTAACCCACTTACATAACTTTATGAGAAGTGATATGCCTGTGGTGCCATCATTCAACTAATATTTTGTACAAATATTATGTTCCATCCATCATCCTCTCTCTATCTAAGAACACCGCCTTGTTTATATTGCAAAACACAGCGTTTCGGAGACTGGAGTCTGTCTCCATCTTCAGGTAAAACATACTTTGTCTGGCCCAATTGATAGTACTTGTCAGACCAGAAACATAATATTTGTACTAATGTACCACTGTCACAAACTTTTAGATAATATTTTGTTTACTTTCACTGTTTCCTTCTTCAGAACACAGTGTACGAGGAGCTGGACCACATCTTCAAAGGGTCAGAGCGCTCCATCACCATGCGGGATCTCAACGAGATGAAGTATCTGGAGAGGGTTATCAAGGAAGCCCTGCGACTCTATCCCAGTGTACCGAATATCGGAAGGATACTGAAAAAGGACACTAAAATAGGTACGTCCTGTACAGATTCAGCACATAAATCTTGAGGACTGATACACTGACTCAGCTTGGTCTTGACTGAGTTCAACATATATATTTTCATAGAACTTAATATATACTGACAAGTACTGATCCTAGACTGGAACTGGGATAGCTCAGTTGGTACAGTGACTAGTTCACAGCCTGAAGGACCAAGGAACTGGAGTTCGATTCCTGGTAGGGGAAAGAAATTTTTCTCTTCTCCACAGCATCCAGATTCACCCAGCTGCCTGTACAACAGGCGGCAAGGGCTTCTCCCTCATGCGCAAGGTGGGAGAGGCGTGAAGCTGACCACTCACCCCCACTCCCCTGTACAACAGGTAGCAAGGGCGTCTTCCTCAGGAGCAAGGCAGGAGAGGCATGAAGCTGACCACTCACCTCCACTCCCCTGTATAACAGGCGGCAAGGGCTTCCTCAGGCACAAGGCGGGAGAGGCGTGAAGCTGACCACTCACCCCCACTCCCCTGTACAACAGGCAGCAAGTGCTTCTTCCTCAGGTGCAAGGCGGGAAAGGCGTGAAGCTGACCACTCACCTCAACTCCCCTGTATGTCTTTAAGGCATGGTGCTTAATTATGAACTCCAACACTTTTATATTTACATCTATGCAACCCAGAGAAGACATTTGTACCCCATCTACAATTAGTCTAAGGAGGGTGGTATTTGACCATTTGTTGGACCTTTATGTTACGTCCACTAATACCAAATGAAAGATAATCTTAATCAGTTATAATAGGACCTGACAGAGGCAGCTATGAAATGGAAGTGTTTCAGAGTGTGTTACAGCGTTGACCACTGCCAACAGAGGTACAGCTATACTTTGCCTCTTATTATTATGCTTATTCTAATAAGCTTTATTTCCACAATTGTGCATATGTTCAATGAAATTGTGATTTTGGCATGTCCGTCAACGACTGTCATGTGTAAGGGTGAAACATGAAAAGGTTGTCCATGGGAACCGCAGGTACAGATGATGAGTAGTGTCAAATTTTTGCATTGAATTTTAAATTGGCATTCTATGTGTACGAGTAAATTCAACGGTATATTAAATTTTAGGTTGTTCTGGGTCTTCTGTGATGTTACACCATGTAGTTTCACAGGCAAATACCAAAGTTACCCGAGTGACCTGTTGTCTCCTACACTGCAGGTGGAAGCAGCATGTTCCTGTAGAGTTGTGCAGGACCCCAAAATTATATAAACCAACGGGAAAGAGAAGATCGGGGTGATCTCCGTTTCGCAATACCCATAACAGATCTTAACAGGTTCAATATACGTACAGCAAACTCCCCTTTATCTGCCACATATGGAGCAAGGGGTCTGCTGGTTGCATGAGAAGAACTCTTATAGAAATCCAGTATAAAGTTAGAACAATAAATTTTTGCCCTACTTCCTGTGTTGATGTCTTTCCAGCTGACATAACAGATTGATGGGTGGAAGATTTTGGATATACAATCACAAATTCAACTGGCATCTACTCTAATGGCACTAGTTCGAGAAAGGACGGTGGTTAGCTCAGCTGCAAGCACTGCATATCACAAATCTGCTTTTGAATAAGTTTATAAAAATGGTAAATTTTCTTAGAAATTGTCATTGGTTGGATGAGAATTGCACATGCTTGGAAACTGGATAACTCGGAGTTTACTGTACTGCAAATGATCATGGTGACCACGAATTTGAAACAAGTCACTTGCAGTTTTCATCTTCTCCTTTTCAGGGGACTACCTTGTACCGGCAGGCTGCATGGTCAATCTTCAGATCTTCAACGTGCACCGTAATCCTGACCAGTACCCAAACCCTGAAAATTTTGACCCAGACAACTTCCTGCCAGAGCGAGTAGCAAAGAGGCACCCCTATGCCTACATCCCCTTCAGTGCTGGTCCAAGGAATTGCATAGGTCAGAAGTTTGCTCTATTGGAAGAGAAGACGGTGCTGTCGAGCATCCTGAGATGCTTCAAGGTCCACGCAGTTGAGAACTGGAGAAATCTCACCCTGTTAAATGAACTTATTCTGAGGCCAGAAAGTGGCATCAGGGTGCGACTGTCGCCGCGGGCAATTACTATTTGCTGATCTCATGCCATGTAGCTGAGATAGAAAAACGAAGAGAACAGAAGCAACATTTGTGTTCAAGCAACCTCAACCCTTATGCCACCTGTAGGACACTTTCTTCAGTTTGTCATACAACAAAGCCCAATGCATGTTGCATCATGTAACTTACCATAATTGTTACCTTCATCAAACAATAGGAAAGAATTTCACAAACTTTTTCACTTACAATAGGACAACCAGGGTGCCTCAGTGAATACAGTGATTAGGAATGAACCACCCTACTGATTAGTGCTTTCTAACAAACCTGAGCAGATGCCTCCCACTTTTTCACCTGAGGATGGCAAGAGATCCACTTCCCAAAACGCTGTGTTTTTTTGAAAAACTTAGAAAAGGACGAAGTAAAAAAATTCAGTAATCCAAGGTGTAATATACCAGTCAGAACCCTTTAGAAATAATACCTCATTAAGTGCTGACAGTAACACTTTTCGTACAGTACTTCTTACATATTGAAAAGTTATCAGCATCCATTTATAGAATTAAAGTCAGTGAGAACTTAAAGAGGTTCGTTCATTGACTCTGCAGTTGGAGCCATATCTGAATATATTTCCCTGATGGATTCACACAACACAGAAGCATATACTTGTCACTTACATTTGACTCTACAATTATTATTGGTAGATGAATTTCTCATACTCAGAATTTGGGTCTCCATGATCATTACTGTGTTGCCTCTTTAACTGTAATTTAATTTTTCTGAATGTAAATAATAATAATAATGTACAGCATAAATAAACAATTTTTCTCTGTATAACAAAATGTAGTCATAAAAACTGAATACAATATAACAGTAATTCAAAAAACATATTGCTGGTTTTTTATTTAACAATATATTATATAAAATAAATTAAATATAATACATAATGAATAATGATTACACTAACCAATATATCCACCTCTCTATTAAGATCAAGATATTTATATGAACTGATGGAACTTTTTTATAAAGAAACTGTTGCCAACTTATCTATTTCTGAAAACGTTAGTTTAGGTCAGATAAATTTCTTGGGGTGGGGTGAGGCTGAGTCCACTTGGTATGTCAGCCACTAACTGGCCTACTGTACCAGCCCTGGATAACAGATGAGTATGGAGGAATTGGTGGAATGAGAATTGGCAGGGGAAACCAAAGTACTCAGGGTAAAACACAAATCCCACATGACTTGACCTGGGATTGAACTTGGGCCACCACAGTGGGAAGCCGGCAACTTACAGCCTGAGCTATGGCACGGCATTCCTAAAATGCTAAAGGTCACGATATTTTCTTCTTTCTCAGATGTTTCCACTAGCAACCAACCCTCTCTTCCACCTCAGTTTCCTCCTATGTTCTTCCTTCCTGAACTGCTGCTCCCAGCCTGATCTTGGCCTCATACAAGGCTCAGGCAGTAAAACTCAAGTATTTCCTGCTGTATACATGTGGGTTCTTAAGGGTGCCAGAAAGAAGAGGCCATCTTCACCTCAAAATTTAAGTGAGAGTCTGTTATTTAATCTAGGCACAGGTAAAGTTGTCTCTGTGCTCAATTAATTAAGTACCATTTCATGAAAACAGACGAGGGAGCGGAAGTATAGCTCCACCATTCTTGACCTCAGTACTAGACAGAGGCGAGAGGAGAGCTTCACACCCTGGCTGCTGTGGAGATGAGATTAATGTCTTGCTCCTGTTGGGAATCAAACTCTAATTCCTCAGGCATCCAGCCTACAAGCCTTGTTACTATATCAACTGAGCTATACTGCCTTATTGGTAGGTTAAGGAAACGAAAATTACAACCAAGAACAGGAAAGTCATATCAAGAGACAAGGAGTTTTGTGTGATAACATAGCTGGCTGTAAGAAATTTAAAACTTATTTCCTGTGCTGGTAACTTGTGGGATACAGCTAGGAAATTGAGAAACCAATCTGTTCACGGTTCATATATTTTCCTTCAACATTATTAAAATAAATATACAGAAATATACATCAAATTTGTCCTTCAAATTACAAAAATATCATTTGTAATAAAAAATATTACTCTGAAACCAGTCAAACTTTTTAACAGAACACTTAAATGCAATTTACAAATGCATTTTCACTGAAACAGGCTTAAGGCACAGTACTGGTAGGCCTTATTACAATTCAACCAATCAAAAATTAAGATTACTGTCTTCTGTGCATCATATCCCAGAAGACAGCCCCCTTTACAGTCACTGCTGTGAGAACATCAGATCTCAACAATCACAGTTCACTATTCAATGTATACCTTCAGCCTCTGGGGATGAGCTGTGTGCAAATGCTGACAGTTCCCATTTTGGCAAGCAATGAAGTTGCTATGTTCAGAGTGAACGTCACTGGGTGGGTTCAGAAGCCCTAGTACAGAAGTCTCAATAAGTGGTGAGGCCCTGAGAGGTCAAAACAGAGGAGCATGGTACTATCCACTGGCGTGTGACCACAGGCTTGAGAAAAAGAAAATGTTTTTAGCATGATTAGCAAAGGATGAACTGAAAAAACATTTTTCATTATTCATTTTTCACAGCCACAAGGCCTCTCCCTATTGGACAGCACACATTCCTCTGTGTCATCTGTGTCACCTCCTACTCACTGTCCAACTGCTGGAGCTATAGAACAGGCAAACAAATGTGGCACCTATTTAGAAAGACCAACTGAAGAGGAGGCCATTTCAAAACATAAAAGTGGTCTTGGAACAAACAAAAATTTGGTGATGGGTCCTGATACCAAGAACAAACATGCTGATGAAGGCCAGCAGCAACATCACCAACCCGATCCAAAGACTTTCAGCCTGACAACAGAAAATGCACTGTTTGCCAAAACACAAAACCTTCAACACTCTACACCACTTATTCATGTGAACAGAAACTACCAGAGAAAGCTATGCACAAGAGTTAGAGTTAATTGTTTGAACATCTATAAACATCTTCTAAGAAGAAGCTCACTCCCTCTGACAAACAAGACAGTAACACAAAAAAAGATCCTGTCATCTGTGCATAACCTTCCTTTCTCAACAGCCAATTTTCCAGCATGTTCAAGAAATGTCTCTGTACAGTTTGCTCATGAAGCAGTCAATAGTCACTCAGCTAACCATGAGAATTCTGTTGCTATTGAAGATGGAAGGTTCATCACAGTTAAAATTAACATCACCTGGGTTGTGATGCTGTGGTAGACAGGTGGAGCCACCACTTTGGAGGTAGCAGGTACCTTCAAAATGTTGGTTGGTACATATGAGGGTAGTACAGATAGTAAGACTAGCACATGTGTGCTACTTGCTGACTTTGCCTGGGACTTTTTTTCCACCCTCCCTACAGTCCAGACCTGGCTCACAGTCATTTTCACTTGTTCATGGGCAGCAATGAAGTGAGGAAGATGGTTAAAGACTGGCTCTATGGACTGGGAGCAAATTTCTACAATGCAGGGATACAGAAACTTGTTACACAATATGACAAGTGCCTAACTTTTCTTGGGGATTATGCAGAAAAATGATCTAAGGTCTGTAGTAATGAGGTAAAATAAAATTAATGTTATTCACTTTTTTAATAACCAAATGGTCGTTACTTTCTGGATGACCTACGTATCTACCAAACGACTTGAAATCACATCCCAGGAGACCAAAATTTGGATACGTACCAGTAACAGAACCTCAAATCTCATCCTGCTAACACAGGGCAATTCATAAGTCCCTCCAAAAACCCTCACAATTATTTATAATCACAGTACCACTTGTAGCCATGTGCTTCATCTAGTGATTCTAAATTACTGTTGGGGTTTCCAGAGGGACTTATGAATCACCCTGTACTTTCTTTGCTGGCCTATTCCAAGATACTGTCACATGTTTAGTTACTATACATGGGGTTTGGATTGGTAAACGGATTTACTGCACTTACAACTCTGAAATTACAAGTAACTATATTGCTGCACATATCATTATAACCCACACTAGTCTTCTCCACTTGTTACAACTTCCCCTAGTCATTGCCTGGTCATAGTTTTCCAACAAGGGTTACCTCAAGGGCTATACTCCCAAACTGTTGACTCAAACTCCAAAAGTAACTTCTCTTGACTGTCCACTGGTCCTTGTTATGACATCGGGACGGACCGCACAGGAAACACCACTTCGAACAACAGTTCTCCTATTATTACATGATGTCACTGCTGCTGCGGACAGGCATTTATTGCGCCATGGTCTAGCGATGAGTGATGTACTCGGTCAAGTGGTGTGGTGTGTTCCATTGTTGCATCCCTGTTTATTGTACCGTTGCACAGCAATGGCTCTCTTCCAGTCTCCATGTCAAAACATTTATTTACTTGGTAATGTAAGGGAAACCATATGAAACCAGTCACAATATGTGGTGAATGGCCCAGGTTTTAACATCATGTATATAGATACTGACATGCGCAATCCACAACTGCATAGTTATCAACTAAACTGAGCCAGTACAAAGACACAGTTAGTCACGTGAGATTTCAGTTCCCACAGCAGCGACTCTGCAGATTACCATCATCTGGGACATGAAACCATGTAGTCTGGCAGATAGGGACCAATATTTTGGAGGTAACTGCTACCTCCATCTTCAGTGGCTCTCTGAAATGTTGGTACCTACCTGCCAAACTAGAGTGTCAAACCCCAGAAGGTTCTGGGGAACACACTGCCCCATCCTTAGGATCTTCTACCCTGAAATAACGTAGGACACGTGTTCCTCTAAAACCGAGGTATCTATCAGATGGCATCACATCCCTCAGTCGCTCTTGATAACACTGGCTTGTCAATGTTTCAAAGAGCTGTATGTCTCAAACTTCAAGACAAAATGACTAAACAGTCCCTTGAAAGCAATACTTAAATTTCCATGGCACAAGGCACATTCTGATTGGTGTGTACATGGCCAATGAACGTTTCTGCACTAGTGACATATAAATGCCTCCTTACACCGGTTACATTAAGTTACACAAGCTTAAGTTAGTTTGCAGGTGTACATATTGTCACTTGATACTTTATTCAGGTAGGAGAGAGGCTCAGGGGGGAAGAGACGAGGAAGGAGATTATAAGTCTCTTCTCAAAGCCAAATATTCACAGTATAATGGAACCCTCTTTAATGTTCCTCTATTTAAGGTTTTCATTCATTTAACATTCAATTTCAATGATCCCAATTCAATAATCTTAGTGGTAAATTTCCCCAATTTAAGATTTCCTTCGGTTTAGTGTCAAATCCACTGGTCCCCAAAGAAACCTTAAATTGGGAATTCAGTATTAAAGATAGAGATATTAAGGAAGATGGAAAATACTGAAAAAAGAAAAAAAAATGGTGCTATCTTACTACACACATAACCACCAATCAGATTCCAGAGTTTCCTGTTACCTCACTGTCTGAACAACAGATACTGGAGCAAGCTATTTCTGCAAAAGCTGTGTTACCATTCAAGGTTAGCTGCAACCCAGTGTCAAAGTCAAATGACTGCAAACAGTCCTTTAATAAAAGATAAAGCTATCCCTGTAACAGGCTGTGAAGGCCCATAGAGTTGTGAGACGCCAAGGCTCCCACATTTTCTGGACAATCAGCACTGAGGCCGTCAGCCTTATGTGCCAGCCACCCTTTACCCCCCAGAAGATTCCTGGTACTCATTTTTGCCAGATACTGAGTCAACCCAAGGCCATAGTGTAGCTGGAAGGATTAGGTCAACTGAAAAATCCAATGACCTCATTGGGAATCAAACCCACGACCTTCCAGCTTGTAGCATAGTGTCTCAACCAGCTACACTAAAGCATGGCCCCCCAGCATTCCAGCATGGCTAGTGCTAGTTCTACTACATTCACACTAAACAGGCAGGACTGGGAACACTTGAATGTACATAAGAACACAATTCTACACCCCAAATATAATGGATACCTTTATCCTCAAACATTTTCCCCAACAATTTCCTATGCAATATGGTCTCATATATTCAATTTGTTACGTGTTTCACTATAAGGTACAGCTGAAAACGTCACATAATAAAACCAGTTCATCTTATTACAGAATTTGATTTTTCTGGGGGCATGTGGTAGTGTAGTTGGTTGAGGCACTATACTACAGGCCAGAAGGTCATGGGTTTGATTCCTGATGAGGTCATTGGATTTTTCGACTGACCTAAACCTTCCTGCCACATTATGGTCCTGGGTTCGAGTCAGTCTCTAACAGAAATGAGTGCCATGAATCTTCCTGGGGATAAAGAGCAACTGACACATAAGGCTGACAACCTCACCACCATCAGTGAGCCGACTGTCTAGAAAATGTGAAAGCTCACGTCTCACAACCACATGGGCCTCCACAGCTTGTTACAGGGACAGCTTTACCTTTTACCTTATTTCACTTTTCCAGAATAATGACAATTCAAACTATTCTATTATGCTTGTTCTGTCTAACAAAACTCAAAGAATGTAGAACATTCAATTTGTTTTATTAAAATCACAACATGTTTCGGTCATTTTATCCGGTCATCATCAGGCGAATACAACTGTTTAACAAGTGCTCTCTTGAATTGCAAACCATCTTACTTCTCATATGGGCCCATATTTACAGTGATTTCTGGTGGACGACAATATTGGCATTTATCAGTACTACATATTAAGTTATTAAAATTGTTAAATATCAAAAATATTGTATACGGATATATGAATTGAACAATCCTGGAGTGAATATTTGCTAGGTTGTATATGGCTCAAACAAGGATGTAATTCTATATTTGCAGTTGTTAGGTGTTGAGTTTGCAAATGAACTGATGGGTGTTTATCTTTAGCCTAACTAGGCCGTGGTTTTCACTCTTATGCTGCGTAGCCCAGAATAGTTTGCAAATACGCAACAGGATGCACTCAATAAAGAATGACATTTCATGTTGTCATCTTCTTGGTTACGGACAGTGAGATAACAAGATTTCACAGGAATACACAGCCTCCATCTTCATGATAGAATTGACTTTCACACTTCAAGGTGTTTTCTAACCTAAGGATAAAGCCAGCACTTCCTCAACACAGTGCCATTACCAGAAGGCAATATGAAAGTATTTTATTTTATTCCAAGAAGTGTGAAAGATTTCTGAGAACCACTTATGGGTAAAAGATTGGAAGCCAGTCAATATATTCTGTGCAACCACACACAATGCATCTTTTTCTTCAATAAGAACTTTCAGACTAGTAGTATTCTAAAATGAAATGCTACATGGCAAGGTAACTTAAGTGTAACAAACAAAAGACACAAATAAAACATAAAAAGATTTCTGAAATCCCAGAATTTCATTCTACATTCAGAAAGGGGAAGGACTGAGGCAGGAAGTCTGGCATCATGGTGTTGGGAGGCTCATCTGAACATGGGGACTGAACAACAATGGGAAGTGATGAGTTGGGATGAATATCTTCAGTGGAGATAGGCAATGATGCCAACACCAAATCGGCCTGAGTGTCTTCGATACACATGCTAACATCCTGGGGCTGACTGGGACAAATATCTACTCCAGAAAGACTAACATCTGCAGCATCAACAGATAGTGTCGGAATAGATGGGTTCACATTCATGTCACTAATATCAGAATCACAGTGCTTGTCGGACACATCTGGGCACAGAGGTTGAATAGGGTCAATACCCTGTGTGGAAATGCCAGATATTGTAGTTTCAACTGCATTTGGAGCGGTAAAGGCAGAAATGGAAGAATGAGAGTTCGTGTTTGCCAAAGGTACAATGGGGTCTGTGGCAGAATTTGGAACAGACATGGCAGTAATATCGGTGCTCGGAGGGGCACCCTTATGAGAGATATCAGAGTGAGGTGATAATACACTTTCTGAGATTGCAATCTGGGGAACTGAAGGCTCCACATTTGTACCATCTGAAGAAATGTCAGCGCATGACAACTGAATGGAATTTGGAACAGAGAACGAAGCTATTACAGAATCAGGGTCGATATTCCCAACAGTTATGCTTGCATACAAAGGCTTCACAGTATTTGGTATCGATAATACAGGGTCTAGATGAGAACCGTCTGCTCCAGATGTGGTAGGAACAGGAGATGAAACAGGAAGTGTTGATATTCCAGAATCAGGCTGGGCAATACTGCCAGGAATGCTGGCTGGGATAGAAATGGAAGACACAGCACTAGCAACCAGAGCATCACATTGTGATGGTACGAGAGGCAGAGACGGTAAAGTTGAAGGCCTAGGCTTTGGACCAGAAATGAGACGCTCTCTCAGCAGAGAACTGGATGTAAGAACATCATCAGGCAAGACTGAGCAGCCTGTTGTTGCTGGAGCTTGCTCAGAATGTAACCGCGACACTGTGCCAGCCGTACCTGGCAAGTCTGAACCAGCAGTCATCTGTAACACCGTCTCCTCCAGAGCAGAGAAATTCTCTATCTTTATATGAGGCACCGGCTCTGAACCATCTAATAACATTGGTTCCTCCAGACCTTCAAGTCTTCCTTCCTCAATGAAGATGGTGTCGGGCAGTTTCGAAGCAGCATGTGCATCCAATAACTGCACCTTTCCACTCGCACTGTTAGTAGGATCTATCTCTGACACTGTTAGCACTGTTTGGTGCTGATCAAGAGACATAGTGATCGGTGTTGCAAACACTAACTGAGGTTCAGAACTAGACAATACGGTTGTTAAAGTCTGTGAAGTTGGGAAGGTTAAGTCATAGGTCACTTCAATTGTTTGCATCATTTCTCCAGACTGGAAGGAACCTAACGTAGTTCCATCAGCACATGTGACGATGGTTGTCAACGTGTCATCGGGTGGCAAGGTCAGCACTTCTGTTGTTGCTAAGTCACCAGTCGTAGCCAGAATACTAGCATCAGATACAGTACATACCTCCTGTAACGTTATCACTTTGCCCAAATCCGCATCAACCAGAGACAAAACTGGGTTTGTGAAGACGGACCCTTGAGATGTAGCAGGAGAGGTCCACTGCTGACCTGCGGGTACCAAAGAGGACTCTCCCTTCACTTCACCACTTAATGATTTTGATCCCTTGCCGACAGGAACTAACACACCATTCTCATCATGACCAAGTCTCTGCAGTTTCCTGGGTTTGAAGATGATCCTATGTGCAGATTCCTCATGCCTTCTGAGGTGAGATGCACGTTTGTATGAGTGACTACAATATGGACATTTGAAGAGACGCATGTCAGAGTGACTCTGGATGTGTCTCCTCAGATCGCTCTGTAACTTGAACATCTTGTCGCACATGTCACAAGAAAAGTGCCGTTGCTGCGAGTGGACAGAGTTACAGTGATCTTTGAGAGTGGTGAGTGCGTGGAATGCTGCCCCGCACTGGTTGCAGGCGAAACGACGCTTCTCAGTGTGCAAGGCTAGGTGTCGTGTCATGTTGGACCTACTGTTGGAGGAGTGATCACAGAAAGTGCACTTATAAGTGTGTGTAGTGCTGTGCATTTGGTTCTCATGCTCCTCCAGAAGGTAATCATGGCTGAAGCACTTGTCACACTGTTGACACTCGTAGGGCTTCTTTGGGTCGTCTTCTGCTATCCGATGGCAAGTTGCCTGGATGTGTTGGTTATAATCTTCAGCGGTTTGCAAGCCTTTTTTGCATACTAAGCAAGTGTATGCTTCTTCACCTGGACAAGAAAACACTACTTCAGCAATCACATTTACAGGCATAAGTGGACATGTCACATATTCTTAGACAATCACATAAATCAACATGACATAAATATCTGATGTTATGGTCTTCTTCTGTATTGGTCATCATGAACTAGGGCAGTGTGTGACAGAGGTTGAAGGTCAAATGGAGCTCAGTTACACGCACTCTTCAACATTTCAGATTCTATTTAACTGTAATCTAACTCAAATTCCATTTACACTTCCTGTACAGTGATGCCACCAATACCACTTATTTTACATGGCATTTTTATGCTACATGTTACTGTGTTAAGCTTGGCAAGCAACAGTCAGGTGTACCACTTGTGGAGGGGGGACGCCAACTACCATACTCTGCCCCACTGCTCTCCTTTTGTCTGGTCGTAGCCAAAAAGAAAATGACTTGGTTCCAAACAGACTATATCACTACACAAAACTATAATTTTCCTACTACATACAATTTTGTATGGGCATGAAACCTGATCTCTCACATTAGTGGAAGAACATCAACTAACAATGTTTGAAAACAGGGTCTGGGGAGAATATGTGGACTTAAGCAAGAGAATGTAACACGGAGGGTGAAAAAATTACATGGTAAGTAGGAGCTTCACAATTTATACTGCTTGCCTTGTATCTGATGACGAAATCAGCAGGATCAAATAAGTGGGGCATGTAGCATGCATATGAGAACAGATAATGCATACAAAGTATTGGTAGGAAAACGTGGCAGAAAGACCCACTATGAAGACTAGGCATGCATGGGAAGATGATTTTCAGAGAAGTCTTCAAGAAATATGATTTGAGGTGTGGAGTGGATTCATCTGGCTCAAAATAGGGAAGACATGCAGGCCCTTGTGAACATGGTAATAAACGTTTACTATTACTCAGTCGACACACCATACATTTGCAAGTACTGTATTTCACAATCCTCGTGCATTAATGTACCGTTTGTACACACATGCAACTTGCAAGTTGAAGTGAATAATAGGAGTTTCTTGCCTGTGTGAGCCTTCAGATGTAATTTGAGTTGCCCCTCACGTGAAAATATCTTGCCACATTCAGGACATTCATGCTGGCTCTCTCTGCCAGACTGGTTCTGACACGCCCTTGCATGCTCCTGTAGAGTTGCCTTGGCAGCAAACCCCATGTTGCACGTCTTACACTGGTACTTCTCGTGACTCTGAAACCAGCAATACTGCTACTGACATTCAGTACTATGGTGCAAGGGCACACTGTAGTGTAGTTTGTTGAGGCACTATGCTACAAGCCGCAAGGTTTCGGGGTCAAATCCTGATGAGGTCATTGGATTTTTCAATTTACCTCATCCTTCCAGCCGCACTACAGCCGTGGGGTCGACTCAGCCTCTAACAGAAATGAGAACCAGGAATCTTCCTAAGGGTAAAGGGCGGCCAGTGCATAAGGCTGACGTCACTGCCATCTGTGAGCTGACTGTCTACAAAATGTTGGAGCCTCAACATCTCACAGGCCTATGCAACTTTAAAAATTCATTGCCATGTCAGCACTGCCAACCAAAGAAGTCTCTTTCTAAGGAACAAAACCCAAAGCCAAACTTGAGGATGTGGTGGAGGCAGATTCTAAGGTTAGGCACTGGATTTTGTTTCAGAAGTAAACTTCTATGATCAGCTTGCACTTGTGTCACATGGTGCAAAGGCTGATGGTCTCTACTGGAAGAGGCAACCTCAGCAATATGTGCCTACATACTGCAGGATGTTCCAACCCAGACATGGCACACCTGTCAGAACAAGACGTGCATCCATACCACATGCTAGCACTGTGTACAGCACTTCCAACCCAACCGTTACCATGTGAACACTTTGGGAGTTCCATGGTGGTGAGTATGCAAACTGTGCTCTTGTGGGCTGTGGCACCCTACAGTCTCGCAAGCAGACCCCAAGGTTTCAGATGCACCTGCTACCTTCCTTCACTTTCAGGGTCGAAGGGTGTTGGGTATGGAACTGGCCCATGGCACTGTGTAGCTCTGTCTTTACCCCCTCCTGAGCAGCCTCTGTAGTCTAGGGGGAACGTTTCCACCTCATGACTCAAGGTACATGGGTTCAAACCCGGTGGAGGTCGTGGAATTTTTAAGGGCAGAAAAATTCAGGGAACAAGTCCTCCGGGAGGGACTTTAAGCCATGGGTCCCGTGTCGTAGATTTACGGCCCGTAAAAGATCCTCATGTCTCTAGGAGACCTCTGAGCAAAATTAGGCAAAATGTTTCCCGCCCAAGTAGTTTCCAATACCTCCAGTAGATGGGGAAGTTATCGGGTACCAATGCCATTAAAGGGCCGACCTCGCTGGCAGAAAGGGGAGAGTTATCGGGTACCACTGCCAGTAGAGGGCCGACCTCGCTGGCAGAAAGGGGAGGTAGTGGGCACCAGTATCAGTAGGGTATGGAGACAGTAGAAATTAAAGGGCAACGTACAATAGACTATTGGTGCATGGGAAAACCCACCCCCTCTATACTGAATAACTGAATACCCCGTCCTGTGTGTCTCAGTGAGCGAGCAGCTTCTGTGCAACTGGCCTATATAACTCAGTTGATTCCTCAACCCCACAGACTTCTAACCCCAAAGATGGAAGCCATATGTTCCTCCGAAACAATGAGGTCACAACCCAGAACAGCACAATCTGAAGTTAAGTTAAGTCAGCACTGAAGTGATGGTCATGAGTTCAGAGAAACTTCGAAGAACTGAACATTCATCCCAGGTTCAGGTATTTCAGGCCACATTATGTTTTGTGAAGTGTGCAATCATAGCGCTCATTACGTATTTAAGTCACGTTAACAGTTCACATTTGCTGACTTATATACATACACACTTGTAACGGCACAAAAGGGTTGTGGGATAGGAGGTATAAGGGCACAGAGAGTAACCAGCCTCCCTCACCATTTTTACACTTTACCCCAACATACCTCCATGTGCACCACATATTGCTGCCGACGTGAGAATGTTGTTGCACATCTTGTACATTTCCACGGCCTCTCCTGTTCATGTCTCTCCCTGTGAGTCTCAAATTCTTCCTTTGTGTCCAGGAATAATCCACAGCCCTGACACACAAACTTCCCATTTGCATGTTGGTTGTAGTGGTTAAACAATGTCACCTGCTTTACAAAACATCTTTCACAGAACTGACACTGGTATTTTGCCTTCTCCAGCTTCATCTTGTGCTCTTGAGCCATGTGAAACGTGAGCTCCTTCCGTGTTGTGAACCGAGCTTCGCAGTATTGGCAGTTATTCCGTCTGTGACCCTCAACATGCTTGTCAAGGTGTCTCCTATTGGGGAAAGTTTGTGGGCACTGTGGGCAATATCGCAATTTTCCTACATGTTTCTTAGTCTTTTTACACAGTTCAGAAACTAAATGATAATCAAATGCAAATTTATTCTTGAAAGCTGAATGGCATATAATGCAGGAAATTGGAAAACCTTTATGTTTGTCAACATGAGACAAAAGGTTGCCCTTATTACCACAAGCCACTTCACACAGCGGGCATTTAAACAAATCTTCCATACTGTACACTAAACGCCTACAATTTTAATATTAATCACATATTTCTGCACACTGCTAATTATGTGTTCTTTCACATTGTTACTTGCTGCAGCTATAACTACACAATTAAAGAGCAGAATATGCATGTAGCACATTACAAAATCAACAAACTTTAGAAGAACATCTGAAACTACATATCCAATTATAGGCTTGTACCCTTGTACCTTAACAAAACTGTCATTCTGTTGGAGATGAGATGGCAAAAATGTTTTAAATGGACATAAAAACTCTGGAGACATAACAAAATCTGTGTAACATTCTTCTTCGCCAATTAAATGTAACTTCCAGATACGATGCATATTTTAATGCACATAAGTAATATCTGACAATTTATATCACACTAAGGAAATCTGCATTCCCCTACATAAAATGATTTGTTAAAACAACAAAATACAACAAATTCTAGCGTTACATCTGAACACTACAATATTGGCAACCCTTTTTCACTGATTTACGTTCATAGCGGCCAGGGACGGTCATAGAATACTTATGATGGTACGCATGACTTTCACTGCCGTCACAACTGACTTTGCTGCCATCTATGAATGTAATACCGCTCCCTACTGGCTGGGCGTAGCGAACCTCTTCGCAGCGCAATGGTAAACAGGATTAATTTTTTTTTAATTCGCTTTGGGGGCGGAGTCCAACTGGGTCCACTGGGCACGGCGGCCACTGATTGATTATGACGACGGAGAATTTGGCGGAATGAAGATTGGCAGGGGAAACCGAAGTACTCGGAGAAAACCTGCCCCAGCGTCACTTTGTCCACCACAAATCACACTTGACCAGACCCCGGGATCGAACCAGGGCCGCGAAGGTGGGAAGCCAGCGACTAACCGCTTGAGCCATGGCGCGGCCCCCTTCCAATGATAGTGCTATAATAGTTGGTTATTTATAGACGCTGCCAGTATCAAGACTCTTTAATGAATCGACAGCTATCAGTGAAATGAGAAATGATAGTTACAGTTTAGTATTCACAGAGAAAACATATCACTTTTCCCACCACAAATCCCACAAGTCCCAACCTGGGATCGAACAAGGAGAACCATTGTGGGAAGTTTGTGACTAACTGCCTGAGCTATTGTGCGCCCCATACTATCAGGCATGTTTTGAATTTATTAAAAAAAATAATTTCAAACTGTATTCCTTCTTCTTTCCTCCCTAAATAGTTGGAATAATACAGATCACACATAACTTATATGTTTCAGTTTTCAATATTGTAAATGAAGGTACCAGGATAAGAAATTGAGAGATTAAATAAATTTTAATGTTATTATATTGAATTATCAACAAGACCCTTAAATTCTGGATAGGGATCAGAACCAAATGCCTGTATGTGTGTGCCAGCATCTCTCAAGTTTCAGTTGTTTTAGACTGTTGAGTAACCAACATAATGTGTGAGGGGTCTGACCTTCACATGAATAATCCACCAGGGAAATATCTTTACTGGACCACACCCTGCACTTTATTTCCATGGCAACCATGGGTGGAGTCCTGCCTAGTACATGTTACATTAAAAGGATTCTAAACACTTGTTAAAATTCAAACATTTATACAGACAACAGATGAGCAAATGTAAGTTGACAAATGATTGTTCTTTACTGCTGATAGGATTGCTGGCAAAGGTGAAGAACATTCATGACAAATTTCCAGTAGAAAGCAAAATATAAAACCTTGCGCTTTTCGAGCAAGAGTGGCACAACTGCACCATGCACTTAGGACAACAGTGACCGAATGTCCATTTGTGATGAGAGAAAGAGTGGCACAAGTGTCTCACAACATTAAATACAGGATCTATCACCTAATTCTGGTGCCACAGTGATACTAGCTGACGAGAAATATTCTACAAAGAAGACATAACTACTTTCTCATATATTGTGGGGCAATTTGCAACACTTGTGTGTCTCTAACAGGTGTCATTAAACAATGGCACAAATGGGATTCAAGCTGAAAAATTTTAATCTACTAACACGAAAGTTTTCGCTGTGTAATTATTTTTCCCGATTATTATTCCGTGAGGTACTCCTAAGACAATGGACGTATATTCTTACCCATGGGCATAATTACCACCAAACTTTGATATCAGTTCATAAAATGTGAAGAGGGGGCTTCGATCAACACAACCTTTGTTTCATAGTTACAAGGGTCTAGTTAATTTCATAGGTCAGTTAGTTGATGAATGATTGTTCTTAACCCAGTGATAGGATTGCTGGCAAAGGTGAAGAATTTTTGGTGGCAAATTTCCAGCAAAAAGCGAGATAAATACCCAATACTTCTCAGAAAATCTGGTAGCAGCGGGAATCGAACCCGGACCTGTAGCCAGGAACTCTGACCACTAGACCACAGAAGCATAAGGATGAGCATGAAATGGAGAAGGGGGAGCAGTTGGATACAACATCGCTTCAATGCAGCCCAGTTCAACAAAGCACCAGTCTCCTGAACACCGACATTGCTCTGAACAAGCCAACTTATTGATCTCTGTGCAGAGGCCCTGTTATGTGGGGACCTGCCACAGTGAACTGTGATGGGGAACAAGCTGGTCATATTTACTGAGGAGCAATTCGAAGACTATCAGGTCAGTGGCTCACCCATTCATCTGTACTTAAGGAAACCAGAATCTTACTTGAGAAGAGAGGGAACTTCTCTGATAGAAATTGGGTACATAAAATGCATACAAAATTTTAAGAGATTTGAGGTTTTAGAGCAGAGACGGTAATCCTCTACAATCTCACACCATGTAGTCTGGTACTTGGTTACCAATGATGTGGAAGATTCTGCTGACTCATTTTTCAGGGGAGACATGAAGAAGGAGACGGCATATTCCTCGAAAACATTGGTGACTACCTACTTGATGTTATGGTGTCAGAACCGAGGACATCAAAATATGATTAAAAAGTTATTGGTGAATTTTGCAATAATATGGATCACAGTAAGATAGGCTTTTGGGAGGAAACTGAAGTTGCTTAGGACATTATGATGATGGTGATGGACATGTGAATTCCACAACACAGGACTGAGCAGGTTAGTGTTGTGGTAGTGGTCTAGACCTGTGTTTGGAAGCTCTATCTATCTGTCTGTCTGTCTGTCTGTCTGCCTATCTAACTACCTACCTATGGCTCTACAGTCCTTTGTAAAACCTTGGCCACTTTTTCAGTCACTTCATCCTATCCACAGTTGGTAGGACTCCTTTTATGGGGGATCAGCCCATCAAAATGCCGCTACCTATACACAGAACAACAGAAACACACAATAAACGCACACGGACATCCATGCCTTGAGCACGACCTCAGCGTTTGAGTGAGCAAAGACAGTTCACGCTTTATACTGTACGGCCACTGTGAGTGGCTTGGAATTGGTTAATTCTGAGTGACATTTTGTGATTATCTTCTCTCATGGCAAATTCAAAATTTGTATATATGCTTTCCAATTGGGATAATCTTCTTAATCCTTAATTACTCATCAGTAATGACCCTTTTCTATTTTATTTGATGATGTATAATCTCTGTATGTGTAGAGTGTCATCATACAGTCTAAACACATGTGAGATTTGACTTTCTGATGGCTGTGACTCTGAAGAGTATGTTAGATCAGAGAGATCCCATCTGACTCTTCTGGTTTCTTGTAAGGTTTACTCTCTGATCTTGAAGCCGGAGGCAACATATTGCTCTGAAATATCAGGATCCCTCCCAGCTACACTGTGCTACAACACAGAAGACCATACTTGTTCACAGTCACTGCCACGAGAACCTCAAACCCAACATAACAATTGCTGTCTACTTGGATATAATGCTAAGTAGTCCGGTAGATATGTGCTGACGTTTTACAGAAATCTGATGCATCCCTTTTCTCACCTGAAGAGAGAGGCAGCAGATGACTCCAAAAACATCAGTAAATATCAAGCAGACCACGGGATGTGACACACAACAAGTCAGTTCTCTTCAATCTAAATAAAAACAATAAGAAGGAATTTCTTTATAAAGACATGGAACGCACGGGGAATTTTGTGTACTAAGATGTTAGTTGGTCAGTTGTGTAAGTTTGGTGTGATGTTCTGTTTGAAGTATAATCACCAACTATTATACAGGTCTCACCTGAAGTACTTGCCAGTGTCTTTTACGTGCATAAAAGGGACATATCCAAGGGGAGCCATTTTTGAAAAGGTTGATTACAGATTTATATTCAAGCTGATTAAGACTACTGTATTTTTAATGATGACCTTATAGTACTGTGGACAGAAGAATACTTTCTTTAAATTCCTTGTATTAACATTTAGTGTATTTCCTCATAGTTCTCAAATTTTTTCATTTAAATTACAAGTGGGGGCAGATGCCTGGATTGTCATTTCCATGTTGGCATCCATGGATTCAAAGAATGTATGTGGAAACTGTGTGTGCTGTGGTAAAGGTTACAGCAATACAATCTTTTTACCATAACAATGCCCCCTCTACCAGCCATAAGGTGGTGGGTTCGATTCTTGATGAGGTCACTGGATTGTTCAATTGACATAATCCTTCCAGCCACACTATGACCCTAGGGTCAGCTCAGTCTCTAACATAAATGAGTACCAGGAATCTTCCCGGGGCGTAAAGGGCTGCCGGTGTGTAAGGCTGACAACCTCACTGCCATCTGTGAGCTGACTGTCTAGAAAATGTGGCAGCCTCGATGTCTCACAACCCTATGGGCCTCCATGGCCTGTTACAGGGATAGCTTTACTTTCTATAGTAAAATTACATTTTATGTTTCCTAACCATGGTTTCTGTCTCATCACCAAAATGCAAGGGCAAAATCATGATATAAAGATGTATTACAGTTCAGATATTTGGGAACAATGATAACAGATCGAAACCTGATTCAGGAGGAAATTAAGAGGAGATTAAACTCGGGCATTCTGAACCATTCAGTCCAGAACCTTTCGTCTTCACATCTGCTGTCCAAAAACATAAAAATTAGAATATACAAAACTATAATTTTGCCTGTGGTTCTGTATGGGTGTGAAACTTGGTCTCTGACATTAAGGGAGGAACATAGACTGAGGGTGTTTGAGAACAGGGTGTTAAGGAAAATATTTGGACCAAAGAGGGATGAAGTGACAGGAAGTTGGAGAAAACTGCATAATGAGGAGCTTCATAACTTGTACTCTTCTCCAAGTATAATTAGAATGATCAAGTTAAGGAGGATGAGGTGGGCAGGTCATGTAGCAGGATATTGGCGGGAATGTTGGAAAGAATGAGACCACAGGGACGACCAAGGCGCAGGTGGGTGGACAAGATTAGAATGGATCTTAGAGAGATAGGATGGGATGGTATGGATTGGATAGATCTGGCTCAGGATAGGAACCAGTGGAGGGCTCTTGTGAACACGGTAATGAACCTTCGGGTTCCATAAAATGCTGGGAAATTCTTGAGTAGCTGCAGAATTGGCAGCTCCTCAAGAAGGGCTCAGTTCCATGAGTAAGTAAGTAACCATGGTTCATTTTTGTTTCAGGACTGCACATTCTTCACAAGGAAGGAGATTCTCAGGTAAGACAATGGCACACAGCCTCTTGGCACAGCCTTGCCTTTACAGATCAGGTAAATGAGTGCCTGCATAAGTTCAATATCCACCTCCCAGCATCTTCTTACCTTTTCTCTTTAACTAACTCCATGGAGCTGAGTTTCTTTAACAACACGGTCTGTATCTAGACTATATAGCAGCAGCTGAGTCCATTCTGAGAAGCCAATACTTGTTCAGCCAGTCAAGAAATTCCCAGTGGGACCCAAAGGTTCATTATTGATCTCACAAGAGCCTGCCACTGGACCTTATCCTGAGTTGGATTCAGCCCATACCTTCCCATCTAATTTAAAGATAAATTTTAATATTATCCTTCCATTTATTTATAATCTTCCTAGATGTGTCTTGTCTTTAAATTTTGCTATCAAAGCTTTCTACACACTTCTCTCCCACGTGTGAAATGAACAACTGAAACCTCAGCTTCCAGGGATTCACAGTGTTGACAACATATGATGCCTAAAACTCTGAAAACCAAAGTTATACAGTATCTGAGTTCACGCTTTCTACTTGTATAAGTTAATATTAGTTAGTATTAACTTCTCTGAAGACCGTATAGACACCAGTGTCCCTTACACATGCAGGGTACACAAGAGGTTCCGAGAAGTCAGCCCTGACCTTGTGCCAAAGAGTATGACAGGAAGAGAACCTGTTACTGTCAGGGTGCCACTGGAGAAAATGGAAAAGCTACCAGAACTTCGGGTAAGAAATTTTCACTTTCTTAAAACAGAAATTCCACTCTATATATGGTCACTTATAGAGATTCACTTCCATCTTAAATGCAACTTTATTTACATAAAGTAAAGTGAATGTGTATATGTGATATATTAATGCAACAGGATTGTGAAATACAATGTCATATCGCTCCACTTTACTTTTAAAAATTATTTGTAATATTAAATCACTGACTTTATGTAAACAAAATGTCATATTGGTAAATGAAATTCAACATATAAAGGGGCAAACTATGAGTAACATTTTTAATAATGGGAAGATAAGATTTTGTTTCCAGAAACCCAGGTCACTAATGTGCACAGTACTCTTGTTGCACGCAGAACCGCCAGGAAGTGGCACTCCCTCCTCTCAGTTAAAATTAGATCACCTTTCTAAAAACTCAGTTGCAGTACCGTAAAGTTTACAAATACTAAGATGAAAACCACATTTGGAATAGTAATTCTTGAAACAATTTTTATTTAAATTTGTGCATAACAAGTTTACATTACTGCCAATTAATGGTCACCATATGAACAATAGGTCAGTAGAAATGAATTTTTATTTTAACAAAAAGTGAAAGAGAAGAGTGTGTAAAATCTGCTACTCAGACAAAAGGGATCAGAAAGGTGCTGTCCGCAAGTCTCTTCACTGACACAGACATGGCACTGTGATGCCTCAGCTACTGTACTGAAACAACTGCCGGTTCACAGGAGAACCCATTCCGGCAGAGGATCTGTCAGGTGTTCTCACGAGATGGGAAGGGCAACCTCACATTTGAGGACTTCTTGGACCTTCTGTCAGTGTTCAGTGAGCAAGCCCCAAGGGACATCAAAGTCTTCTATGCATTCAAGATATATGGTGAGCAAATTGTTGCATTATTACAAGTGTCTCATGCTGAATTCTGATTGACCAACTAACTGATTGGCTGACTGTCTAATTCCATGAAACAGCTGAGTAACTAACTACTTAAATAAATGAACAATATAAAGTAAGAAAGATAAATTATGAAGCTTCTCATTTAATAATATTGTTCATGCTCCTAATATTTCATTTATATGAGACTGTTAAACCTTTCTATGTTGAAAATTTTGTTAAAAATAATTTTTTATGGCCACTTATAATTTCTGTTATGTTAAAACTGCAGATTTATGAGAGAAGGTAGCATACATCCAGTTATTGGGAATCAATTTTTATAACAGGCTCAAGTGAATAGGATCCTTCCCCCTTGTGCCTAATAATAGATTCCTGTTTCTACAAAAGCGTGAAAATCAGATATGCCTCAGAAAATGGACAGTGCCCAATGTAACATTCATACAATATTTCTTTCAGTCCATAATTACATGTACCAATTGATAGGGACAATTTCATCTGAGCGAGAATTACCTCATATGTGGAATGGACAGAGTTAAGTAGCTGATTATTCATCTTTTCTCTCAGATTTTGATGGGGACCACCACATTGGACCACAGGACCTGGAGCAAAGTTTGCGTCTACTCACCCATAATGAGCTCACACCTGAAGAGGTAGCTCAGGTCTGTGAGAAGGTCATTGAGGAGTCCGATGTGGACGGAGATGGCAAACTATCCTTCATGGAGTTTGAGCATGTCATCACACGTGCACCGGATTTTCTGTCAACTTTTCACATTCGTATCTAGATGGAACACAACAGGCACATTAAGGAATGCTTATCATGTACTGTATGTTTGAAGGTCAGATGCACTTCAGCATTACACAACACTAAAGTGAAGTCTTCATATATAACTCAATTTTGCATATTTCAACTGATGTTGCCACCAATGGCAGGCCCTGTTTCTTGAACCTTTCAGACCCTGAACACGCAGTTATGTAGAGCAGAACACTCAAGACAAAAAAAAAATATCGAAAAAAGAAAGGAAAGGAGGAATAGGAGAAGATGAAAAATAGAACGAGGAAGAGGGGTTGGAGTAGGAAGAGAACAAGGTAAGAGGAGATGCAGTACATAAAGGGGGACAAGGGTGAGAAGAGGACAGGAAGAATGGGATATGAATATTCAGAGGAGGTGAGATGAGGAAATGGAGTAAGAAGAGGACAATTAAGAAGAGGAAGAGAAGACTCCTTCCTGATCCCTTTGGAGTCAGAGGACTAAGCAAGTGAAACAATACTGTTGTGATTCATATGTATATATAATTGGTTTATTCCTTCCAGAATCACAACAAAATTATTTCTTGAGCAGTGTTTTGAAGCTTCCCACTCATCTCTTAGAAAATGTATCAGAATGCAACAAAAACCAAAAGCTAATGCCATATTTCTCCTGTCTCTGAGAACTACCTGAGATTATACATCACTAAATAAATTAATAACCTATCATAAGTCCTCTTTTTTTCCACTGAAACATTATCTGATCTGACAGGGTCATCACACCACAGAAATACTTCACAGTGAGAGTATTAATATTCAGTACCTTCCATCGGTGCTGAATCACTCTGTTGCTCTAAAAGAAGGATACATTTGCTAAAGAACTGAATTTACACTCTCATATGCATGTCAAATTTATGAGTTCAGTAAATCATAGAGTCACTTAGAAGTTCAAGTTACTGTACACATGCAACATGAGCTATAACACAAGCTCAAATAAATGGCATAAAAGCTGCTGCACACAGTAATTTTCATGATAACCGCCATGATAGCCTGAGAACTTGCACATTAACATTCATGACTGGACAATGGGGACAAGCTGGGAACAGAAGGGTTTATGAACAAGAGGGCACCACAAGTCCACCCGTTTATTTCAATTTGCATATCATCATATAGTATTCGCTTGTTATTTTACTTTGTTTTTAGCATTTCCATTTTGTTGTATCAAGATAACTATTCATATTTATACCAATCTATTTGTCTTATTTTATAACATTTTTGTTGAGCAAAACCTTTATACTGTGTCTCAAACATCTTTGAAAGGGCGTCATCATCACACAGTGATGTAGATATTTATGTTATCATTAGAAAGTCACTAGATTTTATTTTCAACATACAGTGCAAACCACAACCACCATACTGCAGATCTCGCGCTGAACACGCGGGGTTTTATTCTCAAAGTTTGCCTGCCTATTCGAGTCATGACATACCCTAAAAGATGTCTTAGACAGACAATACCATTTGTCATTAATCTACATCCAAATGTAACATTACACCATTTGCTGACATAGAGCTCACCTTATCTTCTAAGTACTGTGGCCAACCATACATTAAGTGAAGTTTCAAATTACAATTCTGTTCATGACATACACATACGCACATACATTTCTAATCACTGGATATGATAACATTTTGATAAGCACTATAATACAATTCATGTCATCAAGACAGGTAAGTGAAACCAAGCAACTGATCACTATATTCTTCTTCTAAGCAACCATCTAATTGCCTGGAGCAGAGTTTTTTCTTGAAAAACTAATGGTCACTCAGCAATTCAAGAAATTCAGAGAATTCTAAAGATCCTGAAGGTTCATCACCGTGTTCACAACAGCCAACAGCTGGTCCCTACCCTGAAACAAATTAAACAAGTCCATTCAATAGATGTGAGTGGTCAGCTTTGTGTTCTGACCGCTCTACCCCCAGGGAAAGAACCCCTGTAGCTATTGGATGGAAGGCTGGCTGGGCCTAAGAGCTAGTTTGGAGGCTGCAAACAAGAATAGCTGTTGCATTTGCTGGAATCAAACCTTATTCCTTTGTTATCCATCTTGTAGCCTAGCTCCTGTAGTGACTGCACTGTCCCAACTCTAGATGTGAAGAAAGCAGTCTTCTGGGATGTGGCACCGTGTAGATGTGGTGTTAACCGACGTTTCGAAGGAACGTATCGTCTCCATCTTCAGGGTAGAAGGAAAAACAAGAAAATCCACAAGCGAAGAGACATTGAGAACAGGTGAAAGCAGACTAATGTTGGAAATAAACTGAGTGGATTTTCTTANCTGAGGTTCACAGCTCATGTCAGTCCTGTTCGCTAACATACGATTACAGGTAGTGCAGTGTACCTCATAGTTGTCCCCGTCATTGTGACGACTGTCAGATGTCTGTAAAATAAGGTCATAGCTGATTCTAAGTGTCATGGAATGCCAGCATTGTGTGAAGAAAGTAGAAGGTTCCTCATGATTTACTGATATATTCTGTATTGACATAATATATAAACTTGTCCTTAATACATAATACATCATGAACAGAATGGTAACATCACCTTGATAGCAGTCACCACAGCACTGACACATGTTAGAAGTCTCTCTGTCATCTGACTATATCCCTGCTCCAGTTCTGAAGTGGCTCTGACCTATCTTAAGTTACTTTCATGGTATTTTTCCGAAAGGTACAAATTTATGGGGATAAAATACATGTCAAAAACAGGTTACAAAAAGCAAAATCGTCCTTATGCTTCATTAAGCACCATGGTTTTTAGTCATATGGGGGAGTGGAGATATAGTTCTAGACATTCCTAACCTTATCAACACATGCAGGTGAGTGGTCAAATTCTCACCACAGGGGGACAGCCCCAGAACGAACTAGAGAGGGATGGGACCCAGAGCTGCTCTACACATCATGGAGAAGATAAAAATATCTTGCCCCTGCTGGGAATCAACCCCCATTCCTCACCCACCCAGTCTGTATGCTCCTAGGTACTACATCACAGGAGGTTCTGAAATTTATGATACTGTGATACCCCAGAATACACATTAATTTGTCTGACAATTCCCATCTCTGCAAGTCAGTGAAGAGCATAGTTGTACCCAGTGTTGCAGGTCCATGTCCGGCTTACCTAAGTAGCATTACAGCATCTCTGTACCTACAGTAAGCTACGGAATATTCCTGTATAGTTACAGAAGTTGTGTACTGTTTTTCTTGCTGGAGTTTCACTTTCTGAAAGCAACTATACAGTATTTTACTGACTTAGTGAGTGGCCAAAGCTCTGTCGGGACACAGATATATTTTAAGTCTTGAGAAATCAGCAAACCCCAGGACAGCCACAACTCATAGTTTCAAAATCAATGCTATACAAGCTTTACTATGCTGCCTCGACCGAAAGCAGCATATATGAAATTAAAATCCACAACATATTGAAGCAGACATAAAAAATTAAAGTGGTGTGAGTTTGTTAGAGCAATAAGAGAAGAACTGGTATGAGAATGCATACTGTTAAGAGACGGCACAATCAACCAAAATATTTAATTTTAAATACTTTGTGCTTCTTACCTTGGGCACTATACAATTCAAAACACAAGCGTTAATTCTGTGAAAACTTATCATGAAGTTTCAATTGTCTGTCTGTCCATCTATCCCATTCAGCAATAAATATAAATATTACACGCTCATGTCAACTGACTTTAGAGACAAAAGTATATCACTCAAAGTCACCCTAGCCTTATGCTTATAAGTTTCTGTCATCAATTGCATAGTGACAGAATTTTGAAAAAATGTGACACTTTTATTTAGGTAATTTTCCTAGATAAACTGAAAGTAAAGCAAGACAGTGACAGCAAAGCAATTTCTGGTCATTATAATGATAAATTATGCATAACTGTAAGGTGACATTATAAACATGAAATCTAAGATGCACTGTGTTAATGCTAGGTGCTTTTCAGACATGTTACAATATAGCTTGTAGATATTTGTATACATCCGTCTCAAATGGAACTTGCTGTCTTGTCTCACTTCTCTATCATTACGTGTTTCGGCTGTACACAGCCATCATCAGATGCATATCTATCTTGCCAAAATCACTCCCTGTTTTTTTTTTTTAAATTACATATTGCTTGTGAACATGTAGTGATGGAGTAATAGAACAAGATAATAAGTTGCATCTGAGAAGGAAATACAATTGTGTTATACAAATAAATACATCAATGCAACAGGATGCTGAAACACAATATTACAACTTGCAGGACTGGCAGGAAGTCACACAGAACCATAAAAACTGGAAAACAGGAGCAGAGACATAGGCCAACAAAGATCATGCACCCCTTCAATTAACAGTGTAACCAACCTTACATAACTTTCAACTTCTGTTCTACAAAAAAAAAAAAAAAAAAACAAGTTACTCATTTTCTGTTTCATACACATACTTCATAACATACCGTCTCATTATACATAAAAATTCACTCCGAAGCTTGAAAAAATATGCCACTTTTTCACACCCATACACAGTTTAACTACAGTGACATTAATATATGTACATATATATTCTTACCTGGAGGTTTTTCAGTGTTATGTCATGTGCGTGTGTGTGTGTATTTTTGTGGGTGCATATGTGTGCATGTGTCAGTTGTGTACAATAGTTCGGGAGGACGTGGACAACACATCTTTAATGCGTAAATTCACTGTCTAATGTACATTACAACGAAAGTAATGGTGTGATGGTTAACAAACCCTTGAGACTTCCTTACAACTAGATGAAATATAGTTCTAATTGATGTTGGATACATACAATGTATGAGTAAACTGATAAACAAATTAATAATTTATAAACACATTATTAGCAATTATAAATACATTCCCCCACCGTGACCTCATATAAGGATTTTATGGCAGGCCAACCAGTTTTCCATGAAAACTGGGTACTCAATTGACTACATTTAAAACAGTAATCCTAAAATTAATAATGTATAAGAGAAGCTATTTAGTTCCTAAAAATGAAATAAAAATAGGTTACTGTCTGTATAATGGAAATCTTTTCAGATGTGATAATGAAGTTATACTGTATATGATTACAATGTAGTGTGAATTGTAATGTACAGAGATATGAGGTTTTCACAGAGGTGAGTATGAAGAGTTCTGTCTTCTAGGATACAATGCTTTGCAGTTCAGTGAAAATCAATTGATATTTTGAAGGAAAATATGAGTATTGGATCCATCTTGAGGGTTGTTTGGGTTTCTTACTTGGCTTACTGTTCAATCTTGAAGATGGAGGTGATATGTTCCTCTGGAACATCACTACATAGCATCAGATCCCAAAAGATAGGACTTCTACGTTCCATGGAATTTGAGGCCCTCAGAACAGTGGTCTTCTGGGACATAACGCTGTGTAATCTGGCAGAGGATTACCAGTGTTCTGGGGAGACTGCTGTGTACACCATCTTCTGCTCTGAGAGTGAAAGCAGAATGTTTGGTAACTGTCTATATCTCAGAGTACTAGTCTTGCAATTTATGGACCAGAAGCTTGGGACCACTGTCTTAGGAAACAGCAGAACCGTCCTTCCTTTGACACTACAGAGTTTAGATACTGACAGCATCATAAAATAAGCTACAAAGGAAACTCCTTTTCTCTGAACACACAAAACAAAGTAAGACATATAATTTAAAAAGCATATGGAAGCCTAAGTCATAATTCTGCTTAACTGATGGGCTATTTAATGATATCATGTCAGCTGCAGATGATACCCAGCATTTAATAAAATGATAAGAAGATAACTTGCAGTAACTGGAAAGAATGGGGAAAGCTGATGATATTGATGCACTTCAGAGTTCTGTCCCAGACTATGTGTGTGGAAGAACGGAGGAAAATCATGAGATATCCCAGCCAGGAAAGTCAGTGCTCTTGTCAGGGTTTGAACTGATTTGTTCTGAATTAAGAACTGAGCATTGTGATTACTGTCTTCTGGGGTGTGATATGGTGTAGTCTGGTAGACAGCTACCAATGTAGTGGGAAACCTGTGTAACTGCATTTACCCCCAAGCAACCTTGATGTATGGAAGAATTTGGCAGTTGAAGTGTTACAACAGGTTACATCTGCAGCAGACCAATAACCTCAAAAGCAATTAGTAACAACAGTGATCTCTTGGTACCTACAAGTTCTTTTGATGATCTTTGTCAAGTATATCAGCATGCGTGAGACATCAGTCTAACCTGTGTATGTACCCAACATCAGAATGTAACAGAGCCAGTGGTTCTCAAATACATACATCATATTCATTTGATAAATTTAAATTTCACATAGCATTTTGAAATAAAGAGGAAATTTTCAGGTAAACACAGTAAATCGGAATCCAGTCACCCTCATCCAAAACAGGTTCTACCAATACACAACACTACCAAAAACATACTTCTATTTAAGTCTGTACTGGATTTTCTCACTAAGAGTTATGAAGGACCCAGAACTCAAATGAGGTACTATATAAGTGGTCTCAAAGAATCTAGAGTTGAATAATGTGTACAGTTATTTGTATGAAATATTACCATCTCTTCCTTCTCATGAAGCTCATCAAGTTATTTTCAGATGCACTATTTCCATCAGGTGTGTGAGATTATGTTGGGTGGGCCAGAATGGTCTCACAACTGTGACAAACTATAACATTCAGTGACATAAGCAAGTTCACTAGTTTCCTTATAAAATTGGTATCACTTCAAAAGGAGGAGAGGTTACACTTTTAGTTATAGTCCTATATTTTACTGTTGTATTTCATGAGCAGTAAATAGTGAATTGTGAGAGGCTAATATTTCTTCTCACAAGAATCATAATGTAAGCCTGTATTCTTGTAATGAACATAAAGCTCTGTGCAGTAAGTACTAACTGATATTCTGTGAACACACACGTTTCATGAAAGTTTGTAAAATATTCTATGAATCAATTTATGTGAACAAAAATGTTAGTTTAAGTTGGAGAAAAATTTGTAAAATGCATGGAAGTGATCAATTAACACTAATTAAAATATGGTAAAACTTGTCATTGTGTTTACCTAATTATGCACTACACCATGAAGATCTATGGGGGACCAGATGTATAAATGCATGTATTCTTGACCTTGGTACTAGTTGGGGATGATTGAAATACCAGTAATTAAAACTGAAAATTATTAATAGTACAACAATTTAATCTGTCAGATATAAAATTCCAGAAACAGTTCCTGCTTTATGGGAGAGTTATGTTCGGAACTCTGATAGTCAAGTGTCAATTAGCTTCTTAACACCACAGTTTCCAGTACAGTTCAGTGGATTATTTTCCTGTGATACTTCACGTAAGTCATTAGTAAAAAGGTAAAGCTATCCTTGTAACAGGTTGTGGAGGCCCACAGGGTTGTAAGACATTGAGGTGCCCATATTCTCTAGACAATCAGCCCACAGATGGCAGTCAGGTTATTAGTATACAATATTAATAGCATTATTCCTTCTTGTAATATACAAACTTCAAGACTGGTAACCCTTTATTTATGCTAGCCATTGAATTAATTCCCTCTCATTGTATATTCTGTCTTCATCACCACAATCATTATATTAACTGAAAACAGGATCACCATTCTTATAAGGAAATGATTGTCAGGCTTATAATAGACCAGCTACTGTGTAATACAAAGTGTAAAATAAAATATATTCACTTATGCACAATACAGATGTTTCTTATTCTAACATATGTGTTTACTTGCCTTCTCTTTTGTCATATTTATTCTGTTTAATAAAATATCGGAAACAGAAACTAAGAAATCATTATGGCTGCTTGCATTTGAGAACCACTGAAGCAGAGTCAGAACATCTGTTTATACAACATTAACATGTCACTGCCTTGCTATCAGCCTTATTTTGGATAGGTTAGGTCAATTAGTATTCTAACTACCCAGAGGTTAGTTTCTCTATTCAATGTTTCTAAGGGCAAAACTAGGTGGCTCTACCACATATGCTGACATTCAGAGCAAGCCCATAACTTCCTTAAGATCATTATCATTTGGTGAGAATGTAACTGTCATGAAGCAAGTTTATATTTCAGATCCTTATTTTATTGTAATAGGATTTCACATTATGTTAAAAAGAAGGTAAGAATTGTAATTTGACTGTACGGTTTTGGAATTTATAAGCTTCAGGTTGTAAATAATTAACTTCTGAGCCAGGTCAATGCAGTATAGGAGTAGACATCTTATTTCTCTGTGATCCATTTTAATATTATTCTCCAATCTATGCCTGTGTCTCCCAAATGACCTGTTCTCTTCAGTTTTCTGACCAAATGTATGTATGCATTTCTCCCATCTGTGCAACACATCCATTGTCCTTGATTTAATCTCCAGTTATACAATACAAATTTTTCTTTTTCATAATGTGTGTGGTTATAGACCTTAGCTCTATTTAAAACTATCTTCTCAGTGAAGATTTCATTACCAAAATTTGGTATGTTTCTAGTTTTCTGCATTCACTATGTACTGTAATGATCGTTTACTGAATTATTTTACTGAATTAATTGTAAAGCTTCATTTATATATGAAAATGATTTGACCCAGACCCCACAGCCTTATTCCCTTCTCCTCCATGGAAAATTCTATTTGTGAAGAGGTTATCTACTTACTCTGAGTTACAGCACTAAGTACATATCAGCACACAATAAAACTGGTGGAATTACATTTATATACCATGATAATGTAGCCCAGACTACATGTCAGGCATTTTTAAGGTCTATCCGCTCAGATGCTTTGGATACATTGTCTCCCCTTCAATCCACTGGTCAGTGAATTGAAGACTGAGGTTAATTAAAATTATGGACATGCTTTGGTATACTTCAGCTGATACATAATGGTCCACCTCTGATTTATGCCTTACCAATTGTATTCCCCTGATTTTTGTTTCAATTACCTTAAAAATGTAAAATATTCTGAAACTCTTCAATTACTTTTTTCATCAGAAACACAGACACACATCAAGAATCAAAAGAAACCAGCCTCTTCATACTCCTGCAGTTGTGCCAATCCTCGAAATTCACAATGTGATCTCCGGGGCTGTGATACTGTGTAGTCTTGTGGGCAGTACTGACATATTGGAAGAACACTGTCTCTATCCTCAGGGTGAAATGTGATGCTTGAAATGCCTGTCAGCCTAATATTTTCAAATATGACTTATTACCAGTAATTTAGAATTTTATTTCCAGCATTATTCAACTAGCAACAGCTACTCAAAATAAATCCAGTTAATTTCTTCCTACGTACACTGGTTACCACCTTGATTGATGTGATCATCATTGAACACACTATTTCACACTATGTGCAGCTAATGGCTGAACTTAATACAGAACACATAATACCTGGAAGAGACAAACACATTGTAAGTTCTGTGTATTCAGAAATAGTGCAACCTCTCTTCTCTGATCAGCCAAACATAGCACGTATCTTATGCTCTGTAAATTAAGAGTTCACATTCTTAATGTTCAGGTAATAGATCCCATGTTCACGACTACCACAATTACAGGATTTCACATTCAAACAATGAATCATTAAACAAAATATTAATCACTTCTCTAACCAGTTCTCTGAACACTGATCTTTTAAATGAGGTCTTGGCCTGACAGAAAATTGCAATAATGTACTTGTCAGTTTTCTCATTGCTTGATTGATGTTCTTATGGCAGTGACTATGAAGATTAATGTTTTCTGGTATGTGATGACATGTAGTCTGATAGGAGTTAATCTATGTTTTGGAACACTATTACTTCCACCTTCGAGGTCGAAGATTAGGTGAAACATGCAAGCAGCAGACTGAGCAAGCAGGTTGATATAGTTTTAATGTTCCAGACTTGTATTCAGGAGATGGCCAGTTAAGACTTTGGCTGGGTCATGAGCTATACTGATTGAGGATATCCGTAATTTTCCTTAGTCCACACAAGGAAATACCAGGATAGGACTTTTCTGAGGTCACAATCACCTCCTTCCAAATGTTTTCCAATTCATTATCCAGCAGTTACCCTATTAGTTGAAGCTGTATAGCCTATGTACTGTCATCATCATGCAACAAAACACAGATAAATCACAAAGCAGAGAACTCTGCTAACTGCTATGTTACACACTTGGCTTACTGTTCAACCTCGAAGAGAGAGACAGCAGCTTCCTCTGAAACAGTAATCTTATACCAGACTACACAGTGTCACATCCCAATTAAATTTTTTTTATCAATAAACATGAAACACAGTTGAACAAGTTGGAATTACTTCAATTTCACTTAGAAGGACTCTTTTACATTTTGATTTCTTAGGTATTTTAGCTGAAATATTGTCCTATGGACATCTGCACCACTCAGAACAGCCCCACAGACTTAATGTGAAATGAAGTCAAGGCTCAAGAATGCCAACTGAGCCTTGGTGAGATTTCACACTGAGACCAGCAAAAGGTACACATTTATAATTGAATTTAATATAATACAAATAATCTGTAAGGACTTTAACACTTTCCATGCTATGCGTGAGATGTCTCTCTCAGAAGAATTGTCCTGTCTGGTCTGGATTTATTGTTTATGATGATGCATATAGGAAATATATACCACCATATTTTAGCAATTAAAGCAAACTATGTGTGGCATTTTCAGCAATAGAAAGTAAAGAGGCCACTTCTTCTGGGATGTGGTACCACACAATCTCTACAAAATTCAGTTATTCCTGAGCTACATGCTACCTTCAGGTTCAATGTACAGGTCTGAAGAGGGATGCAGCCACTTCCTCCAAAAACTTGTAACTTTTCATGGTGTCACCAAGCTACTCATCTCAAGTAGTTACACTCCTGACTTGTATTTTGGAGGTGCCCAGTACTAGTCAGGATACAGATTATCCTAAGTGATGTTTTCTTGGTTTCCCTCAGTCTCTCCAGCCAAATTCCAGATTCATACCCTTAAAGCTGGCCATGATGGTTTCCTTCCCCATGACTTCAAATTCATTATTTATTGACATATGCCCATTTTATGCTATATAGTTTGAATCAGTGACATCATCTTACATAAACTATAAACAATACACAGTATCACATCCCAGAAGGCAGTATTTTGAAACAAAGGGATATATTTCTAACAAAAATCATGGAAAGGGTTAAGAGGTCAATGACTATTACAGGTCTCTGGCTGTAAATATTCTTCAACTGATATAATATAAAGTTTATGTAATCATCTAGGTTAATAAAGTAATTTTACTGTTTCCCTTAAAAATTGGAAACAGAGTATCCCAGCATTACTTCACAAGCTGTTGTTGTGTTACAGAATATTCCTGATACAAATGATTGATATACTGGATGACAGTTTACAAATAGCACCACTTTTGGACAACAGAAAGTATTATTCCCAAACCTGGACATTTCTTTCCATCATGGAACTGGTATAACCTGCAGAATCATTCAGAATATTCTTCTGCCCTAAAGTCTTAATGCATCTTCTGCAGTGGCAGAACTGATGTCCGGCAATGTGAAAATGATTCTGTGATGAAAAAACACTTTGATCTTCAGGCCATGAACAAGCTCTTATACCACATTTCCTTCAACTATAAATTATATGATCCTTGAATTGTTAAGTACTCACAGAGAATGTGATTTCCTTTCTCACATAATAAACGCAACACACACAATATGCAGTGTTTATTGTTGACGTTTTATTTATTTTTTTCTTTAAGACAGCTTGGTAATTTCTCTTTCAATGATAATTCATCATTTTTAGTGATGCCACAGGCTTCATGCATCATAGCTTTCTTATGGGGATTGTGCAAAACTTGAAGCAAGAGTGCTTCACTATTTCCAATGTGTGTCAGTTACTTTCTCCTTCAATTTCATGGCTACATATGACCATTTAGTACTAATTCCTTAGTTTGGCCCTGTATAATGGGTACACAGTCCTCTTCCAACCTTCATCTCCATCCAGTGCAGAGATTATGAATGCATAGAATTTTAGATACACGTTTGCTTTATACCACTTTTTGGCTTTGTACTTAGGAACACAAGCAATTTTACCTAACCGTGACATGATGCCTTGACGCTGGAAGAGTGCATTCAATGAGCACTGCAGACATGTCCATTGCTAGACAACGGCTCAATAAAATATGTATCCACAGCAACCGATAAACTTGTAGAAATCAGAACATGGTTATGAAACTAACACACGTTCCCATGATAACTAATAGGAACACAGTGATAGAGGAACTGTTTTTGGTGGTGATCTCTATTCACTTCTCCTGAAGTAAGTGACTTGTGAGTTGAGCATACTGAAGAGTCATTTGCATGTGGGCCAGCATTCATCATTTGTAAGAGAATTCAGAAGGCAGTTCAATAGTTGAGTGTTCAGCTGTGGAGTGTTAATCAGTGGATAATGGAACTGGAAGTGAGTGACTCGTAAATCAGAACCAAGTCAGTCACAGAGGAAGAGGATACACTTGTGGTCCCATAGGGAATGGAGCAAGACTCAGACAGTCATTGATTGTGAGCTGTTATGACTGATTGTAATGGAAGGCATCAATAAATCCAATCATCCAATCCGGAACCTGTTACTATTAGTCACGGAACCCTAGACACAAGACATTTTGGTGTCAGAAGGGGTTACAACCATAAATATGTGGTATGTATTATCAAGATAATTTCTTGTAACTGACTATCTGCTCTCACAACAAAAATTTCTTTATAAATTGAATGACATACATTTTGGCTGATCAGGCATCTTCAGCTGACAAGGTGAAAAGCATGTGACAGTGAATTCTGATAAGCACAGATAGCAGTGTTACAAGAAATAATCTTTACCTTATATCATTTAGAGATCTAAATGAGATATGATCATTCAGTCACCTAATCAAAAGAGAACACAATCATTTAGCTGTGGTGTTGCTTTTGGAACAATGCTGTATCAAACATAGGTATTCAGTCTGCAGGATAATTTTGCAAAAGTAATGTCACAGTATTGTGATATGCCGCCTGAAAGCCGGAATAGTGAAGCCAGAGTAGACATTCATTGCTAGGCAATGGCTCAATAAACAGGTTCCTGAGGAAATGAACATACACACAACAGTAGAAGAACTACTATTTCTATGCAACAGTCAGGTAAACACACCCCTATAACAACAGAGGAATTGTTAGGAAAAGGTGTTTTCTGTGGGGGTGAATCCAAGGCTACATAACAAGGATCCTAGACCAACATAATTAGAACTTAGGGAGTCTCTTGAGACGGCAATTGAAGATGATTGGGAAGAGATGACAATTGAGAGACAGTTGAGATTCGAGACACCAGCCTGTCAGGATATGAGCGTGGGACCGAAGGAACTAAATTCAGGAACTGAGTCATCAGAATTATTGAGTACAGTTCAGTGGAGTTGACAGCCTGACTATGAAAAGAAAATTTTATGGTATGTAGGCTAGACAATGCCCCACCCAAACTATCATGTCACTGAATTCATGTTCCTGGCATAAGGTAAATGTAAATTTGTCCCTGTGCTTAATTAAGTACCATCCTGTGAAGACATATGGGGGAGTGGAGGTCTAACTACTTGTATATTTACCCTTGGCACTAGAAAGAGGTGAGTGGTCAGATACTCACCCTGGTTGCTTTACACTCAGAAAAGAGCCCGTAATACCCACTGGATAGGAGGATGGATGGGCGGGCCCCAAAACCGATGAGGGTGTTGTAGAGAAGACTCTCACCTTTAAACCCTGTCAATACCTCAGTCATCCATCCCATAGCCAAGTCACTATACTGACTGAATGATTTCAGCTTGAATATTTTTGACATAGTCTTATTAAATGAACAAATAAACAAAACAAAACAAAACAAAACCCACACTTGGACTTTTGAGGACTGATCATTACTCTATTGTGGTTCATACTCCTACTTTGTAAGTGGGAGGTCATGCATTCAGATCTCTGCCTGGATGTCAGGTGTCTTGCAGTTTTCCTCAGTTTATTACTGAGGTGTTACTTTACTGCAGGCCGTATCTGCTTCTTTCTGCATATTTCCCATCCCTTCCTTCAATACTCAGTAACTCATGAAGCACATAAATGCCTGTTGAATGAACTGAGAACATGAAGTGAACCCGCATGAGGGTTCTGGACCAATGGACATCGTGGCATAGAGCTCACCAACCCTGCCTAATATTATGGGGATCCCTGTTCCAAATCTACCTTGACACCATGTTTCCTGACAGAGGTTTCTTGGCCGTTTTTCTCAGTGTCTGCAGCAAAATGCTGAGAGAATACTTTAAAATTTGTCACTGCTACTTTAATCCACAATATTCCCAATTCATAATTGTGTCATCTGGTACATCCAGGAAATTGTGCTAGGTTTAATTTGTTGCTTCAAGCTCAGCACCCATGTGCTGCCATCTACCAGAATCCCAAGAGGTCAACATGTTGATTTACCCCCAAAACTATTTATCATTGGTCAGTTCACAAGGCCATAATTGCCACTTCCATGTTTCATATGCGTAGGTCATGGACAGCCCTGATAATGTAAAGGTTCATGGGTCGAGCAGTATGGAACTGCTCTAATGCTCTGTCTCAGACCCAGTATTGATTTCTACGTAACATTGGGTTGGCAGTCCTGTGTGGATATCCAAGCTCTGAAGTATCATAGCTGCTCCAGTCCTCTGTGGGCTCATCCGACACTCCATAAGGATACCTTGAGTTGAGGTCCGGCTCGGAACTGGCCACCGAGTCCACAGGCTCTATAGGAATCACTTTGCACTGGAGGACAGATGCTGGGGCAGGAAGCGATGTGTTTCCTGGTGTTGGAGATGATCCATTTGATGTAAAGCGTTTTGGGTGAGGTGATGTCGGTTGGAGGACATCTGGTGGCCGGGGTAAGGGTACTGGGGGGACTGCTGTAAGGTCTGACTTGCAGTTCCTTGTGTCTTCACGCCCTACTTGCATTGAGCGGCACTTGACAACAACAATGACCAACACTGCCAACAATATCACCCCCAGCACCATGCTGACAATGAGAATATAATCACTACTCATGTTGGGGCTTGCAACAATGAATCCTCCCTCACGACCCACAGGGTCTTTGGGTCCTGACAGGATAGGAGGCAGTGAGGCAGTGGGGGTAGCAGTCAGCTCCTCTCCATGTTCTGGACGGATGATAAACCGCAATTCTCCATGAGCAGGTTGAAAGATGGAGACAGCAAGCAGGAACGGGAAGCTGTCATTATGAGCTATGAGGTCGGACAGTCGTCGGGCCACATAGTAGATCACTCCACTCTTCACCTCTTCATGAGTGAAGTGAGTCACTTCACGCTCCCTTGCATTGCGGCGGTCCCCAGAGCTACGGATGATCTTCTTAATACGGCCATAGCGTGGTCGATGCAACACCTATGAAAACAATACGCCCTTTTAGTTATGGGTCTCCTGGGGCAATTCTATTATCATCGTGTGTGATTATGAACATAATAAATTTATTGTATATTTAGGTATAAATACAATCTCTGACAATGAAGTGTATCACTCTGGAAGGTGATGCTATGTAGTCTGGTAGAAGTACACTGCGTTCTGGAGAAATTTATTCACTCCCTGTTCTCAGCTGAAGAGCCGCCATAGCTTTTGCTTTCTGCCTATTTCTTGTTGGTTTCTTGCTTTGTTTACTCTTTGATCCTGAAGATGGAGGCAGAAAGTTCCCTTGAAATGTTAGTGAACTTCAACCAGGCTACATGGTGCATCACACCTTAGAGAAAAACACATCTCCTGAAACTCTGGATACTAACTCCATCTTCACGTGGCTCATTGCCTGAGAAAGCATCATTGCATTTCTGCACACCTTGCTGCTGCGTGTACTGTTGCCCACCAGTGACAAAGGCCTACTGAGTATGACATACCTGGTACCCAGGGTTACTGCCAGTCAGTTTCGCCAATGGAGTTGCATCTAGCACATCGAGGGTGATCTTGTTTCTCATCCCAGCAATGGGTGAGAAATTTCCCATTCGCAGTAGTGGCTCAACGCTGACATTGAGATCAAGGCCAGGTATAAGAGTGTCACTGTCTGGGAGCCAGGCCAATAGTTCCATGGAGTCACTTGCTGTGGTCATGTCTGTCTGCACATACATGACTCGTTTCTTGTCCACATCAAGCTGTCCAAACTGACGTGTCGCCACATCATGCAGATACACCATCCCATGTCTTGGTGCACGTGTCACATTGTAGCTCACCTGAGTTCACATCCCACACTTACAGATTAACACTTTCATTTCAATTTTGAATTATAACACTTATGCTTTCTTAAATAATGATAAACAAATGTAATTACTTTACATAAGCAATTTATTTACTAGCATAAAGACCTTTGAAATTTCAACTGGATATTATTAAAATGAACTGCATATATAATGTTAAACATCATGATTTAAAAAGTTTTGGAGAGACAGCTACATTTACGATCAGATACTAAACTTACTGGATAAAAAGTTTATGGCAAATCTTGCTTATAGAAAAAAAAACTTTATCAAGAATATCTATCCTCAGTAGCACAAAAAATTACAGAAAGTTAGCTACATTTATGCTGAGATACTAAATTTGATAAAAATATGCTGCTCCTCTTCAGATAAAATGTTTCTTTTTGTAAGCTGACATACAAAAAGGAAACTTAACCTCAATAACCTGAAAAGTTCTGGGAAGATGGCTACATTTATAACAAGAAAGTAATCTCAAGAGAATAATAACATGCTGCTGCTATCCCAGATAATAAGTTCTTGACAAAGCTTGCTTCCAATGAAACAAAGTTCATCAAAACAGCTAATCTCAATAAAATCAAATACAAGTTACCATCCAAGAATATCTTGTTTATTGCTAGACACTGCCTGCACTGTTTAATAACTCACAAAAAGAAAAGAAAGCTATGCCACCACGTCCCATAAGACAGTAATTTATGCCAACAGCCTATGTTCTTCCCTAAGGTGACAGACCCAATTATGTCAGTCTCCAGTTACAGCACCACTGTCCCTGCAGGGTTACCAACATTAGGTTTGTTGTGACATCTGATATTTTAACAGTTGCCTGTGGCCACTTACCTCCTCCCTCCTAGCATTTGTAATGGCCAGCAGATTGTCTGCAGTGATGAGGGCTACACTGGACCCCTGTTGCAACATGACTGGGGCACCAACAGTCACATTCAGTGTCAGGGGTAAAACATGAATATTAAACAGACTGTATGCTGGATTAAACTGCCCATCCCACACCCTGAAGTAGAAAGTAGAGGGCTGCAGGGGCCCATAGTGCTGATATAGTACACAGCCACCATCGATGTCTGCCTGACTGAACCTCACCACTGACGTCACATTATTCGTTGTCTCATTTCTGAACAGCAGGCGTCCCTGACTAGGACCACTGATTATTTCATAGATGAGTCCCTCCGGAGATGTGTCAGGGTCCTCAGTGAGGAGGTTCTCACGTGTGATGACAACAGTCTGGCCCTGAACTACAGAAATGTGTGGGGCAGCTGTCGACAGCGAGAAGGGCCCATCATTCACAGGCTGGACATGGACTGGCACTGTGACATTGCACAGCAACACATCACCTGGCTCCAGCAGCAGCGACAGGTGGAGGTCATCAAGAAGAGTGTCAGAATGGTCATGGTGATAGGTCACCTGCAGGAAAATACCGAAAATAAATTCTGCTGTTAAATTTGGGGAAAAAAGGTTCAAAAGCTTCAAGTGAGATAGCAGATTATTGGAATGCAGTTGAGAATATGGAAGGAGATGGTAGTAGCCTATTTAAGAGCATTAACCAGTATTTATTTAGGAAAACTGAGAAAAGCACCTGGTAACCAGGACAAGATTCAAACCACTTAAAATTCTCTAGTTACCGCCATGCTAACCTGATTGGGTGAGGTTTGTCATGAAGCTCACTGATTTTATTTTTGTGGGTCCTTTATGATGCTCTCAGTAGCTGCACTATATGCTGATGAATTGACAAGTATTTGGAATGAAGCAGTCACAGCATAATCTCCTGCTCTTCTAGATTTGTCTGGAGAGACTGAGGAGGACTATGAAATATCTCAGTCAGGGCAGCTGGTCCTCCAGATCAGATCTGAACCAAGCGCCTCCAAAATCTTAGAGTGCAACTGCTATGCCAACCTGTTCAGTTGTTCTGGAAAATTTTTTATTTAAATGTATGTTGTTTCCAAAGCTGGTTCTGTCTCCATCTTCAGGTGAAAAGGAAAAGGTACCGATTCTATGAGGCTCACAAAGCCTGAACTGCCTTTGCTTCAGTCACTATTGCTATTCTGAAAACTACAAGACGTTCAAGATTGCTATGACATCGTGTAATCTGGTACATCATTACTGACCTTTTGGAGGAACCTACTGCCTCCATCTTCAAGGTAGAAATGTGAGCCAAGGTTGTAAAATGTGGTGCAGAGATATAGTGAGAGGGAGAACCAATACAGGACTGATGGGCCGGTTTAGTCCAACTGGTCTAGTGGGAGCAACAGGAATGACGTATGTTTGGTCCTTTAGAGGTCCATTTTCCAAGGGCAGAGTGCATGAGAGAAAATATTAAGCAGCACCAACAGGGATGGCAGTGATGGAGGGGGTGGGGGGTGGGGGGAAGAGAGACAATGATAACAGAATTGGAATAAATAAAGACAGGTACCGCTCAATCAGGGCCATTATTTCCGTCAATAACTCTGTTCATGGGAAACAGCTCTCCAGAGCACCAATATTCTTTACACTGCTTTCATTATTCCCGTTGGTTCACTGCGAGTCCTGGCTTTATGCCTCCCATTCCGTTGTCTGCACCAGCGTTTGCATTTCCAGCTTACTCTTTTATGCTAAACATGGAAACAGCAGGGTCCCCCCAAAGCTACGGACATTATAACTCCCCCATCAGTAAGAGTTAGTAATGTCAGATAAGGAAATAATAACATTTCTAATATTCACAACACTTCTATTCCTGGGTAGTCAGTATATTGTTATCTGTTTAAGTAGTGGCTGATTATTTTGTATGGATTTGTTCGTTATTTTGTTTGTTGAAATGGTCCATTGGACTGTTCATGATACAAGTGGCATTGCTGATACTTCGTTCTGCTAGTTTTTGTAGCGCAGCTACCTTTCATTGTTAACTCGTGCTTTATTTTAAATCTTGTTATTTGTGGATATTGCACGGAAAACTTATTATGGATCATACAAATTAGTTCACATGTGATCTGTAGGCATATCATTTCTGTTCTTTCAATAACGATCTACCAAACTACACGGCATCACATCTCACTGCCATGAGAACCTCAACGGATAAGCGTGTGGTGCCTCACCGCGCCCATGTCCAGCTGCTGCTGCGTGAATGTGGTCACATTGCCTTCATCCAACATCTTCAGCTCCCCGTGCTGAGGGCTAGCTAACAGCTGCACCAGGATGGCAGGGGCTGTCTCCAGGTCAGCATGTGCCTCTAGAAATGCCATCACTCCCGACGTGTTGAGCTGCAACACTGCCATACCACCCTCTTCCACAATGAGGGGCAGAACATCCAGAAACTGGTCCAGCCCACCCGATGACACTGAAATGTCTATGTGCAGTTCCTGCACACAATGCATGTCTGTGTCAGCACATGTAGTTTTCACTCACTCAGGCAGTTTAGGGAGGGAAGCAGAAGTAACATGTGACATGTCAGATGGTGCCTATGATAGGGGTCCCTGCTTGCAACAGGCAAATGGGCAGCTGTTTGGGGCTTCCAGCATCTGAGCACCTGAGCACCTACGCATCTCTACTCTCATTTAAGAGTTACTCAGTTTAGTGTTCAAATCCACCATCCCATAAAGAAACCTTCATGGGAGTTTCTCTATAGTAAGTTTCCAATAATTATGTAAAATGTCACTAGCATGCAGATTGGAAAATATTTCCATGTTGTGTTCACAGATGGCAAGAGGGCAATGGCAAATCGGAGAAATGGTGACTGTACAGTCAAAATGTAATATTGACAAATTGAGGATTTATAATTAACATCATTCTAGCCGATTTAAATGAATGAATTCAGACAGCAGAAACACAAGGGACTTATTAATCTTCTTTCTTTCACACTGTTATGTTTGGCATTTCATATTTCTGGCTTCAATGTAGAAAACGTTTAGAAGTACCATGTTCTGAAAAATAATTTTAAATCAACTTAATTTTTAGATTGTGATTTTAATCTCTTCCTATCCTTTTGGTTTTCATTCAAATGAATACATTTCATACTGGCATAAAATTTTAAATAGCTTTGCTTTCTGGAAAAAGCAAAGACTGGGGAAGGCCAACTGCCACATTTTGCAAATGACTTCTATTTCCATCATCTTGTGAACAGAATGTGAAAGACTCTGATGGGCTCTTCTGTAGGGCTATTTTCCTTCTTGTTTATTTAACAACATTTTCAGTAACTCAGTATTATGAGCCACTTCCAAGCTATGGTTTCGTAAGGGCCCAGCACAGCAGGCTTTCTCCCACACCCTGTTCCCCTGAGGGGAGTCAGGATAGCGCAGTCCCTATAGGAAATAGCTATGGGCTGGACAGCTGAGGGGTCAGAGTTCAAGTCCTGGTAGCGGCAAGATTTTTCTCCTCTTCACGTCAACCAGACCAGTTATGGGGCCCACCCAGCCTCCTAATCAATGGGCACTGGGGGCTTTTCCCCTGGAGTAAAGTGACTATGGGGTGAAGCTACAAATGCCCCCTAACTAGTACTAAGGTCAAGAATTCATGGCTTTACTCATTCACTTCCCGTTATGTCTTAGATAGTGTTTCAATTAGTTAAGTATGGGACAATTTACCTTTACCTTCCTGGTCACCTGAAGATGGAAAATGAAACAATTTCCAAAATGCAGTAGTTCTAATAAACTCAGATGACAGACAAAGTCCATAGTGAATTGTATTACAAAAAGAATTTCTGATGTTACCTGGTCCAGCAGGGGCTCTGCAAAGTCAGCCCTCACATCAAAGGTGAAGGAGTCATTGGTTGACAGCCCAAAGAAAGGATGTGTGTGCTCATAGAATATTCTGCTGCTGTTGATGTCACGCTGAGTGAAGTTTGTAGCAGGGTGTGGGTTTCCTGGTGGTACCGACTCCATCATCAGGCGGCCAAGAGCAGGTGGGCTCTTGACTATGTAAGACACGAGCCGCCGTGTGTCCGAGGCGAGAGCAAACAGCTGGGTGGGTGTGAGAGTCTGGCGATGCAGAGGGAACACGTGAAGATGTGAGGAGCCTGGTGCTATAAGATGCAAGGTTACCTTACGGGCTGTGATGCTGAAACTCAGCACACCGGTTGTTTTGACACCATCGCTCACTGTCAAGTCGAAGCCACCGCCTTCTCCCCCTGTGAAGAGACGGAGAATCTCAGGTGACATGAATTATATAAAAGTATATAAGGTTTTGTATAATATATTTTGTGTTTTGCTGAAATTCCTTTTACAAAGAGACTATAAATAAGGTTAATGAACTATATAGAATGCTACTGGGAATTTTATAGACTATGCTGTGTCAAGTACAGTGTTTCCAAACTTCTGTTTTTCTTCTGTGGTTGTCTAGTGACACTGTTGGCAACTATGACACTGAATGGCAGGATGACTGAGGAATTATATATTGGAGAGGAAAGAGTCATGACCTGAGATACTATCCCAGCATTTGCCTGCAGGTACTGAGGATAGCTTATCTCTACTCTAATTGGATTTGGTATTTTAAGAGCTACAATTTCACTTAGAATTCAACAACTTCCCAGTGAAATTTTAACAGCAAACTTACTGCTGCCATATATCATTATGCAATGATGCGTTCTGCTTAATGCACTCAGAATAGAATCATAGCATCCTCTATTGAAGAAATAAAGAACACGTTTCAAAAAGCTCTTCTAGATAAGCATCTAATATGTATGACAGCTGATGACAGAACAGAGCCACCTTTCAGGTGAAACAGTTGCTGCAAGCAGCATTCTATCAATGCAGTGTTAAAATTATCTGCTGCAGAATCAGTACAACTTTATTGTTTTTAAGATGTGTGCATGTGTGTGTGTGTGTGTGTGTGTGTTCTGTACCTGTGACACCTTCGAGAACCTGTCGACTGTTGATCTGCACCTGCCTGAAGTGTCTGACAGGTACACTAGGTGCAGATGCCAGTGCCACATGACCCTTCTTTGGGGAGCTGACAGTAAAGGTCAGGTTACTGGGCCCAGTGTCCATATCCACAGCAGCTGTGAACACAATGCACATGTTGTAATCCCTCAGGGCACAGAGAAATTCCTGTATGTGAGAAGAAGCAAGGCATGTCATTGGCTGAGGCACATCTCAAAGTGAGATTTATGCAGTGAGAAGGTGGCATATGAATATGCAACTGAATCCACTAGACAGGTTTTTTAGCTTGAGATATCCAAATTTTGGCATGCTTCAAATGCCTTTCCCTTCACAGTGAGCCCAAACTTTCAGACCCTGGTCACACAGTTGAATTGAAAGGAATACATACTGAGGAGGAGGAGGTTACAGAGGAGAAGAGGTCAATAGGAAGAAAGGAGGGATAAAAATGTAGAAGGAGGGGTGGGAAGTAGTACAATAAAAGTAAAATATGAAGAAAATGGAAGAGAAGGGAAGAGGTGAAGAAGAAATGAGAAACAAATGAGAATAGATGAAGGAGTGAAGCAGAAGAGGAAGAATATAAGGAACTAACTCTGCTTTATACATTGTCTCGATTCTTGTGCAATTGCACATGCACCCAAGCAGCCTTACCATTTCTAGAAGGCAGTTCTGTGACGTTACTTGGTAGTTACAAGGTTAAGAGAGAGCTTCCAAGGAAAGTGATCTAGTGCAGAAACTACTTACTTACAGATGACTTGGTAGCTGTTGAGCCAACTCACCAAGGTGTGTGGATGTGATGACAGCAGCTGAACCCTCCCAAAGCACGAGCCCAGTGTTGTTTGCAATGTGCGGTGGTTCGTCATTTACAGGAGAGACAAGAACCCTCACTACCGCTGGGACACTCTCCTTGTCACCAGCGATACCGTGCACCGTGAACTGGTCTCCCAGGGTCTCACTGCCATCGTGCCGGTACTGTGGGAAATGACAGCTTACTGGCACGTGTATTTTGAATATGCTTGCTTTGAACTGGGACCTTGGTTGAGGTTTGTATTTCCCTTGTCCTTTCAAGCAGATGATAATGGTATTATAAATCTATGACATGAACATTTCCTTCGATGATCATCCGACCACAACTCGTTCAGCATTACGCAATCCCTGTGCACAAAATGTAGCAAGATGTTTCTGTGTTCACGTGGAGACACGGAAAATGGCAGAAAATTCACAGCAGCTGCTCCTTTGCCTGGATTTAGACCATGTACTTACAGAGGAAAGTCAGATTAACACTATGCATGTTTTTCGAAAAATATTTTTAAGGGTATATACCCTCCTTGGTGTCTCCACCTTATCGTGGTGAGGGGGTTTGAGTATGCCAAGGACCCTGAGAGCTATAGCAGCGGTAGCGTAGCTACGGGCAGGGCCTCCCTTGCTGGACAGATCAAAGGGTAGGCATCAGACGAAGAGAGACACCGAAAACTGATGTCGGAAGCAGCATCATCAGCAGCGACTTGAAGCACAGAGGAAATGATGCTCGAGATGGTTCAAGTTCGTATAGCAACAGGCGTGACCAGAGTCGTTTGAACGGCTGTTGTACTGCGATGTGGAAAGCAAATGGAAAAACTACCACATTATCACTATTCCTGGATAGTCACTTTCCAAAAACAGAAGATGCATTAAGTGGAGAAACTGTTTTGGAAGAGACTGTGGACCTGTCGTCTGACAGATTACTGATGATGATGATACTTGTGTTTTAAACAAGAAAATTCCTGTCTGTTTAAAGAGATCTCTGGTATCATGATTTTCATTCCCATTGTATGTTGAAATTAGAGTGTAGTAAATTTCAAATGCTGACATAATGACCTGTGTTACTATGTCACACCATCAAAGACATATTAGAATAGGAGCGCAAAGCTCAGACTTGTCTCTTGATTTCGATCATTTTGGAGAAAGAACAAGAAATGTTATTGCTAACACCACATTCTAGAAACAGTAAATGAACTGTTAAGTTAGGCACACGGTTTCCCAAGCTTAGTTTCACAGAATGTATATACTGAGCAAGCTGGTGGTTACTGTGGTAACACTTCTGGTTTGTGTCTGGAAAACAGTCAGTTTGATTCTCAACTGGGGCAACAACTATCTTCACTGACATTTTCTGTGGGTTTCCTCAGTCCTTCCAGGCAAATGTCAGTACAGTGCCATTTCATTCCACATCCATGCCGATTCATTATCCACTATCATACAATCATCAGACACTGTACAGTCTGAACTACTGACAGCATTATTAAACAAACTAACAAACATTCAGAATATATACTTTTAAGTGTTCCTCTGTAAATTTGTATGTGTGGGGAATTTAATGACGCTTTCAGTATTGGGAATGTGTACCATCAGATGGTAGGATGATTGATGAATTGAAATGGATTTGGTAGGAAGTGGTAATGGGATAGATAAGGTACTGTCCTGGCATCTGAGGAAAACTATGATAAACTGCTGGTTTCTTGTCTGGCTTTCTCCTCAACCTTCAAGATGGAGGTGACAAATTTCTCTGAAATGAAGGGTTATCTCTCAACTACATTGTATTACAAACTAAGACTCTGCTTTTCAGAGTCACTGCTGTGAGAACCTCAGATCTGGCAACCTGTTTGAAGAGCAGTACCTGTATGAGCCCTGCTTTGAGCTGCGAGACGGAGAACTTGTGAAGCGGGATCCTGGGCTCCCTTAGCGACTGGATAGATCCGGCACTGGGTAGCTCAATAACATGGTACTCTGTTACTCTCCCACGGTAATACTCAGTGAGGACTGCTAGCATGGACTCAGGCAAAGTGACGGCATCACCTTCCATGACACGTAGCTCTCCACCAGAGATATACAGCCACTCAGGCACAATGAGAAACTGGACCACCAGGCCTGCCAACATAACTATACTCATCAGCTACCATAACTACATGGCATAATAATCCTAATTCTACATTATTTTATAGTTTTTTATGTAATTAAACATAATTCTACCAATATATTTTAATGGCAATGTATAATGTAATTTGTTAAAGAGCCAGAAATGGCTCCATCTTTTGGAAAATTGCAGGATATGTTTCTCTTACTGATCATCTCAAACATGAAAAGAATCCAGATTAAAGGACTAATGCTTCTAAGTGACACATCTCATCTGCAGAAGGAAACAGTTAAGGACTAGCATCCACCTAACCAAATCCTCTATTCTACTTCCCTTACTGAGCCATGTTCTATCTCACCCCCCCCCCCACACCACGGAATCCGTGCCATTACTTCCTTGATTACATAATCCCATCATTCCCATATACCATGTGATTTCCCCCTTATGCCAGTTGTTTACGAAAAACGCTTCCTCTAGGTACTGAGGGCTGAAAGGGAGTCTTTCGTTTGCCTGTGGCCCCCAGGAGGTAGGTGCTGAAATTCTGTTTAGGTTGCACATTCTAAATTCTGTTTGGATTCTTGTACTGGCTGCTGAGGGCGAGGGACCCCCTTGTTGTGACGCATTGCAACAAGAGTTTGCTGGGTATTAATTTATTTAAGATTTTGGCTTGCATCGTCTAATTCTATGTGTTTGATTCTGAAAAATATTATGAGGTTTTCCTTTTTGCTGGGGTTTGTTTCTAAGTTTAGGCTTTTGTTGCCCCATTCATGTTTCTGTTCGGTGGTAATAACGGGCCAGCATTCCAAGGACTGGCTTTTCTCCTGAGCAGTGCTCAAAGCCTGGATGCCCACTCCATCAGGGGAGCACTGGGGACACAACAAAACCACTGACAAATGCAGCAATCGTCTCCTCAGTCTGTATACAGTAAAGAGGAGAGGAGTTGCTAACTATCTTCTAAGCAAAGTGGGATGTGTGGTTTCAAGATGCAGGTATATTTACTTACCATCTGTCTCCTATTCTTTCTGACTATTTTCTTGCTGGTTTATTTTATGGTGCTGCAGTAATCAGACTATGCGTCATCAAATCCAGAGAGGATGCAGGAGGGAGTGATTGTGGCCTAATTTAAGGCATTATTCTGGCATTTATTTGCCTGGAGGGACTGAGGAAACAATGGAAAACCTCAGTCACAATAGCAGTGTCACAGCCAAATTTGGAACCAAGCACCTACCAAGTAAATGTCAGAAGCATTACTGCTTGAGCTAACTTGCTTGGTACGCCTTACCAAATAGGTTAGTGAGCATTTGTTTTCCAGCCTTTTACTTGACAGGACTCAGTTAAAACCTCGGCAGGATTTTAGTTGCGATGGTCAACATTACAGAGGAGAGTCTTTCCTCTGTGTGTGGATTAACAACCCATGCGTTACCAACTATACCAACTGTAGTTGTGTAGTTTCCCTCAGTCTTGCTAGATGAATTATGGGATAAGATGATGTGAGGCCAGTCTGTCTCCTTCTAAATCCCTACTCAGTCATCATCTGTTGACATAACTTCCTTTAAAACTTTGCCATACTTGATACAACAATAAAAAGATTGTAAGCAGTTTTATGTTTTGGTAGATTTGGAGTTCTCATGGCAGTGGCTATGAAGAGTACTATCTTCTAGGATTTGACCCCGTACAGTCTGGAAGAAGTGTACCAAGGAATGCACTGACTTCATCTTCAGGGCCAAAGAGTGATGCAAGCTGTGAGAAACCAGCAAGCTGTGCAGAACCACACCCCAGAAGACAGCGCTCTTCAATCAAGGTATACGATTGCCGTCTAAACGACCACTGTTATAGCAGATGGCGACATTATGCTTTAATTTCATAATGCAAAAGGAAAGAGATAAAATAAAGATAAAAATACTCTTAAATTATATATTTTATCTGGCTTTCAGGGTTATAGAATCTGACCCATCTCATGATGACCAAATTCGTTACTACAGTGCTCTCACCTCGAAGCCAAGAGATACCATTTGTAACATCCACGACAAACATATCCCTCGTCCGGTTAGCTGTTGCCTGGATGTAATGAACACGTTTATCATCAATCAATGATTGGTCAAAAAGAGTTACAGGAGCTGGGCGAGACTCCTCCACCTCACCAACATCATCTTCTGCTTCCACCTGGCTGGACAACACTTCCAGGTAGCCATAAAGTGGCGGTTCTACCAGCAAGTACGTGATGTCAGATGCAGGGATGTATGGATGCATCACCTGCGAATGTGTCAATACTGTTTCATTAACTGCTGTCCTTTTCTTCATTCCTGCCACAGCTTACACACTGACATCACTGCTGCCTGGCAACAAAAGCGTTAGCTTCTAAAACCTGTTGCTGAGGTCACACTTATCTGTATTCTCACATACTCCAACCAGTGACATTGAAGCCTACTGTATTTATCATAGGATAGCGCAGTCTGTATAGTGACTGGCTACAGGCTGGACAACTGAGAGGTTGGGGTTCTGAGTCCCAGTAGGGGCAAGAATTTTCACTTCTCCACACCATTCAGACTGGCTCTGGGGTCCACCCAACCTCCTATCCAAGGGGTACTGGGGGTAAAGCAGCCAGAGAGTGAAGCTGACAACTCTCCTCCAACTAGTGCTGAGGTCAAGAAAATTTGGATCTATATATCCACTCCCCCATACACCTTCATGGCACAGTGCTTAATTAGTTAAGCACAGGGACAACTTTTTTCTCCTAATTGAAATAGATATCAGTAAATACATCCAGAGGTCACGGTTACTAAGCTCACCAGGAAATTCCTTGCTATTAGGAACCAGAATGTTCATTATGTTCACTAATACCTACCACTGAACCTTACACAATGCCAGCAGACTCTAGTCCACATATTCTAGGTCTGTAAGATGAAGCTTCACAGCATCCTCTAATTGATGAATCATTTTAACACGCCTAACTACAGTTTAATTCTTTCAAAACCTAAAGCTAATCTAAAAAATATATAAAAATTCAGTTCACATATCACAGAAAACACACTGTATCTCCATCACAAGAATTAATAAGATAATGTTTAGGGAAATTATTGCTGTTTGACGTGCAAGTCATACAAAACACATAAATACACAGTGTGGTCAAAGTGCTACATTTCCTGATATTAAAGCAGCAGGGGCCATATATATTAACCATTTTTCTCTAAAGGGTCAACAGCATTGTAATAGTATGGGTTGTAATTACCATTAAATAAATGATATAATGATACAAATTCTGTCCCAAGTGCAAACAATATATTATGTGTCCTTGATCTTGTTCACCTACACTACATGTTTCGGCCTCAGACGGCCATCATCAGGTGTATAACACTCACGTCACTGTCACACTGCACTCAGCCCAAAATTTAACATTTAAAACACTTTTCTTGTTATTATCAACATCTACTTCGTTGATATCTGTCTGGATGTAGATTATTTTACACACGTTAATTTTGACGTACCTGTAGTAGCACTATAAAATCTTTAGTTCTAATTTTAAAATCTTTTAAATTTTTTTTTTCTCTAAATTTTAAATTTAAAATTGTTAGGGTTACTCGCCCTATGTCTAAAGTGCTGCAGCGGCTANTATTGTAACACTTGTTGATTCTTCCACATGCAGTGTCCGATTGTTGGCAACAATGAGAGGTTCCCAGTACCAGGCTGGAAACACTCGGAAACTAAACATTCCCTCGGCTGTTGTTCCTCCAGCATCAACACGGAACCTAAAATGGAACACAGTGCTTTGTTCTATATTATGATTGTTCTGTATGTGACTGAGCTCTATTCTGTGAACTGTTCTTGTGTATGTTTTGATTTCACTGTGACTTGTTCAACATCCTAGGCTTCGCCAAAAAGGATTTATTGAATTTAAAGAATAAATCAAATCAAATCAAATCAAATCTGCTCCCATACTCATGGAATAAGAGGTTATATTCTTTGTGAGAAATATCTCTGAGGGCACATCATGTGTTGGGCATGCAAGCTGCATGGAAGAAGAATTCTGTATGCTCAATGAAGTCTCCAGTACAGTGACTTGAGTTCTCACCACATGCCGAAAACACAATTAATATAGCAATATAAATATAATAACTTACTTACTCATGGAGCTGAGCCCTTCTTGAGGAGAAGCCAAATCTGCAGCTACTCAAGAATTTCCCAGCATTTTAAGGAACCAGAAGGTTCATTACCGTGTTCATAAGAGGCCTCCACTGGTCTCTATCCTGAACCAGATTAATCCAATCCAAACCATCCCATCGTATCTCTCTAAGATACATTTTAATGTTGTTCACCCATCTACACCTTGGTCTTCCCAATGGTCTCTTTCCTTCTGGCTTTCCCACCAATATCCTATATGAATTTCTTTTAAATATAATAACTTTTTTCTTAATGTTAGTGGGGTGGGACTAAGTCCCTTGTACTGCGGCCACTTCTGGCCTATTGTACCAGCCCCAGATGATAGGTAAGGGTGATTGTGGAGCAAGTGGTGGAATGAAGATTGGCAGGGGAAACCGAAGTACTCAGAGAAAACCTACCCCAACACCACTTTGTCCACCACAAATCTCACTTGACCAGACCTAGGATCGAACCCGGGCTGCCGCGGTGGGAAGCCAGCGACTAACTGCTTGAGCTATGGCGTTGCCTAATATAATAGCTTACTAATAGTAATGTAACAATCTGGTGATGATGCATTTTTCACTATGCCATTTTTCTACAAAGCTGGAAGCCTCACCTGAAGTGGTCATTAACAGCTGTGCCATTGTCATGATGATACGCAAGGTGACCATTCTCCAGGTCCTGCTGTGTGAAGCGGGATGCTTCATGCTGCAGTTGCAGGTGGCCGTGGTGTGGATTCTCTGTCACCTCAAACTCCAGCTGCTGTCCCCATAGGTTCAGGTTTGTTTCTGCACTGAGGTTGACAGCACTGATAACACCCACACCACCCCGTTGCACCACGAGACCAGTATTGTTTGCCACTGCCACGAAAGGGCCTGAAGCACGAACTTCCAGTACTCCATTAGCATAGAACTGTCCATCAGTGATCCACAGCCCAACTTTTCCATACTCATCACCCTCATGACGGAACAGGACACGGAAGTTGTCCAGGTCATCCTGTGTGAACTCGAACATGGGCACCTACACAAAGCACTGATATGACAAACTAGTTCATCAAGATACTGCACGTGTAACGAGCTACCACTACCAACATATCTCAGCAGTTCTTTGTTACTAAAACAATCTCATTTTAGCCAATAACATACTGTGGGATCAGAGGCCTGATAGATGCCGCCATTGGGAATCCCCCGACGGGTATAAATGATGTCCTTGGGCTGCGTGTCAATATCAGCATCAGAGTAGCGCAGATCACGCCCTGTCAACAGACGCTCCCCACCCGTCACAATCTGGAACACCTGTTACGAGACCGATGTACGTAGCCCACTCAACCACATCAATATAATTCACTCCACAACACAAGATAGTAATCATAAAGCTGGCAGTATCTCATCTCATCAAGAAATGTACTGCTATAATCTGATGTAATGTCGCTTCCCAAATAAAAGATGAACTTGGAAATTTCATAAGAAAATTGAAGAATAAATATTTTATCATGTGAGTTGTACAGAATACTTTGAAGTGTGTCTACGTACAGCTAAATACAATAAGTAACTAATGATGTTTTTTCTTTGGAAATCCATAATTGAAAATTATTTATATGTGCCAATTTAACACTGTTTTAAGAAATTTCGAATTGCGTTAAAATTTTGTAAACATACTTCAGGGGGAACAAACCTTATCCACAGCGCGAACCGGAGTGTTGTCATTCTTGAGGAGTATGTCCACGTGAAAAACGCCCACATACTGGAAGTCTTCTTCTTCTGATGACAGTGCTACAAAGTGGAAAGAATCACGTTTGGTCTCTGAGTCATCATGGACATAAAACACACGCTCTGTCATGAGCTCACGTGATGAGAAGTAGGCTGTGTTCCTGCGCAGTATGGTGACAAGTCCTACATCCATCACATCCAAGCGTCCATGGTGAGGACCGTGGCTTACATTGTACATCAGTTCTGTGATTCCATTGGTGGTCAGATCCAGGTGTGTGCGCAGAACTGGCTGCCGCCCTCCCTCCACCACCTGCAGTTGCACGCACAGCATCAGGTCAGAACAGGTAATATGAGTAGTGAGCATGGTGTGAATAAAATGAATGCATGAAGTGAAAGGTGTGTAAATCAATATGTCTGCATATTTTATGTATAAAATTACTCAAAGATTTTTAATTCTAAACTGAGTCTAAACCAAATGCTTTGGGGTGAAGCTGACTTTCATGTCTATGGATGAATTATATATAAACTCAATATTACACAATGCTGAAACTGAACTGTGTCAATTTTATAGAAAACTCTCATCATAGAAGAGGAACACTGCAAGTAGCATATGATTTAGTTAGTTAGTTATTGGAGAGGGTGGGTTTCCCCATGCACTTAGACCAGTATTGGTCCATTGTGCTTCCCTCTATGATATTCTACCAGTCTCTATATCCTACCGATATTGGTGCGTCCCATCAGTCCCGACCAAGCCAGCAAGTTCGCCTCTACTGGGTTGGCGGTATCTATAATGGCTCCCCCATCTATCGGAGGCGTTAGAGACTACTGTTGGGCGGGAAACATCCTGAATTTGGCTGTGACCTCCTTTGGAGATATGAGGTTCTTTTACGTGCCTGAAAGCTACGACATGGGACCCACAGCTTAAAGTCCCTCCCGGAGGACTTGTTCCCTGAATTTTTCCGTCCTTAAAAATTCCACGACCTCCGCCGGGTTTGAACCCGTGTACCACGAGTCATGAGGTGGGAACGTTACCTCTAGACTACGGGGGCCGCTAGCATATGATATAAATAAAGAGATGTTTATATCAGTCACTCAAAGGATTACAAAATGTATGGATGTTCAGAAGACTGGACTCTACAAACCAGTTCTTTGATTAACACTGATATGAAAATAGCCTTAGTAAAATTTTGATATAATACAATTTTACAGAATATGTGATTATGGGAAACATACACTGTGTTGCCACATCTCATTCAACTTTACTTGCATTTTCCCTGATTTTCAGTCAAAATATTTGCAAGGGATATTTCTGTCTCACTGTTCATCAAGTAATCCAATGATGGAGTCTGCAGGCACAAGTATTAAAACACTCTTGTTTATGTAAATTCATTTAAGTCATTAAATAAAGCAACCTTCCTGAATGAACCAAAGTAAATCAGACTGAGAACAGAGAACAGCTCTACAGAATTCGGTGCATGCCTACAACTGTTATATATGGGCAGATATGACAGAACTAACAAATAATTTAAAGTTATTTTTTGAAACACACATAAAAATATCAATTCTTTCATCTCATTAGAGTTAGTTACAAGTCTAGATGTAGGGGTCAGGTCATGCAGAAATGCAATTGCACAGCCCGGGAACAAAATGGTATTCTCTCTTGCCTTACCACAAGATCAAGACACTGGGCACAATGGGAGCTAACAGTAAATGCATCTAATAATTTTCAGTGTAGACCTGCAAATACTGAATTTGTTTAAATCCATTGATCAGTTTCAGACAGAAAATTACAAAAATATCTTAAGTGTCAGTGAAACAGTTGCTGTCTGCATACAATTTGTGGGGAAAATGTCAGATTACTTAATATTAAAATTGGTGGTACACATAAGTACCATATGTTCTGCAGGATGTTCCTCTCACCTGGAGTCTCTCAAGTGTGGCCCGCACCTCGTTGCGAGTCTCTCCAGATGGAATGTGGAGGAGTTCGAGCGCTCCAGATATAGGCACACATTCTGGGGCGGACACTCGGAATGTGACGTCATCATGCACGTGAGAGTATGCCTTGCGGTGCAGTCTGTAGCGCAGGCGCGCAGAGTCCAAATCCTGTTGAGTGAAGGTGTCCCCACTTTGCAGTCGATGGTGCTTCATGGAAGAGCTGGAGTGAAGTGTGCCATACCGTGGGGGGCGCAGCACCTGCCAATCCAAGGGATACCAACTCTCACACACTCACACACGTGTAAGAAGGGAGGATGGAAGTAATTTCATAATAAGGCGCTTCACAATTTTTACGAGTCACAAATGCCATTAGGATGATTTCTTCAAAGTAAGTGAGATGAATTGGACATGTACACAGAGTTCTCCCCAGAAAACTTGGAGTGAACACAGAACTTGGGGATTGTAGGTATTGCCATGATAATATTAAAATCTTAGAGAAAATTGGCATGAAGATAGGTAATAGGACAGAAACCAGTTGTGGGCCCTTGTGAACATGGTAATTAACATGATATCTAAGGTTCTCATGATGATGATTATGGAGACTACTGTCTTCTGAGGATATGACGCCGTGTAGTTTGGTAGATTGTTATAAAATTTTGGAGGAACCTGCTGTCTTCATCCTGGTGGTAAAAGCATAAAGCTGAAGACAGTGCCTTCCTCATAGAAGACAATAATCTTCACAGTAAATAAGAGTCAGATTCCATACAAGGCAGATTATTTCTTGACCTGCTAAGAAACTGTTAGCTTCTAAAAAGGACTTTCGTGTGGAGATAGTTGGTTAATGTTACATCTGTGTTAGGGTATTGATGTGTTCTGCATCATAGCACAACAAGATTACATACCTGGAACACGATTTTGGTGCTGTCTGTCGGGAGTGGTTGTGTCTGATACAGAAGCTGCTTATCAGTGACAAGGGCCTCACGAGATCCATTTAGCTGCAAGCTGTGCGTGTGGATTGGCACCAGGTGGAGCTCCGTGAATGTGATTCTGAAGTCGTACACAGTGGGATTCCGCACCTCCATCACAGACACCTTGAACTGATGTCAGAAAGTGAGGTTAAGGACTTCCATGCTTCTGCAAACCTTCATTATTTCATATACTGACACAAACACGAAGTTATTTCCACCAGTTACTATCCTCTAATGTAGAAAATGTGAAGCACTTTGTGGTTAGAACAGGTCAAACTTGACCAATTTTCTGTCTACTTAAGGATGCACTGACCTTTATGCTTCCATTTAGATTAAATTTTTCTGGAAAAGGTGGTTGCTGTAATACCAATTCAAGTATATCTCCCAATGCTGCCATCTTTTGCTGCTATCCCAAACTACTTGTTAGGGTAGATGCTAGAATAGTGAGACAAGAGCAAGCATTTGGTGCTTTTATATACTTTATGATTTGCAAGTGATAAAGCACTAAGTTACCAGTTCCAACTGCAGAGGTAATACAAAGTTCAATTTAATGTAAAGTCGATGAGCAATAGTGAGCAGGATTGTATTTCAGCTACAGTGGTGTGTTGTGTATTATTTTCCCAACAATTTACTAAATGAGTGTAATTTTAAGATAAAAATCTGAAAATAAAGCAATAACAATTCATTCTCTCAGGCCAGTGAATAAGCAGAATGATGCCACAAAAGGAGAAGATTATTTCTTGATGTAGACTAAAGTCAAATGTCACATTATATGGTAATGGATTTTTGTTTGACTTCAGTTGAATTTGCAGCAATATGAAATGCAAAAGATCTTGTGGCTTCTTTGATTTCCAGCCTCTGCAGTTGAAGTGTCAGCCACTCTAAATATGTTCATTTCATAAGCTGTTTGTCATTCCGTTATGCACTTGTGGTAACATCCCACATTATCACGCATTTTCTGCAACGCACCCTCTTCACATCACTTTTCACCATCACACGCGCTAACCAATCAAATTGCTCCAAACGTTAGCATTTATACTGTGCTCGCTGCTAGCCCCGCATCTACATCATCACGCGCGCTAGCCAATCAGCGCCCTGCAAATTCTTCCTCCTCAATTTCAAGTTTCGCTCCGCCCACCGAGCAGTGTATAAAAAGAAGCAGCCACAAACCGGCATCATCAGTTTGACTTCAGTCTTCGATCAAGCTACATCAGCCAGCAGGCTTCGTCGCCAGCGCTCGGTCTTCGGAGGCATCGGCAGGCTGCGCCAGGCACGACTGCCTCGGCCCTCCGGCTCTCTCACACCCGACTCACTGGGGCACCTCGCCTGGACTCGCCGGTGGTCGTGTCCCTGTCTGACCCACTGGGCATCTGGCGTAGCCACTGCCTCATCACTCCTATGACCGCGCTGAACGACCAGCCTTTCATCAGCAGCCGCCGCGCTGCGATCAAGCAACCTCCAGCAACGGCCGCGCTGTGGCCAGTCAAATCACCGCAACTAACCTCTCTCCCTACCGGCGTGCGCCGCGCTACCTCACCGGTCAAGCATCTCAGCAACCACGGTCCTTTTCAGGACCAACAAACTGTTCCGAAGAAGTGGGTTGTCATCGGAGTAATGACAAAACTACATAAGACCCTACGCACTTAAAATTGTAAAGTTGCCCAAAGTCAAAGAGAACAACTCAATATCAAGCCTTATACCCACTCATCCTGGGGCTGCGAGTACTTTCATTTGGAATTGTAATGAGTGCATAAGGATTTGGAAAGAGACATTCATGGAGTATTTCAGTGCACTATCCTGGCATTTGTCTGGCCTGGCTCAGGAGAATCATGAGCCAAGTCTGTCAGTAAAACCAGTACCATATCACACAGAATACAAGTTCAGAACCTTACTTCCAAAGTAACGTACCTTGAAGTTATCATGTGTGGGTTCCCCTGAAGTGTGCAAGTACCGAATCTGATCTCTTGCCAGCTGATGGCTTGTGAAGTGTTCTACAGCTTGCCACTGCAAATCAGTGGCTCCACCTCTCAGACGCTGCACTACCCCAAATTGAGGAGGCTTTACAAGCTCATACCGCACATCTAAATCATCGTCCTCAGCATTAGATGTGAATGTGAGGTTGGCAGCACTGATGTGGGTTGCTGCTCGGTGGATTAGCACCAGTCCTGTGTTGTTCACAAGCCGCAGTTGCAGAGGGAATGCTGATATGCGTAGGAAGGCAGCTGGACTCGTCTCAATCCCATCAGAGACCTGGCACAGTGTAAGAAGTTCTGAAATCCACTTCTGGAACCTCCTAACCTCAAACTTCAGCACATGTCAGGGAAGGCTACAATTTCTGTTTATTTACGAAGGGTGCCAGTAGCAAACGTTATACAGTGTTGCATGATAGAACAATTAGTGAATAGTGAGTTGGAAAGGCCGCAGAATGTGACTGTCACGGTCTAAACCTGGGATAATACCCTGACATATGATAAGTCAGGATAGTTCAGTCAGCACAGCGATTAGACTACATGCTAAGTGTCAAGATTCGTTTCCAGGCAGGAGCAAGAAATTTTTTTGTTCTCCATAGCATCTGGGGCCTACCAATTCTCCTATCCAGGAGTTGCTGGGGGCCATTTCCTTGTGGATAAAGTGGCTAGGGGTGTGAAGCTGACCACTCACTTTCAGTTAGTTCTGAGGCTAGGAATACGTGGAGCTATACTTCCATTTCTTTTTATATCAAGGTGTGGTACACATTTAAGCACAGGTATAATTTTACCTTTATAATCCTGACATTTAAACCATACAAAGATCTAATTCAGATTAGCTAGCCTCTGTGTTGATATGTGAACTCATGACATCACACATACAAAGTAGAAGCACTGTCCTCTCAACTCTGACATTCAGGATTGAACTTCAAGAACTCTAAATTCATGACTATATACTAGTGATTTGTTTACTCTTTCTGTGAGGAAGAACAATTGACTCTGTGTTTGTGCAGATGATATAGAGGCCAGTATCAGTGCAGAAGCCATCCTACATACACTGCTGTGTCACAGAGTTTTATCGTGTTGCCATGCTGAGGAGGTGAAGACCGAATATCAAGGTATAATGAGCAACCACGTTGGCATGTATGTAAACAATCCCAGTTGAGGCTCTGACTGCGCTAACTAAAATGTCTGGTGTCTTTTCTCATTCCTTTCCTTGCAAATCTCTGAAAAACACATGACATGTCCTTCATTCTAGGTCAAGTACATAAGGAGTCTTGCCTCCTGATTGTACTCCAGACAACCTCTGTGACATAGTATTACACAGCACCACCCTGCCACACTGTGTACTCACACTTCCTCCCCTCCAAGAGCGTTCACCTCTTCCTCTTATTCGAACACTACATGTTTCTGCCCAACTGGCTGCCACCATCAGGTGTACAGGCTGTAGAGCATAGTGCTGCCCCGTTATCAGGCTGCGACATTCTGCATTTTAAAGTTGTAAGACGCTTATACAGTATTTTAAATTATTTATAGAATATCATGCTGTGGTGATTTTGTTGTCTGCACATGTCGTGGGTCTAGTGTACATAGTCTGATGGTGCAATGGTGTTCTTTTGATGCTGTGTGCAGCTGTTCTTTGTACACCTGATGATGGTCAGTGAGCTGCAACTTATAGTATTCAAATGCCAATCACAGTGGCTGTACTGTCTAAGGCAGGAACTGTCTTCACTCGTTCGAATGCTGGGAATGTGGGTTCAAATCCCACTCAAGGGATGGATGTCTGTGCGCATTTATTCTGTGTTTGTGCTCTCCTGTGTGCAGGTAGTGGCCTGGTGATGGGCTGATCCCCCATCCAAGGAGTCATATCGGCTGAGTAAATGATCAAAAAACTGAAAAAGTGGCCAGGATCCAACAAAGGGCTGTAGAGCCATAGACAGATATAGTGTTTGCATAACAGGAAGAGACAAATACTTCAGAAGAGTGAATATACACCAACAAAGATGCAGAGGGACAGCGAGAAGTGCTAGTCACAGGCAGAGTGCCTTGCTACATAAGCTAACAAACCATGTGCCTCTGCTCCCCTCCCTCTGCACCTTCCAGTGAGTGTCTGTGCTTTGCTCACACCTGTAGAGCCAGTCGAGTGTTGGACCCAGGTTCCCCGCCACGATGCACATAAGCGATGAGCCCCTGATCCACTTCCTGTTGCGTGAATGTGTCCACGCGGGTTCCAGGGCTTTGGATACGCTCCACATATCCTTTCTCCTTTGCATCTCCCTGGCTGAGCACTGTATACACTAGGTCAGCACCCGGACTATCAGGGTCCTCAGCCCTCAGAATCTCTGCAGTCAATGTCTTACGTGTCCCCTGAGAATTCAAGAATATGTAAGAAACAACCTGGAGATGCTACAATACTCTGTTGTACACTATTATAACACACTTTACACTACAGCCTCAAATAAGCTACAAAACTGTATTTCACCTTACACCACAGACTAGGCCGCACCACAGCTCAAGCGGTTAGTCACTGGCTTCCCACCTCGGCAGCCCAAGTTCGATCCCGGGTCTGGTCAAGTGGGATTTGTGGTGGACAAAGTGGCGCCGGGGCAGGTTTTCTCCGAGTACTTCGGTTTCCCTTGCCAATCCACCAATTGCTCCACAATCACCCTCACCTATCATCTGGGGCTGGTACAATAGGCCAGAAGTGGCCGCAGTACAAGGGACTTAGTCCCACCCCACTAGCAATAAAGAAAAATACACCGCAGGCTGAAAGAAGAGTTCTATTATTGGAATTTTGACGATGGCTTCACAGTTATGTAGTTTATATTGGTTTAATGACAGGTTCATGATTAATAACGAATTAAAAAAAATATGGAAGGTAGCAGTTGTGGTTCACATGTGATACTATCATATAATTTGACTTGATTAATTTATGGTTTTGTTACAGGGTAAATTGAGAGTTATTTTACAGCGGATTCTCATGAGCCAACAATCATCTGGAGAGACCAGGCAGTATCCCAAATGAGATTCAAACCAGAGCCTTCAGAATTAAAGCATGGCGCATTACTGCTCTAAATGCAGTGTAACTATAAACACAGCTCTCATTTGTTTAACATGCTGAGTGTCAGGATATTGACTTACCTGGGCTAGTCTGAGGACGGTCCCTGGAGGTAGGGTCAGGGAAGGAGGATCATTGACTGGTGTGATGTTAACATGCAGTACAAAGCGGTGATGTCCCTGGAGATAGTTTGGCAGCACAAACCCTGGTCCTGGGGCCAATTCAAGCTCTAATACAATGCTGTCCTGGTGATTCTCAGAACCATCATGAAGATAGCGTACCTATAGACAGATACGAAATGCAAGCAGTTCTGACTTTTCTTCACATATATCATGAAGGTAGATGGAACAGCAGAGGCAGAGCTCCACACATTCCAAATCTCAACACTTGCTAGAAGTGTGTAGTCAATTTAAAGCTCTGTCATCTTTAATTCTGGGGAGGAGATGATTGTATTTACTGGACATGGAGCATGATGGGCCCCAGAGAATGTGTGAAACAGAAATGAAGAGAGAAATCCTGCCTTATCAAATCCCAGTTTTCCAGCCTACAGTAACGTGTTCTTATTAACTGAGCAGTTCTCAGTTCACTCGTGCAGAATACTGATGAAAATGTTGCAACAACTGCTTGTAAGTTATTTAACACACTGAAAGGCTATGTAATTTTTACAAAATATACTATGAAATTGGAAAACAAACAGGATCACAAAAAACTTTAAAACGTTAATTTAAATTATTAAAAATAATATTTTTCCATTTTATTTAACCTCTCCATTTGGAGTACCCTGCACTGCATGCTGCTCAGTTGCCATTTGCCGCAGTGGAGTTATGGGCTACGTACAAATGAGTACTCATGCTGAAGGGACGACGTTTTGAAACAGCATCTGACATCCAAAGGGAATTGCAAGCAGTACTCTACAGCATTAAGGAAAAAGACTTCCATGGTGCTGTGGGAACATCCCACATTATCACGCATTTCTGCAACGCTCGCTCTTCACATCACTTTTCACCATCACGCGCGCTAACCAATCAGATTGCTTCAAACGATCGCATTTATACTACGCTCAGCGACAGCCCGCGTCTACACCATTACGCGCGCTAGCCAATCAATTCTTGCTCCTCACTTTCGAGTTTGGCTCCGCCCCACCGACCAGTGTATAAAAGAGCAGAGTCATGCAGTTTAATTCAGTTCATCGATTCAGTTCAATTCAGTTCAGCCACACAGCAAGCAACTTCAGCCAGCAGGCTTCGTCGCCAGCGCTCGGTCTTCGGAGACATCGGCAGGCTGCGCCAGGCACGACTGCCTCGGCCCTCCAGCGCTCTCACACCCGACTCACTGGGGCACCGCGCCTGGACTCGCCGGTGGTCGTGTTACGGTCCGACCCACTGGGCCTCTGGCGTAGCCACTGCCTCATGGCTACTACGACCGCGCTCGACGACTAGCCTTCACCAGCAACCGCCGCACTGCGATCGAGCAACCTCCATCACTTGCCGCACGGCAACCAAGCAACCAGCTGCCACGGTCGCACTGCGGCCACTCCACTCACCGCAACTAGCCTTTCTCCTTACCGGCGCGCGCCGCACTACCTCACCGATCAATCATCTCAGCAGCCACGGTCCTTTTCAGGGCCAACAAACTGTTCCGAAGAAGTGGTTTGTCCATTGGAGTATTGACGACAATTCCACAGTGCTTTTGAGGCATGGAAAAAACATTGGGCTCGCTGTATATGTTCCAAGGAGACTATTTTGAAGGAGATGGCAACCAAAATTGAAAAAGTTAAGCCCGCATTTCTTTTTTTACCTAGTCTGGAAACTTTCAAATAGCACCTTGTAAATGATCTCGAAAGTGTCGATCATAAATCAGCTGTTAGCAGGCATTTTGACAGTAAGAAAACATTTACCAAATGCAAATATTAAAAACGTTTCAAGAGAATTTTATTTTTATTTTTCCTGACAGAGTAAATTTTACTCTCATGATGAGGAAAGAACGCCTATTATTAGTTTAAGAGCCAGTGTAATTTGGCACAACCGAATTTAAAATTCCTGGTGGAAACTTCTCCAGCACTGCATTGTGGGGCTGGGCTTAAAATTCTCCCACATGAAAGAGTTAAGTCACATGAGAAAATGTATTACATTAGAACATAACTGTTCAGTGTTAGGAATTTGGAAAGTTATAATGGAAGTTATATCAGGTCTCACCTTGTCTTTGGCCAGGTCCAGCATTGTGAACATGAGCCTGGTGGCCGACGTATCCCACACATCCACAGAGAGTTTCCCATGGCGTGGGTGATCAACCACATGGAGCAGTACCCCAGAATCTCGAACCCCAAACTTAGCATAATCAAGCACTACATCAATGTTGGTTGTAGTGATCAGTGTGTTGTCTCCCTCTGCCACTTGGAGCGGTGTCAGCACCAAAATCTCTAGATCCATCACCAGTGTAGGTTTTGAGAACACCTGCAGGAAACAGCTGAGAAATTTAGGATCTCTTCATTCTAGGAGACACTTAGTGCAGTTCAGATACATCAAGAATATTCAGTATAAAATCATCTGCATTTAATACAACAGTTATTCTGAATTTCAAATTAATCAACCCTTTGACTGCCAAGCCCTGTCACAGTATTACCTACTAAAATTCCCAAGGATGCTTCAGGGTAAATGCAAGTGCACATGAAGTCCACAGCACTTCCTCATAGAACCTTAAGGTGAACATAGGTATACGTCATGTAACAGCCCCTTTTTCCCTCTGAACATTTGAATGACATATTTGACAGAAATGGTGCATTAACTGATCAACCTTCAAGCCAGTCTCTTCTGCTGTGGCGGTTTTGATGCAAGTATTATGAACCAATCTAATCAGCTAATGGCTTACAAGAATTTAATAACAGGAAAGAAGAAATACCTTATAGCTATCCGGGTAGTCAGGCTTGACACACAGAAGTTGGTCACACTCACAGCGGAACGAGTCAACGCCCTGCTGCAGGCACTGAGACCCAGGGACACAGGGCTCCTGTACACAGGGATATTCCCACACACAATCTGGCAGGATGCCCTGCGTCACTCGAGCATCAGGAATCCCTATACGGCGCTTCTCCACCATCATGCTCTGTAAGCAACCCTGGAGCAGCAGCAGCCAATGTAAATTTGAATGTCACTCAAAAAATAATATTGTGATATGTTGCTAGGCAGCAGATTCTTAATAATGCAACAGTTGGACTACAATAACAGAAGACCTGTGTTTTCTATGGGATCCTTGCTGAGATGTTATAAGTAATGGACAAGTCAGTTTAGTTAGTTCTTTATGGAAGTCGGTGAACAAAGGAATAGGGCTGGAGGTAGAGCAATAGCCATTGTTGAAGCCAATACCAGGAAATGTCTAGTAACATACTGGGAACACTAGACTGAGTGTTGTAGTGAACTGTAATGTGTGGAAATAGTGACAGAGTTATAGTTATTTGATGTTACAACCTGTAAATTGTCAATAAATCCAATCTCCAATCCAAAACCCTGTTGAGAGTCACTCTAAACTGTGACAATATGTTAGATACCTTCATACACAAGAGACAGCAACGACTCAGACAAGTTTGATGCAAGACAGAGTCCATTTTACAGTAGAATATAGCAAAGTACACGCTTATATAACATTCTCTATAGACTGTATCCTGTTGCGCATTTGCAAACTATTCTATTAGGCTTCTTCCATCTAACACAACTTGAAGAATGTATACCATGCAATTTGTTTTATTAATATCACAACATGTTTCGACCATTTTTGATTATCATCAGGTGAATTCCACTGTTTAACAAATACAAAAGTAAGATATTCCCATAATATACACAGACTCGTGCAACAGTGACATGAAGAGTTTAAATTCAGATATTAATTACACCTGTGTATCACGCCATGCAGACGACTGTGGAATAATATCAGGTGCTCTGAAAGTGAATATCAGGTTCATTTTTTAATAAACCGCAGGAATTAGACTGTCAGACTCTTCAGACAGGGCTGCAACAAGAGCACAAAATTTGGTTCTAACATTAGATGCCCCCTTGATTGTGGGTGCTGCGAATCAGCACATCAAGTTCACATGTTTACAAGATTTATTCACTCTCACCTTGAAGCTGGTGTCAGCTGTGAGTAGTCCCTGCCCCAGGGCTCGTGATCTCTTGTTCAGTTCGATCCCACCTACAAATACAGTCTCTGCGAGGTCAAGGTAGCGGCTGCCCCCTTGCGGCAGTCTTTGGCTGACAGGCACTCCATCCACACTGATCTCCATGAATGTGGGGTTAAACTGCACCACCACATCATGCCACTTTCCGTCTGTCACAGCCCACTGGCTGCGCAGCTCAAGCACTCCATTACCCTTGTTCAGCAGCAGGCGTAAGTGGCCATCTACCAGCTCCACACCCACAAAGTCGGATCGTGACGTTAAGCCCGTGTTGTAAAGGAGGACGCCACGTCGGGACGTGGTCTTCAGTTCAAACTGCCACCTGCATTACAGAGACCTGTCCTTGTTATAAATGAAATCACATTCAATTATAATTCGTACCATCAGGGCTTTCAAATTTGATGTAGACCTCAGATGTGTGTTACAGAGATTGATTTAAAATTGTCATTCCTACATTTTTTTAAATATTGGCTTACTCCACAGAGCAGAGTCTTTTAAGAAGTGCGCCTAAATCACTGTAATTCTTAACGATATTATTGTCTTGACTTTGCACAGAAGAAAGGTTTACAGCCCTTTAGTTCATTCTTTTCTTAAAAAGGCACAAAAGTTAAAAAATTCAAAGAACATTAAAACCGCTGTATCCAGAGAGGGTATGAAGAACAAGAAACAGAACAAACTGGAAACAGGTATACTGTGTTGTGTAGACCCGCAACGATGGCGAAATAAACGCACGCAACAATGGAGGGACTGCTGGAGGCGGTGCTTTCTGTGCAGTCCGTGCCGAGGCTATACAACGAGGGGCAGCTGCGATTACGAATGAGCCTTGACGCAGCAGTCAGAAGAGTAGGAGCTAGTTGTGAGACAGTCGCCACCCAGTAAGGACGTGAACACTGAGGCTGAGGAAGCTACGGCGTTGGAAGCCGTTACCAGGCGACAACCGGTGAAGATACAGCAGACCGAGACTTACTGCGTGCTGTAGCGAGTTATAGGATTAGAGATTTAGCGTTAACACTGTAGTTATTTGTAGTTACGTTCTGTAAGTGCTCGAAAAATCCAATTGCCATTCCATACCCCGTCTATAGATACACTCATACACGCGACAATATTCTAGAAGAAACGAGATGAGCATATTTGTCCATAGGAGAAAGGAACGTGTTTGATATACATCCGAAATTAAATTAATTTGCATTTCTGAATGACACTGAAGGAGAATTAACTTCTCGTGGCAGTGACTATTAACAGTAAGGTCGTCTGGGTTGTAACACTGTGTAGTTCTCTCCGAAGTGCGCTGTGTTGCAACGTAAGGATACTGAAGGAGTTTCCTGCTTACAACATGAACGGCGACGACAAAAAGAACAGCAACAATGTGGAAAAGAAACATTGCTATTGCATATGTGGTACTTCATGAAGTTGGAAAATCCATCATGTTATGCCATTGTTATGGCGACAGGTGTCACTACCTGGCTCCAGTGCGCGTTATGCCGTTGGGAAAGGCCATGAATGCCCCGTCCTCCACGAAGCTGATGTGCCGATCAACGGTGGCATCGAACTCGGGTGCGCAGGTCCACGTGATGCCTTGCACGTCAACCTGACCCTGACGTTCCCGGGCCCGCGACAGAACGTTAAACCCGTTGTAACGGACGTCTGACAGACAGCCACGTAGAGTGTCCAAGTGGCCGAGGAAGAGTTCGGAGAAGTCGCCTTGGCCTCCTAGGAACAGGCCGTAATGGATGTTCAGCTCGAAGAAGCGTCCTGGTAGCTGCTCCCTGCAAGAATCACACAGACAGCCCGGCAAGTAATGTCTACCGCTAGCAATACAGGAACTCTGACAAATCTACCGCAGCAACATGTGAAGAATGGTAGAAGGTGGTGCGCCACTTACTTGACGACGTGTATGACATCAACCTGCAAGGTGATGGCGGCCTCCCGCCTGGAGACAGAGACTTTGTGCCAACTGAGGTCGTCCAGACGCAGCCCCTTGGGAGATGAGATCTCCGTCTCTCCAGCACCCACGTTGATATGGACCTGAAACAGACATTCGAAGTGATGAGTGCACTGCTAATGTCAGTGCCCCTCATTGGACAGCATCCTGAACACCCGAGCAGGCTGAACCGTCGGTCTGAAACGAAGGGAAGACAAATCCCGGACTTCTCCTGTAACCACTCATGTGGAATTACATTGTTGTTGTTGTTGTTGTTACCAGCTTATGCTCAAATTTAAATAACATTGACCGTTCTAGCTCTGTTCTTGTTTGTATGCTTCTGTCCGAATACTTCCTGCTGAATGTGTAATTAGCCCATGGTGGTTGAGTTCAGCAGATCAATAAAGAATGTTTCAACACGGCGCCACATCCCAGAAGACGGCATTCTTCAAAGAATATTTCTTGTCCTTACTGTTGTAATTACGTATTGTTATCATCATCATGCAGCGATGGGCTGACAATGATTCCCTCGGGCAGAAGCCGCAGATGGGCCCACCATACGAGCCCCAGGTGGGGGTGGGGCCCGGAACTGACAAGTGCAGCCAGACTGCTGCAGACAACTCCAGCTGTCTCGTCGTTCTCTGAAGAGCTAAAACGCTGCCGTCCGCGGGGACGAACCCCCAGACCCACCATACTATGGGCAGGACCAGTCCCTGCTCGCTCGTCACATTTAAATGCTGCGTGTACCCCCACCCCACCCCAGTGGCTGGCCCTGTTTCACTTCCGGTCTCTGGTGGTGAAAGTCGCGCCGCACGGACGTTTCGTTACGTGCACCCTGCTTTTCAGTTCCTGTGGCCACGGCAATACGAATATACAGGCAGTTCCTCAAGAAAACTCTGCCGTAAACCTCCCGTTATAACGAATAATAACGAAAATAATAATAATAACACGGAGCGGGTTCCTGTAGAGGCAACGGTTTAGATTCGTATCCGGGAGATGCTGGGTTCTAGTTTCGGCCGGGACACCGCTATCCTGACTGAGGCTTATAATGTTTCTCCTTAGTCCCTACAGGCAAATATCTCGAATATACCACGACCACTTCCATCCAAACGCTCCCGACTTCATTTGCCATTCATCCATGTGACGGTATATAACGCTATCCCTGTAACAGGCCGTGGAGGCCCATAGGGTTGTGAGACGTCGAGGCTCCCACAGTTTCTAGACAATCGGCTGACAGATGGCGGTGACGTCAGCCTTACGCGCTGACCACCCTATATCCCTCAAGAACATTCCTGGTACTCATTTCTGTCGGAGACTGAGTCGACCCTAGGACCATAGTGCGGCTGGAAGGATTAGGTCTATTGAAAAAAATCCAATCGGGAATCGAACCAGCGACGTTCCGGCTTGCGGCATAGTGCCTCAACCAACTACACTACAGCTACGTTAAACAAACTCATGAAAATGGTCACATTCACGCCCCGGCCGCTTTACCCCGGGGGAAAGGGTCCCCGTACCCCTTGGATATGACGTTGAGTGGGCCCCAGAACTGGAAGACGTGCAGAGGAGAAAAATCTTTCCTCCACCGGGACTCGAACCCCGACCCCCCGGGCTTCCGGCCCGTAGCCAGTCGCTATACCGACTGGGCTCGCAGTGGCTGTGGTAGTAATAAGAACAATATGGTAATGTCTGGACCGTGAGCGGGGGGGGGGCGAGAAGGAACAAGATTCTGGAGGGATCTCAGTAGGCCTAGTACAGAAGGTAAATGCACACAACCCTTCGGTAGGAAAACATCAATGTTTCGGCTTGTAAATTAGCACAAGTAACTCATAACATATGTACTGTCTTAGCTCGCTTGGAAACCTGGATCGTGGGTTCGAATCCCACTTAAGGCATGGATGTTTAGTTTGTGTGTGCGTTTTTCTGTGTTTGTGTACAGGTAGAGGCCTTGCGACGAGCTGATCACCCGCCCAAGGAGTCCTACCGAATGTGTAAGATCTAGAAAAACCGAAGTGAACGGAGAAGTTCATGGAGGTAGGTCTAGGCCCACTTGGGCTGTAGTGCCAAGGGGAGAGGGGACTCATAACATTCGCTGTGAAGGAATCCAGGAAGATACTGTTGGTGCAACTGTTGCCATGGAAACAAATGACATAAATCTGCTACATCTGCAGTGGGAAGGGCGTCTGTGTGTAACTGAGCAATGTCGGTGGGCGAAGTCCCCGCGACAAATTGCAGTTTGTCTCTGTATCCTGTAATTAAGCCTCCAAGCAGTGCTTCCCTCTGTGCCACGAGGTACATCTGCTTCGTACTGATTTACAACCCTGAGACTCTCGGTAAGATGTTCGTTTGCAGGAAACGTGGAGACCCAGGCGTGGCCCGACCTCACACACCGCAGAGTACGTAGCTGTAACGTCAGTCCAGCGTCTTCTTCTACGCTTCCCTGTACCTCGAAATGATACGGAGGAAGTTTCCCAGACTTTGTGCACTACACATAAATGTCTAGCAGAAGCAGAAAGCAATTATTTCCAAAGCTTCCAACACTGGTTAATATTCTCTACAGAGATGGGAACATTGTACTTCTGTGCGCATTGGCCTGTATCACAGAAAAATTTCTGAGCCGGGCATGAACAGGCATAATGGAGGTAAGAATGGTGTGAAAATATGCAGGAAAGAGGCGACTAGGAAGAACTAGTTGTGGATGAGGAGATAATATTAAAATGGGCCTTAAGGATGAAGCTGTGGACTGAATTCATCTGGAAGGAGGCAGGAATCAGAGAGTGGATTTTATGAGCACGGTAGTAAACATTTGGATTCGTAAAGGGAGGGAAATATTTAGGCTAGCTGAGCCACTATTAGTTTCTCAAGAAGAACTCAGTTCGATTCCACAGCGTCCAGACTGGCTCTGGGGCCCACCCATCATCCGATTCACTTAGTACCCGGGGCTCTTTCTCTAGGAAAATTGGCGAGGGTGCAAAGCTGACCGCTGACTGTATGGAGTTATACCCCTACTCCCCATACACCTCCAAGGGGCTCTGCTTAACTGACCACAGAGACAAAAGCATCTTTTCTACATTGAACAGTCAGTGTTTATAGATTTAGCTTGTTGCGTCTCCGAGGCGGGATAGCTCAGTCAGTGTAGGTACTAGGCTACGGGTTGGGCGGGGAAGGAATTCGGGCTCTATTTCAGGTAGGGCAAAGAGAATTTTCTTTTCTCCAGCGCAGTCAGACCGGATCTGATGCCTACAGCCTCCTACAGTGGATACCAAGGCTTCTATCCCGTAGGTTATAGTGGCCGGAGCGTGAAGCTGACAATCGTCTACACTTAGTGCAGAGGTTAAGAATGTATGGATCTACACCTCCATCCCATGTGTGAATTTATGGCTTGCAGCTTAATTAAGTAAGCACAACTTCACTTCTCCTCGTGTTCCCTACAGACGTTAGGTCTTGCCCGTGCAGCTGTAACAGACCTGCATCACTGTGACTGCTGAGCGTGGCCCAGTTCTTACCGTCTGGGTGCACACTAGCACCTGCCGAGAGGATTTCATTCTTTTGTCCAGGCCCGTCCAACATGGGCTCCACTTATTACATGAAGTTGAAAGAAGTGTTAATGGATTTCCTCGAAACATTCCTCGGGACATGAAAAGTTCGTACCTAACCAAATTTGTAGATCTCATTGAAATCCACAAATTCTGTCTGAAACAGTTGTCGAGATAACCTGTATTTAACGGAATGCGCTGGCTTCATTCAGTGTGAGAAATAATGAATTCTTGCCCGCGGTAGACGGATATGAGGGCCAATGTGAAGTGCGGAAGGTGAAGTGCGCATTTACAAAATATGTTGGTATAAGTTTATGTTTTTCATTCAAATATATTCTAAAATTGACAACTGTGCTCATCACAAAATGGCCGACCACAGAACACTCAGCTGAGAGATGCCACACTCATGTTACACGCTTCCTTGCATCTACAATTGTTTATCGCTCGGATGTAGTATTTTAACGTTAAGGACGGACATGAGACCGTTCTCCACGTCATATCTCCGAAATACGCCATGTGTTGGGCCACTGAAAGCCCTGTAGCACGCATAAATTCCCCGGATGCGCATGAAGATAAATAAAACGGCCTTCATGTAACACATTTTATCAACGTTTTAGTTCCCCTCCCCCCTCTCGCTGTCGAGGACCAGCTCGGCAACAGTTCAATGGAGGAAACATAACAGAGCAGCACAAACAAATCCCCCCCCCCTTCCCTACACGCAACACGGCTCAGGCCATGCAGCGGCCATGTACCGTACATTCCGCGCGGAATTCCGTCCGCTAATTGCGCGATTGCTGAGGTGTGTAATTAAATAACGTGCCACAATATTTTTTTGTGAAGGATTCATTTAGGGAGAATGATCCCAGGTAATTGCACGAGGCACCTGCTAGAAGTCGGGATAGCTCAGTCAGTACAGCTACGGGTTAGAGGGCTCGGGTTCGGTTCCCGGCATTGCAAGTTTTTTCTCCGCAGCGTGTAGACCGTTTCCGCGGCCCACCCAGCTCCCCATACATTGGGTACTGGGAGCTCTTTCCCCGTGGGTAAAGCGGCAGGGACGTAAAGCTGACCACTCACCTCCATGTAGTACCGAGGTCAAGAATGGTGGAGCTATACCTCCACTCCGCCACGTCATTATGGCATAGTGCCTAATTAATTAAGCACAGGGACAACCTTACCTTTACCTCCTGAATAAGGACTTTTCCATGGGGTTAGTGGCGATGTTTTTGAGTAGCTGAGCGACTATAAGCTTCGGCATGAAGGTCGTGCACCTTGGAGCTAGCTACACTTACATTCAAACCATTGTTAGCTGGACATCCCACACAACAAGAGTGACATATGTCCTCACCTTCAGTCTACCTGACTCCAGCCGCACCAGACAATAGTCGGTCCGTCCGGCTGCCAAAAACAACATGGCGTCTGCGCGTCGTGTTCGGAACTTGAACTGCAGCTCCGTCGTGCTCTTTGCATCTTGTAGGGGCACAGAGATGTAGCTCGCCCCGTAGAAGGAAGCTGAAACAGGAGAGAAAGCACATCCGTCATACTGACGTCACGTCTCACAGAAGGCTGTGCAGACAGGCTGTGGGTCCCACGCAACCTCTTATTCAATGGATACAAATGGCTCCTTACGTCAGGGTAAAACGGCCGGGGCGTGCAGCTGACCACTCACTTCTGCCTATTGCGGAGGACTATACCCTCACGTGTCCTCATGTTGTCCTGCTTAATGAGAAGCACAGAGCACTTTGCTTATGTCATTATTATTATTATTTTAAACATAAGTAAATTTATCATTGTGCTTAAATATGTACATCATGAAGACATGTGGCGGAGTGGAGGTATAGTTCCATGTATTCTTAACCTATGCACTACCTTTATATCCGGTAGAATTGGATGGGGTGCGACATAGCGGCGCCGGAAAGAGAAATCTATGGTCATGACGGATATCGAACCCCGACCGTCCAGCCCGTAGGCACTTACTCTGCTAAGTTGTGTTGTAGCGATATGATGTTTAGGTCGTCAGAAGGAGCCGACAGGTGTCTATGTGCGTACCCTAGAGCTACACATGGCTTCGAAACCTGGTCATCTACTCTAAGGGAGAAGCGGTGTGTGAGGACATGTGCTCAGGGGGATGTATGGACCTAGGGCTAAGGGGAGGGAGAACACTGAATAATGGAGGGTTCCACAATTTCTGCTATTCAACAGATATTAACGCGATTACGTCAGGATTTATGAAATAAGCCAACATTTGAATACACAAGGACATAACACAAATCAAACTCCGTGGCCTGTAGTCCGCAAGCGAACTATGCCGACCGAGCGACCGCCGCCTGTCGCCGAAGTTCGTGCCAACTTTAGCGGATAGAGGGTGTCGCGTGGTCAGCGCAACGAATCCCCAAGGCCGTTAATTTCGGTTTTCTAGACCGGAGCCGCTATTTCCTTGAAATAGCTCCTCAATTATCCTCGCGAGGCTGAGTGGACCCCGTTCCAGACCCACTACTTCTCAGAAAATCTGGTAGCTGCGGGAATCTAACCCGGGAACTCTGACCACTAGACCCCAGAGGCGGTCTCAAGGAAATGACACAAGAAAATAAAATTTCAGTTTGGCAGGTCACGGTACAGAAGTCGTTTGGAAGGTACAGTTAGAAACTGGAAAATAATATTGATAATGATCTTAAGAGAAACACCGGCCCTGAAAATGTGTGCTCAACTGTTTCATATTTGGTCTTTTGGGAGCGCGGTGACGTACAGCCTAAGTACACAGTCCACTGCACTTTGCTGGAGGGACATTCCGTATTACTAAACGGTAATGGAGACAAGAAAACAGAAGAATTCTCGGTTGATGTTAGACGTCGCTCTCTGTAATGTCGAGTGACATGTCTTTCGAACACTGCCGTCTTTGATAATTCAGTCTGAATAAGATACCCATATTAATTGGCGTATTTAAGGAATGTTGGCAATAATGATCTTGAAGATCCGTATTTAATGACAGCCAGACTTCTACGCTAAGAACAATCGCTTCCCACTTCAGCATCATCACCGTGGGGACGGAATTTCAAATCGATTCTCAAATATTACGCGAGTTACATTCCATTCTAAAAACATTGACTGCGAAGATTACACAAAGCAGTGGCACGTGATATTTTGTAAGTAAGAAAAACAAGTTATGAAACGTATGCAGCGTAACAATTTTGCCGTCTTCGGTTCACTGTTGCCTCTAATTTCCAATTATATTGCGAACAGCGCGCAACAGACGGAACGGACGAGGAAAAGCCTCCAATACAAAATTTATTCAAAATCGATCATATTGTTTTCTTGTTATAATACAACATTAATATCAATCAGGAAAACTGATTTACGAAAAAAAAGCGTATCGGGCACAAAACATCTATTTCGTTATTCTCCAGAATTTTTGTTTGAGTAATTCTTCAAATAAATCCATCTATTTTCCGAATCGAAGTGTTTCATATCATGTGTAAGGAAATTTACCGAAGAAAAGTCCTACATAAGTAAGTTTGAATTTGTCGCTAAAAGGTAAATTTATACCTCTAACAGGCGCTGAAGACCCATAAGATTGTGAGACGTCGAGGCTCCCACATTTTCTATAGACAACCAGCTCACAGATGGCGGTGAGGCTACCAGCCTTAGGCGCCTCCCCGCCGCCCTTTGCCCCCAGGAAGATTCCTGGTACCGAATAGAAGCTAGAGAGTTACCGCTGTGACAACCTGCTAGTTCCTGTAATTACTGAACTGGGGTCAGACGGAGCTGCTCCCTGATTATGCAACATCAGGCGCACCTCGGCGAACTGGAGACAAACACTGCACAGTAATCGTAAACATTCACTTATGAAATAGCCCTCAACTTTTTTTACCCCCGCAGAGGGATATTTTCCGTCCCGAGCCACGCATATCAGCACTGAGTCAAGTTCTCGCTACGTAGACAAACGCACCCCCCACCACTCCAACTAGGGGCCCTAGCGCGATAACGCGCTGTTGCAGTGAATGATTTATTCGAGTTGGTGTGGTTTTAACATTGCATGCATAGCATTACACCGGCCACTGAACACGAACTACGATACGGAACAACTTGTACGGTTAATTGAAGTCATTACCACAACGGTAAAACAATGCCATGATAGCAAACGCATATTCTGGGGGCCTACGCGTCTTTGTAGCGTCAGCACACAGCATCCGCAGCGGGGCTTGCAAACGCATATTCTGGGGGCCTACGCGTCTTTGTAGCGTCAGCACACAGCATCCGCAGCGGGGCTGCAAACGCATATTCTGGGGCTCTACGTGTTTCTGTGGCGTCAGCATACAGCATCCGCAGCGGGGCTTGCAAACGCATATTCTGGGGGCCTACGCGTCTCTGTAGCGTCAGCACACAGCATCCGCAGCGGGGCTGCAAACGCATATTCTGGGGCTCTACGTGTTTCTGTGGCGTCAGCATACAGCATCCGCAGCGGGGCTTGCAAACGCATATTCTGGGGGCCTACGCGTCTCTGTAGCGTCAGCACACAGCATCCGCAGCGGGGCTGCAAACGCATATTCTGGGGCTCTACGTGTTTCTGTGGCGTCAGCATACAGCATCCGCAGCGGGGCTTGCAAACGCATATTCTGGGGGCCTACGCGTCTCTGTAGCGTCAGCACACAGCATCTGCAGAGGGGCTTGCAAACGCATATTCTGGGGGNGCTACGTGTCTCTGTGACGTCAGCACACAGCATCCGCAGCGGGGCTTGCAAATGAACCCAGCAGCTCTAATCATATCTTTCCTTTTCCTACCCTTCATTTTGTTTCCTCGGCACTTCTCAGAAGTTTCATATCCTCTTATAGTGCTCTGTTTTCACACCTCTCTGCAAGAGATCTCGTTTCGTCACCGTGGTGTCGGTGTAAAATACGATGTATATTTCCCACTGTTTTGGAACCTACATAACATTCCTTTTATAATTTCATTAAGTTTACAACTATTCGTATTTTTGTACCATATTTAGTAAGGATTTGAGAGGGAGCACGTGTTAGAGTAGTTGGTTGGGGAACTACTCGCGAGTTCGATTCCCGATGAGTTCATTCGACTCTCAATAGACTTAATCCTTCCAGCCGCAGTATGGTCCTGAGATCGACTCAGCCTCTAACAGAAATGAGTACCAGGAATCTTCCTGCGTGTAAAGGCCGACCGGCGCGTAAGGCTGACAACCTCACCGCCATCTGTGAGCCGACTGTCTAGAAAATGTGGGAGCCTCAACATCTCACAATCCTATGGGCTTCCACGTTCCTGTTGCAGGGGTAGCTTTACTTTACCATGTAGGACTTGAAGTTCTCACAGCGGTGGTTACGAGGAGTTCTATCTTCGGGATATAACGCCGTGTAGTCCGATGAAAGTCAACAGGCGTTTCGGAGAAACATATCGCCTCCATCTTCAGTAGAACACATGCTTGCCACCTGGTTTCACGTCGGTTTCTTGCTCATCTTATTCTTCGAAACTGAAGATGGTGGGAAATTTTCCTCCGAAACGTCGGTTAACTTACAACGACCGACATGGCGTTATATCCCTGAAGATAGAACCCTTCCTAATCACCACTGCGAGAACCTCAGACCCTACGTGTGTGAACATATCTGCATAATGTATACCTCGAGGAAAGTTCCTAGGGCGTCAGGGACGGAGAAATGCCTGCTACATTCTCCTTTAAAGATTCGATCGTTAGTCTAAGATCTTTCCTCCATTCCTTAAACCCCCGCGCCCCCAGAATACCAAATCGGTTGCTGCAATAACACAGAATAACCTACCATTAAAGACATGTTTACACTTGGAACTTGGCAAAAAGCCACCAGACGGCTCCCTCATCGTCTACTGAAAGGATATTGGCTGCGATATGGAACGACGTAAAGTTATTTTGAATCACAGAATATAAATAAACTCACAATTCGGCTTTACTTCAAGGCTTTCGACTTCTGACTGAAATTCTCATATGAAAAGCAATGAAATGTTTGCCTTTCCAGGCTTCTTTCCTTTAAGACTTGGAGTTCTCGTCTGTAAACGATCCAGTCGCCGTTTGTACCCGGCCAGCACAACCGCGTGACGACAACAGCAACAATAGTAACAATAATCATAAGGAAGTCTAGAGTGGAGCGCTCCTGTTTCGTGTCTTGGAGATACTTGGATCAGATCTCGGCCAGGAAATAGGCTATCCTGAAACTTTTCCCGGTTCTCCTCAGTCCCTCATGGCAAATACTTGGCTAGTACGTCAAATCAGGCCACCGTTGCTTTCGCCGGGAGTTCGCGGGTTCGATTCCCCATGAGATCACTGGAATTTCCAATTGACCTAATTCTTCCAGCTGCACTATAGCCCTGGGATCGATTCAGGTGGTCGGTTTGCTAATTAATTCGTCTGTCAGAATGTTAATTTGTTAGAAGTGGCTTGATTAGTAAGTTAGTTACAAAGAGCAAATGCGACGGCGACATACGTGAAGGACATGAGTTCGAGTCTCGAGAGGGGCCCTGCTCTGTCTACACCGCC